AAGCGACGACAATGATGCTTTGTTGGGGGTTCGAAGGAGAATCAACTGGAGTTACCCTTGATATAATGAGTACTCTTGAGTCAGGTTCAGAACCTTCAAAGTGGTTGCGCCTTCGTTGGTGTTTCGAAGGGGCTGAAATGGCGTTTTGGTTGGTGGTTCTGGGACGACAGATCCTTTCTCGACACGAGAATGTGTGTGTAGGTGTGTGTACGTTGAGTGTTGTGTGAGATGTGTGATGTTGTGTGAGATGTGTGTAGACACTACTAAGAGTTAATCTACGACGAATCTACCATTGGATGTTTATCCATGGGTATACCGTTGCTTGCTGATTTCCAAATTCTGAGCTTAGGAATTTCGCTGTTTGCTTCATCAGTGGAGCAAGCTGGGGATGGCAAAAGATACAAGCCGGGTAGGCTGTGAGAAAGCAAGGGTACCCTGTTTGTGGTGATTTTGTAAATAGACACATAGAGCCGGTACGGTATAGACGAAACACAAGCTAAACTAAACCGTAAATCCAATACCTCGATGGGCTGGATGTGTGTGTGTGTGTGTGTGTGTGTGTGTGTGTGTGTGTGTGGTGTGTGTGTTTGTTGCAGCTTTTGGTCAATAGGACATTTCCTCGTTAAGGATAGGGATTAATATTGTGTGTTCAGCTGGACACAGTAGTTTCAACATATGGGTACCAGTTCTGGCTGGCTATGCAGACTCACTAGTGTGTCCAGATGAACACGGTGTAAGTTTTGCCAAAGACATAAGGGACATTTTCCTTGTCAAGGATAGGGATTGATATTGTGTGTTCTGTTGGACACAGTACTTTGGACCCTTACTGGCTGGCTATGGAGACTTGCTAGTGTGTCCAGTTGAACACGGTAAAGGATTTGACCAAAGATGTTAAGGATTCGATTGGGGAATCCAATCAAATCTCTTTTTGACAGTTGAGGACATCAGCCTCCGGCTGCTTGTTCTTTTCAAGATCACAAGATTGTTGACAAAGTTGGACATTGAAGTGAGTTGTCGAGTTGTGCATAAACAGTTAGTTTGTTAAAAGGAACAACGACGTCTGAAGATGATCCCTTACAGTAATACTAGTAACATGAGTGGTGGTCCGCTCCTCTTGACATTGTTGCTTGTCTTGATGGCAACTATTTCGAACGGTTGCACAGATATTTTGGTAACTCCAGGGGCATCTGCAGATGGGAGCTCCATGATTGGATATAATGCGGGCAAGTGGAGGATACTTGTGTACTAACCCGCCCATCAGGAATGATGTTAGCATGCCGCTCACATATTGCTTTTTCCTGCTTCTCAATCAAAGATTCTGTTTCCTTGTACGGAGTGCTCTACCACTACCCTCGCACGGAAGGCCGAGGCGGGCCGGGTGAACTACGGCAAGTGTTCGATTGGGATTCTGGTGTTCGATTTGGAGAAATCCCAGAAGTCAACAGTACCTATAACGTTATTGGCAACAGCAACGAACATGGTCTGGTGATTGGCGAATCGACATTTGGAGGTGTTCCTGAATTGGCAGGCCAAAAACAAATTGATGCTCTCGGAGCTGTCTTGGATTACGGATCACTGATTTACATTACTCTTCAGCGAGCCAAGACAGCTGTGGAGGCTATTCACACAATCAACGCGCTTCTAGACGCTTACGGATATGCCAGTTCTGGGGAATCCTTCTCCATCTCGGACAAGTCAGGGGATGTATGGATGATGGAACTCATTGGACGTGGAGATACATATAAAAAGCTTGGCGCCGTTTGGGTGGCCCAAAAGATTCCTGATGGATATGTGGGGGCTCATGCGAATCAAGCCAGAACAACCACATTTCCCCGCGATGATCCACAAAACTGCTTGTTTGCAGAAGATGTGGTTGACGTTGCTGTTCACTATGGGCTGTACCCGTCCACAGCCGATCCCTTGAAATTCAGTTTCTCAGATACCTACAATCCTGTACAATTCACATCCGCCAGAATGAGCGAGGCCAGAGTTTGGTCCATGTTCTCACAAATCGCGGAAGAAGGCTTTCAGCAACAGTATCTCGACTACGCGTTGGGAATCAACATTACAAAACGCATGCCTTTGTTCATCAAACCACGTGCCAAGTTGTCTCTCATTGATGTCATGCAACTCATGAACAGCCATTATGAAGGAACCAAATTGGACCCTGCAAAGGACAATGGGGCGGGGATCTTTGCATCGCCCTACAGATCCAGGCCGCTGTAAGTTTCCACCTCTCAAAGGTCATGCATGTCCAAGCGTTTCTCTTGTTTCTGTTACGGGTGATTCTGACACATGCACGGAAACCGACAAACAGAGTATGGGAGTACCAGGGAAAGCACTACCACAACGAAAGGACCCTAGCAACTCCGAGAACAGGTTGGTCTTTCATCGCTCAGCTCCGTCCATGGATGCCAGCCGAGTTGTCAGCACTGGTCTGGTTCGCCGCGGACGATTCGTCTACATCCCCTCGTGTACCTGTGTTTGGTTCCAACTGGCAAGTAGCAGAACCATATGTCGGCAAGGGAACACAAGATGGAGTTCCTGCTCCGTTGCTCAAGTTGGATATGACCAAGGCGTTCTGGGTTCAAAATATGGTATCCAATTTCTGCTACTACCGCTGGCAGGATGCATACCCAGTCGTAAGGGAGAAGATTGACAACCTTCAAAGGGATTTGCTGAAGCAGGTGCAAACCTTGGACGACCAGCTCTTGAAAATATACAAAACCAAAGGAGCCAAAGAGGCTGTGGATTTCGCGACTCAGTTCAGTGTTCGTACGGCAAATGCAGTCCACCAACAATGGCTTGAGTTTTATGGAGAGCTGTTTGTCAGGTTTCGTGATTTCCATATCATCACAGAAAAGAAGGATGAACCATCCTGCGGGTGCGATGCCAAGGAACCTGGGCTAGTTGATGCTGTGAAAAAGCGCATCATTGACGAAACTGGGGATCACTACGAGATTCCCTCGAACGGGCAAATCTTGAACAAAGAGAGTCTGCTCCGCTCGGTTGCAGTGCAGTAGCGCAAATGAAATGGATTGTTGGTACGGTATGACCAAAAGACGCATCGTTGTCAGCTTTTCCGGATTTTAAAATAAGTAAACAATGTTTTCGCGTTATTTATTTGTTCTCTTTGAATCCTATTGATGTAGGTGGCCGCTTTCTCTTTGAACGAGGATTCTTTTCGAAATGAATGTCGTGTGGTCGTGTGGCGAGTCGATTTTGACCTGTGATTGCTGAATGAGGAGCTGCGCCTCCCAATTTCATTCAAGCTGTGCCACTCTAGGAACCAGCGCTGGGGGCGACGCCTCCAATTGTGACGGGCGTACCACCAAAAATAAAGGTGGCACTTGTCTGCTGGCCTGTGCTGGACCCAACGCTTGGCTCCACCGCGGCCACGACGGGTGCCCCACCAAGTGTGTTGGGCTTCCCAGCTGCTTTCTCAACCGGGTTTTGTTTGCATGCCACGCACACAGCACTGCCCACTCCATTCTTTGCCGAACAGTTAACGCATACAACCAATCCCTGAGAAAGAAAAAGGAAACAGGAGAAAGGTGTGAGGACGATGAGGGTGAACAGACAGTATTCCACAATGGCACGGTGCTTGACTTTTGATCTGTTGCACTTACAGCGGCATAAACTGGTTCTTTGACATGACCAAAGCATCCTGCCCATCCAATCGGACCACCCGTTGGCATTGACTTTGTGCCCATGCAGATTTCTCCGTTGACGATGATCGGGCAGTAGCCATTCTCGTTGCTCACGAGTGAATGGCACTTGTTGCAAGACCACTTTCCCTGTTCGTGTTTTTGGAGTTCTGTATCTCCGTCGTCTTCGGCCGTTTGGTTGATTTTGTTGCTGAGTCCCACAATCTCATAGCAGTCAAGCTCCCGCACGAGGCTCCGATCGACATCAATCTCATAGGGCTTGTACAGAACTTTCTTTCGGATGTTCACGGTAGCAACAAATATAGCCTTGTCCTTGATCATTGCATTTGGGGGCTTTAAGAAGCCAAACAGACCAGCCTGTTTTCCGCCTACTATCACATGTGTGAACTCAATGTTGTCGAATTCGCCAGATGTGATGGTTTTTCGCGTGAACGAAGTGCTCATCGATTTGGAATTATCCTTCTTCCGCTTCGCCACCTTTTTGTGCTTTCCAGCATCAGCTTTCTTCTGCTTCGCTACCAACTTGGGCTTTGCTGCAACAGCCTTTCTGCTTACTGAGACCTTAGACTTGACAACTTTAGTTTTCTTCGCCATTGTTGAGGAATTGGTTGATGTCGAAACGTTGAAGCTGTACGAGTGCTTTGTGTCGAAGAAAATTATGCAAGGCTGGTTTTGAGACAAACTTTGTGAGCGATTTCTCCTAAAAGTCTGACATAACGGTTTTTGCCGCCTGCAAGCAAAATTGGAGGTTAGGGTTGATCTGAGTGACGAGTGACAGTGAGTCGCGTCAATCAATCCACGACAACCTAACCGGTACAGTCGTATCGGTACGGTACCAATTAGTCCGCTGAGCTGCTTAGATATTCAAATATCTCCTTTGAGCTGTGTGACATCTTCCGCATACAAGCAGCTACAGTGTACCGTACCAACTGGATCCTTGGTGGACAGGGAGCTTCGACGGAAAAGTGACAGAGGAATCCAAAATGGCTACAGGATTGTCTTGAGACCCAGCAATCACAACATCACAACGCGATTCGACTGTACCGGTATCGACTTTGTATACCCGAGGTTTGAAGCCTTGTTGCGCTATCATGGCTACGATAAACGGAATACTCTACATCTGCATCTGGCCTAGGTACCGCACCTTCTCTCCGATATATTATACAATTACCACCATCCTGTCCTGTTAGGATTGCACCTCCTTCCAGCTCCTGCTCTTTCCAGCCAGAAGTGCTGACTGCAATGAGCAACGACTGGAAGGAAAGAAAGGCTTGCAGTAGAGGGCGACAACTAGACAAAGCTAGTAGTATTAATAGCAGGCTGGCTCTAAGAGAAACGTTGGAATGATCAATCCAATGGCCGCATGGCAGGATCTATCGATTGCCAAGTCAATACCAGGTAGCCAAGTCAAACCAATAGCAAAGCTCTCACCACCGAAACAGCAAGTATGCATACCGGTACGGTGCGCTGCTAGCTGATGCGACGACTATAGCTAGTAGAAACTTCCTTTCTAGCTATTAATAGACTTCGAAGATGCAATACCGGTACCTATAATAGCTACTTAGCTAAATATGGGTGATGAGGATCAAATTTACTTTGCCGTCGATGGTTTCGAAGGAATGGAAGGAGAGTGTTCCAGGTTCCAGAGTTTCCAAGAGTGTCAGGTTGTCTTCAGTCCTCAGCGATATGTGGTTCGCTTCCTGATCTCCGAAGGCAGCAATTGAGGAATCACTAGGTTTTAAGATGCGCGGACACACAAAAGGCAGATCTTCAGTCATCCTCCATTGCTACTCCTAGAACAAACACAGTCCAGCTGCTGAGGTGGTATGATAGATCAAAGTTGTGCTCGAGTACAAGCTAGTACTATTACTCTACTCGAGTACAGGTTTTATATTTATTTTACTGAGCTGAGACACTGTGGCAGTGTGGCAGTGTATCAGTGTATCCTTGTCGAACCGAGAAAAGCACTATAATATTTACATGTAGTCTAATAAATCTTTATTGGTCCAGCTAGAGCTTCAGTAAGACCAGAGGCACTCCCAGTAACCGTTGGACCCGAGGTGATGCGGTGAAGAAGAAGTTTCTGTGTTTCTGTGGAAATTAGTATGAAAAAGCGGAAGCCTTCTGAATCTAGGCTGTTCCAAAAGTTTTAAGGGAATCATTGCTATTGGTGCAGAGAATAGAGTGGAGAACTGTGTTTCAAAGAAGTTTTAAAGGTCTCGTTCTTAGTTGCCAATCAGCGGAGGAGAAAGGTGTACAAAAGGATTAGACTGAGAATGCAGTTAATACCCAGCACCTGCCATTTTCACTTCCTAGCTGGAACTATTGATGCTATCATTGACTTAGTAGTGCTGTCAACTTGATAGGATGCTGAGCAGTGGAAGTGTCACTGGAAAGTTTCTCACGAACAAAAAGCTGGTAATCAGTAACCGCTAAGCCATCACTGGAAAGCGAGGCACCGGAAAAGGAAGTTGCCTCAAAAGAAGAAGGCCAAGGGCCAATAGAAATGGAGAATTCTAATCAAATTTGAGTGACGTTTTGGCTCAGTAGTGAAAAAGCGAAGTGGCTTGCGTTTTCACAGAAAGCTTTGCCTTCAACCTGATTTTTCAAGGACGAACGAAATCCTCTGTTTGGTCGAGAAAAACAGAACATCAATCAACGCATGCGTAAGTGCCCGAACTGGCTTACGCTACGTTTGATAGCTCGTTTGATCAAAGTTGACCTGGTCCAATGGCCGAAGATAAAACAAGTACCGGTACTACTACAGATCCTGATTGAACTGGCCAAAATTCCCACCAACCACTTTTTTCACCCCTTGTTTCAGAAAAAAAACTGTGAAACGAGCCCTGTAGCTCGCAGTATATTTTCTACGGTGTGCTCTTTCGAGGCGTCATTCGTGCCTCTTCTTCTACCGTACCGGTTACCGTGCGTTGGGAAGTTCTTGATATTTGTGTGATCTGACCAATGTTCTTACTAGTAGTGATCCTACCCAATTTCTACGCGAACAAGAAAAAAAACTCAAACAAGGGGTGAAAAAAGTGGTTGGCGGGAATTTTGGCCAGTTCAATCAGGATCTGTAGTAGCTAGCTAGTAGTCAATCCAACCTTGTAAAGATTTGCCAACTTCTCCATTTAGCTAGCTAGGGTAAAGTACAAGTCTACCAGGTGGTTTGTCTACTACGGTAGCTGGTAGGCTCTGGGAGATTGGAGATATCGTACCCATACTGGTGGTCCAAGTAATACCATAGATAGCTCTGTTATCAGTACTCTCTGGAGCTAGTAGGTACCTACCGGTATAGCTAGATCTAGTAGCTAGCTAGAGTACGGTATTGGGCATTGGGCCGTACAGTTGTCGCAGCTGTTGTACATGTAGCTAATTTGATCATTGACTGAGTCACTCGAGACTCGAAACTCGTTTCTGCTACGTACATGTACTACAGTAGTACCGGTACCGGTACCGGTATGATCAACACGTGTGCTCCAGAGGTCTCTCAGACCACGTTTTCAAAGATTGAATGGAATCTAATCGACTGATTTGATTCGATTTCGCAAAAATAAGTTTGAGCCGAAGCAATCAGGGTGATCCTCGTTAATACCTTTCTCTCTTGACACGCATTCGGATCACTCCTTTGTCTGTGGCCAGTAGTGACGTTGATGGTCCGATGATAACTGTATATGATAATATAGTACTCTATGAAATTCTCATTGCTACGAGGTTTTGAACGGCGATTTTGTACCAAGAGGGAGCCTGCCGGGCGGCTCCTTGACAAGGAAACCTTCGAGAAACCTTGAGTTTCAGCGTTCGTTGCCAGGTGTGTAGGATGAGTACTGGAGCTACGCGGTGCTGAATTGCCTGAAGGAAGGTTTCACTTCCTTTTTTTTGGCAATTTCGGAAGGAGACACATTTCCTTTCCAGCAACAAAATAACCCAAAACCACTTCAACAACAACACCAAGAAATAAATATTATCACCATGTCCAACGATCCCAATCTCGCCTCACAGCTCCTCGCTATTCGCCAGGGGGGCGACGAGAAAGACAATATCTCCTCAGCCAACCTGGAAGCCGACGGCGGTACAGATGATAAGTCCAAAATGACCTCTTCGTATCGTGATTTTTCACGGGTCCTCCCCGAGAAGCACAATGATGCCTCGTCTCTCATCGCTCAAAGCACAACAGCCAAGGAGCCGACCTTCCCAGTGAAGCTCCACATGATCTTGTCTAACCCTGAGTTCCAAGACATCATCGCTTGGTTGCCTCATGGCAGGAGCTGGCGCATCCTCCAGCAAAAGGCATTCGAAGAGCGAGTCATTCCTCTCTACTTTCGCCATGGGCGCTATTCCTCCTTTGCCCGTCAGGTCAATGGTTGGGGATTCAAGAGAATCACACATGGCAGCGACTACAATTCCTATTACCGTAAGTTACACTCTATCGTTGTTGGCTATCCGCCATGGTCATGCGCTTGTTTGCTTGGTACCGGTAAGCGAAGACGGGTCGGTCAGTTTCTTTCACGTGTCACGAGTAAGAAAGGCCGGAACGACTGATTTGAGTGGTCAGAAACCGATTTGTCGCCGCTTAGAGTGCTCTGCACTTTTGAATGGAAACCTTGGAGGAAAGGGCAGGGCGGACCGGTGCCCAATCGTCTGTGCTTTGTCCGACGTGTCATGCTTCGGTCAGACAGCTTCCGGATTCACGGTCATTGATGACTTTTTCTTCGTTTTATTATTATCCACTTTTGTACTCCTCTTGTTTCTGACGTCTGCCTTGTTTCTTTCGCGTCTTCTTTTTCTCCCTTCCTGTTGAATGACGTTTTGATGTTTGCTTATTCCGTTCAAGACGAACTGTTCCTTCGCGGTATGCCCCACCTCTGCGATAAGATGCGACGCCTGACCACCAAGGACCTCAGCAAGAAAAAGAAGATGGAGGACGGCCCCACTCCGGACTTTTACGCTCTCAGCCGGGACAACCCTCTGCCGGAAAGCACACCCGTGCCAACGACCACACTGACCCCACCGGCTATTGCCGCTGCGGGTCGTGGTGGGGCGGACCTTGCCAATGCCGATGTGGAACTGGCTCTCCTGGAACGTCGGCGTGCCGATATCTTCAACCGCATGAACCTCCTCGCTTCTTCGAACGGGATGGGTCAGCCTGGTGCCTTTGGTGGTGGTGGTGGTGCTGGAGGTCTTCAAGGACAACAGTTCGGCCAGCAGTTTGTTGGACAACAGCTAGGCATGGGACAACAGTTTGTTGGACAACAAGATCAACTGCAGATGAATAACAACAGCTTGGTGGCCGCCGCAGCTCTCTCGCTCGGTAACAATGGCCGCCCCAATGGTCTGAATCCTGCTTCCTTGCAACAGCAAGGCTTCCTTGGTGGCATGGGAGGCGTTCCTGGAGTCGGAGGCGTCTCCAATGTTGGTCAGATCTTTGATTCGTCCAACTCTGCGCTCCAGCGTCAGCTTCTTGAAGCCCGTCTTGCCAACACTGATATGGCTGCCATCCTTGGTTTTCAACAGGGCAATGTGCAAAACAACGGTATCAATGGAATCCCCGGGCTCATGATGCCTCCATCCCTTTAGACGGGATGTGAGCGCCGCTTTGTCCCTCTAGACGGAGAATGTAGGCGCTACTTTGGGCTGGGCCGATGAGTCTTCATTTTTCGCACGCATTCACATCACACTCTCATCTGATTTTGCGTTTTTTTTTGATCCTTCTCTCCATGGATCTGCAAGCTTTTCATAATGCTTTCACCTTCCTTTTGCAATTACTTTGTCATGTAACTACATAAAAACTCAAGCTATCTGATTTACACCACTTCTAATAATTCCGTACAGAACAGTAGCCTGGGGTGAGTTCGTTGCTCTGCCGGTGTGTCTCGTTTGTTCCATTTGGAGGACTCTTGCACGCGGCGCACCTTTCCTCTCCACAATGCGCACCTCGAATAAATCCCAACAGTAAAACGGTTGTCACTGCCAATGGGTGACAGCTCAAATCACAAGCCAAACATGTTGATCCCTTCCTTTGGCTGATCGGTAGAGACATGAATAATACATGTATGTTCATGGAATGCTGTTCCAATGGTGCGGAAGTCGAAGAGGATCTCTCCGAATGCACTGTATCGTCCCGAGAGTTCGATGTCAATGCGCTGAATGTCGATCACTTGACGTCCACGGCGCTCTTCGACGCCATCCAAAACAACGATTGGAGCGCCGTAGACTTCTTTTTAGACACTGGGACGTTCAGTTTCTCTCCCTTCCAGAGTTACGACGAAGGCTGCAAAGCAGCAGCGGAAGAACAGTCAGAGACGTGGGTCGTTTGCGAGGATGACGAAGGCAGGCTGATTTGGCGACAACTGCCGATCCATGCAGCAATTTGCTATGGAGCTCCATTCAACACTGTCAAGGAATTGATTAAGGTGTACCCAGCAGGCTTGCGCTGTGCAGATGTTGACGGCAATCTTCCTATTCACTTGGCGTTCAGGTTCAACTGCACCGATAGGATCTTACGCCTTATTCTCAAAGCTTTTCCCGAGGGAATGGAAGCCGTCAACTGCAGTGGCAAACTTCCTTTGGAGTGTGCTGGTGATAAAATGCAAGCCAAGTTCAGGCTACTTCAGACGTTCATTGAATGTGCCGGCTATCTTGACGACAAGAGTCTAAATCAAAAGCAGGATGAACTTGAGGCTGCCCAGAAGACCATCATAGAAGCCACCGAAGATCTCTCCAAAGCAAAAAGGGAGCTGTCATACATCAAGAAGTTCCCTATTCCAACCGCAGAGACTAGTAGTGACAGGGGGCTCTCGCGCTACTGGAAGAAAGTGTCAAGCAGGTTGCTCAAGCGAAAGAGCGAGCTGTGATAAGCGTTCAACCAAACATCGTCAACGACGACCCCGTCTTGGTTGCAAAACCATTCTTCCGTCATTTCATGCATTTACTTGGGGCAATATTTTGACTCCAATCTGCATTGCAATGCTGGCCATAGCGTCCATGGTGTTCACGATGTTCACGACGCTGGCTGCCATCCGTAGCAATATCCCTGCCTGTTTACAGGTCGAGCGGGATACGCCCTGAAGGAGTCAAAGTAAGCGCCATGATACCACCATGCTGGCCATGGAAGTGTTCAGCATATCATGCGCGGATGTGAGTCCTCTTTCGACACCAAATCAATTCAATTCGTGCGAGATTCGGTTTACGTACCGCGGGTAACCGCGGGTTGAATATTGCGGTTGCCTTCATCGCACCACTTGCATCGAGCTCAACGTATTTGGTGCCTCGTCAGCTTTCACCGTGGGGAGAACTCAGGGGTCTTTTTTGGTCAGCGGTAGCAGCACGGTATCAAACGAGAAGTTGACTACCGGTAGCTAGCCAGCGAGCAAAAGAGTGCTTGTCATTGATACCCGTGGCCACTAATAGTGTTTCTGTCTATCGGTACGGAAAATAGGACCGAAGCTGTCCAATTCCATTCGTGGTGCTTCCCTTCCAGTTAGTTTACTACACTACTGTATTAGCTCCCAATTGCAAGTACGGCTGTTTCGGAACGCTTGGCAACTTCCGTGGCATCATATCATCGCACTTTCACTTTTCACTAGCTAGTAGGAGGTAGGAGGTACCAGCTACATGTTGCTAGAGCGGCGACAAACTGGAGCGCAATACCGGCACCGCAAAGGTATCATCTGCGCTGCTCTTTTGCAGCTTGCAGCAACTGCTCAGTGCCATGAGTGTCAACATGCATCTGACTAGCCAGCTGAGTTTCTTTCCGTTTTGCATGGACTAAAATGTGAATGACTGCGGTACTATAACAACGAGATCATTGTTTTCTTGTGATTCGATGAATAGATCGAAGTTCTATTAATAGGATACATGTACTAGCTAGTAGCCGAGTGACTCACTCTTTACTCTGGAACACAAAGAAGCAAAGAAGTGGTCGATCGATAAAATGCTGTCAAAACTATGGTGGTCGAAAGCAACGGCCGAAAACCATTATTTACACGAAATTGTATTTCAGTTTCATATTTGTGTTTCGGTGTGTTTTATCTTGGAACGAACCGGCAGGTTTTGTATTGGTACAGTAGTGTTTTACACAGCCCTACACAGACTGACCGTTAAATACAAAACCAGCCGTTATGGTTCCATTCGAAACGAACCAGCTACTTAAGGACGTCTGTGCCCCATCGGTCTCCGGCCTGACCATCGGGCTGTCGGGCTTGCGCCCTCCCTTAAGCCCTCGCTCAGACCTCCGACCTTCGGGTCCCTGCCTGACCCTTAAGTAGACGGTTCGTTTCTAATCATTTTACATACGGTACTTCCATGTATTTATAGCATTACTTTGGCTTATTTATTTACATTTAAATTTGATTTTTGACTTCGATCATTGGAAAATCGTGATTTCGGGTCCTTTTGCAGACGCCAACTCTCGCTGGCACGACTAGCTACCGTAGTAGGATCAAGACATCAAGACGGAACCAGTTGGGGGAAAGATACTTACGAGGAGTACAGTACTTCGTAAGGTGCCAATTGCAAGGGCTGTATCAATGTCGAACGTCTGTAACTCATAAATATCGTGGCATCATGCAGGTATTAGCTGGTACTATGTCTAGATGTCTAGTAGATAAAGCAACCATGCAACCACCGGTCAGGAGCCAACGTACATTTGGCTATCATCAAGGTTAGCGGCATTGATTGCTTTCGCTTCCGTGTTCCCAGTCGAAAGCTCATCGACCAGTTGACCAGAGAGCATCACAAAACACAATTTTACTTGGCTTCTATCCGAGAACCTGTCAAAGAGACAATCCCTGAAATTAGTATTTTGCAACGGACCTTCGGAACGGAACAGCAACGGTGACAAATGGCTACCATGGAAAGAGCAAACACTAGTCGAAGGAAGAACAGAACAACAATGATGCTCGATGACAGTTTAGTATCTGTGGAATCGTGGTCGGACTATGAGCTGGACGACTCAAATGTAACCCTGCAAATGAGCAATCGGCGCCCTCTTGGGCGTAGCCCAAGTGAAACAGATCTGCCTTCCTCTCGAAGGATCGACAGAGCGAATCGAATGCAGGAGGCGTCTCGTTGGGAAAGCTTTCCGTCCCTTCGTAGGGGTATGTTATCAGCTCCACCAAGGCGAGCCATGTCGCCAAGTCCACCTTTGGAGGGGAAGAAGGATGCAACGAGGAATGATGACAAGTGTGGTGCCCCCCGCGTGCCCCAGCGCACTTCGAGCGATATGGATACCCCAGCTACGAAGACAAGGAAACAAGTGAGCTTCAGTCCAAGCAGCCATGGTGGTGAGATGCTAGCGGCGCCCGGGATGCGCCCTGATTCTGATGCGCTGACAAAGGCGAAGTTTTCGTACCGGTCAAGATCCAATACGAGCTCTCATCAGCATTCATTGAAACTTCCCACCCGACAGCCAAGCTTTCAAACATAAGGCAACGATCTTCCTGACCATGCATTCTTAACGAACCTGCAACCGTATACTGCCAGGACTAAAGTAAAACATACCACTACATATAAGCTATTGCATCTCGTCTTGAGCTCACTAGTAGCTCTAGTAAGTAGTGGTGCCGGTGCATCCATTGAGAAACGTACGGTAGGCCTTGATCCTCGTACAAAGCGCACATCCTCGTAATGATACTGGTACCGCAGTACCGGGCATACATTGAAACCACCCACTACAAGAACGACTTATCGTGCGTCCGTTGCTGCGTGTTCCTGTTTTCTCTCATTCGTTGCGCCATAGACTTGCCTCCCTTGAGTCCATGAGCTTCTTCGTTCATGTCTTTAAGGAAGGCAGCATTCCCACGCTGCATGGGTTTTTCATCTTCCTCATCTCGGTCTCGTTTGCTCAAACCGCGGTGCATTCGTTCCTCTGCAGTCGTTTGCATCTCCTGTAAAGCTTGGGCTCGCTCTTCTGCTGTCATGGTTCTTCGTGATGATGCTCTATCACGAGTTTTTCGGCGTTCTTCCTCTCTTTGCTTTTCTGTTTGGCGCAGCAAATCCTTGGCCGGTCCCAAGTCCTGCGTAGCATAATGACGACTCTTTTCTGCTCCCTTTCCTTGCAACCCAAATCCTGCCTTCTTGATGCGCCCCTCCTCGCGTTTGGCATGGTGGTGGCTTTGGTTGCGGTGTCGATCAGTCTCCTCTTCTCGTCTACTGCCACGGCGATCCCGGCCACTGTCATGGTAGTGACGACGGCTTTTTCGTTCATCCCATTCTCGTTCACGGTAATTCCTATGCCTCGGTTCCGGCGATTCACTTCTGCTTCTACTTCGGCTCCTGCTTCGACTGTGTCGCCTCTTCTTTTTGCTGCTCCTCTTGCGGTCGTCATCGCGACCACGCCTCCTGTCATGTTGCCTGTGTCTTCTACGCTCGTGTTCCTCTTCGGAATCATCGTCGCTGCTGGAGTGGCTACTGCGATGACGATGATGATGTTTTCGCTTCCTCTTTCGTTCTTCTTTTCTAAGTCGCTCCTTGCGTTCTTTTTTCTCGCGTTTGCGTTCCTGTTTGGATTTCTTTTTTCCATCCTGCGAATTGTTGTCATCGTCATCGTCACTGTCGATAGGCCCCATGACGCGTTCAAAGAGTGCACGTTGCTTTTCGGCTTCAGTCTTTTTCTCTCGTTCCTTCATACCGACGCGATACATGGGGTCTTCCATCTGTTGACGAAAGGCTTCATTTCGTTCCGCAACGGACGGTTCTCCCGAAGCAGAGGCAGCAGCCGCCATCGCCATGGGGTCTTCCAGACGAACGACGGCATTGACTCCATCACCCGCACCGCCTTGTGTAAAGTCACCGTGTGCGGCAGTCTCGCCGGAAACCTCCTTGCCCAGCAAATACGCTTCGGCACGTTTCTCCGCATCTTCTTGCTCTAATTCGGACGGTTTATCAGTGCCACCGGACGCTGCTTGGCCTTGGTACATCCAGTTAATACCACGATCAATGTGACTCTTTTTTCCAGCCAGTTTGTCAAACTCATCTTGTTCGCGTTCTTGTTGAATCTGACGAGCTAGTTCCTTGGTGCGCCTTTCTTCGGTTTCTTGCGCTCGTTCCGCTTTCCACACCCTCTCCTGATTTGCCAACGTCTTGGTGTGCCATGACTTTTTCGACAAAAACGCAATTCCTTGCACCATGGTTGTTGATGATGATGACGATGTTGTATCAGTTGCTGTTTGTTGTTACTATTTGGTGTGAATGACAAGCTTCAGTTGCTTCTGAGGTTGGTACCTACCGGTTATCAAGCAGACGCAGAGTCGTCAAACAACGAAAATGCACTTCGTTGCTTTCTTATGTTCTTCCTCTTGTTTGGGGTCTGATTCGATTCGATTCGATTGATCATTCCTTGCTACCAGTCAGAAGACCGGTTCCATTTCTCAAGACAGGTTCCATCCTGGGTGGTCCCTGGAATACCGCGGAACAGTTCTTTTCCACCGGCGGTTGATGCACTGTACTGGTCCACGTTGTACCACACAGTGAAGCTCAGCGATACCGGTGCTGGTAGCTTGCTAGCATCACTAAACACCACCACATCAAAAACAAGTCACCCACCAACATTTTTTCTTGTCACACCTCCCTCCTCCAAAGTAGATGTACTTTGTCACTCTCATGGCAACAATCAAAAGGCACTCACCATGACTACTTTGTCAATATGAACATGCCCGTCGCAGTGGTTTCATCTAGAAGTCCATTTTGTGGCCGTGTAATTTCTCAGTGGCAATTAAACTAGAGGTTACCGTTTTCTCTTGATTTTTGACTTTCTGGCATCAGTGGCGATGGTGGAAGCATTTTCTCAAGCCAAAACCAATGCTACCGTACATCCCACAGTGTCAATACCAATATACAAGGTAGTGTGACATGTAGAAAAATGCACTTCTGTGGTGCACTAAGAGGATTCTCGCCGGCAAACAGGATTGTCGACACGTCGATCGATCCAACGATCACCGTCGACCGCTACCACTACGGCGGCAACGTCAAACAGTCGCTACGAATACAACAACAGCAACAGCAACAACAACAACAACAACAACAACAACAACAACAACAACAACAACAGCAAGCCATCGGTTGTTGATACCAATAGCAGAGCGTTGGTGCATCCTGTCGGTCTCAGATCCTGTCGCGGAAGATCCTGCCGGCAAAAGAAGAAGAAGACAAGAAGATTTGAAACATCATTTGCCATGACACTACGAGTACAGTATGTGCAAACTAAAACAAAGTTATGTACAATGGCTTTTCCTTATTGTGGCCAACTAGCTAGAATATAATATACTAGTAGTTTGACAACATACATGGTTTGGTGTTGCGTGTTGCCTCCCAAAGGAGGCAAAAGCTGCATGCATTACACGGGGAGAATGCTGTCAGCCAAAATGTGGTGAAACTCCAGTCAAAGATTTAAAGGGAACTTGAAGAAGACTTAGAAATAAGCATTATCTTAAAGGTGAGAATACTCTGGTTCCGTAACCAGTCTTCTTGCTGGTAGCTTGGAGCTTCTGCTGCTTGCTTTTAAGATAAGCCAGCTCGTTTATTAATAAAACTATGCAACGACCACGGGGTGAATGTCTCCAGTCAACACGAAGTACTTTCATGCCATACAATTTTAGCAAAAAGTGACTGAATTAAGTAGTTTTTACTCTTGATCAGCACAAACTGCCGAATCGCCAAAATACAGGCTTTGCTCTGTGGTAACTTTTCGGTTGTTTGACTTTTTCATCCCCCATGGGAATCATCAGTGCTTGGGCTATTGTGGTACTTATGAAATCGTGGTTTATGTCGGCATGCTCCGTATATTTCATTGCAGGAGTTGATCAGCTTTTCTGGCGATTCTCTGGATCCTTTCAGTATCTCGAGTCGCTCCCTGTTGCATAGGCTGCAGTGTCATGTCCCGAAGGTCTTGACAGTGCTGATGGGGTTGCCTTGCCATAGGATGCTAATTTCGATGATGTTACTTTGAATGGTGCCGTTGAGTCGGAATGGTGAAGGAGGTGCGAAGTTTTGGAATTCGTTGGCAAAGTGTCTTGCGTATGAATCGGACTTGTGTTTTCCATATAGGAGACGTATCACGTCGGCGAAGTGTTGGTATGTTCGTTCTTTGACGTTTCGTTGGGTTGCCCCAATGTATTCCTTTCCTGAGTTTATGCATTTGATGCCCTACCGGTACTAGTACTGCTGTACCTGGTAAACCTTGTGGGGACAAAACCGACCAATTCCGCACCTTGCTGCAGATGCCTTCGCAACTCTACTAGCTAACGGTAGCTCGGCTGATCAGTCCAAGCTGGAGCAAATGTGAGTACTAGTACGGTTTTGCTCTGTATAGGTATTAATAGTACCGGTACCGGTACCGGTACGTATGCAATCAATCAAGGAGAGACCGCCATCGCCAGGTCCTTCTTTTACCTCAGAGTTCTAGTAATAGTACTCGAGTACCAGCAACGAAAGCTTTAACGCCACATTCCCTTCTTCGAACCGGTGACGTAATAATTGTATTGCAGGAGACCCGGAGGGGAGTCATCTTTAAAGCCAGAAACGTCAAAGCCTTTCGTCCAGCAGAACGAGTGACGTTGTAGCTGGTTTGCTCCGTGGTCCAAGAATTATTGTTTTAACTCATCCTTCTGTCAAGACATTTGTTTCTTGGTTTCAGTGCCAAGCTGTTTTCGATAATAATTCACTATTTAGCCACCGAGACTGCTCCGGAGTCCGGAGTCCGGCGGAGTATCGACTCTCTATCTCACTCTCTACAGCACTGATTCGATTCGATTCGCTCCAGGCCTCATCATGCATTCGTAGTTCGTAGTATGGACGCCCGGAATAAATATGTAAATATATATGTCATAATGGTAAAGTCTCAGAATGTATGTGTACGTGGTACGTTGGTACGTGGATGCGTGGATGGGACTGGAAACTGGTGCTGAGTGAGATAGCTAAGATAGCTTATTAATAAGATCAGAGACCATGAGAATTGAGAACCGCACTGACTAAAATTATTGACCACGACCCTATAAATTATACTGGTTATTGGTTGATCAACCAATAACCAGTGGTATTGACTGGTTAGTGGTTTTGGTTGATTCGACTGGTTATTAACCAGTCAACCAGTAACCAAAACCAATAACCAAAATTACTGGTTAGCGAACCCTGCCTATAATAAGTATAAATCCCTCTAAATGACTCGCCGGTACAGCTTGTAAGTTCGTACCAGTACCAATTATTGGAACAATGGCATGTACTCAGTGTAACCTGTTCCTGCGCGCGCGTTACCGATAGTGTAGAGTATAATAATAGCTGTTTTTTACGAGTACAGCGAGAAAGGTGCTTTCGAGCATGGAAACCAGAAGGAGCTCCAGAAGGGATTGAGGGAGAGCAGAAGGTGGCAACGTCGCAAACACCGTGGCAAAACGTTTCCTTGGGTTTGAGGTACTAGTACATGAGGTAAAACGAGTTTTTCATACTCCCAAAATTTAATGCAAAGTTGAATGTTATCTGTACCTTTTATTTTTTTAATTAAAAATGTACTTCATCTACCCGTCAAAAACAGGGTTCCTGCGGGTGGCACGAAGCAAGGAAAGCGCCGTAATTTTGTTGTTGCCCCCGACCCGTCTTTCCTGCCTGGGTGGTCAACTGGTCAATAATCATTCCCACTGTTCCAGCTCTGTTTTGGAGGCTCGAGTAGCTGCTTGCTGGTTAAACTGTTAAACTTCCTTACTCGTACGCGTCAGGTACAAAAGTAGTTAGCCACTGGAGGAGGAATACTAGTATAAGACTTGGGGACTGCATCAGGAAGCAAGGTCCCACGTTCCTTTTTATTCCCTGTGGCGTCGACTACAATCAACTCCATACTGTTAGTTATCTATCTGTTATCTGTCTGCGGTATATATACATCCATCTTTCATCTGATCGAAAGGCACCATGGATCCCTCCTGCATGGCCCTCTACAGACGGTCCCACTCTGCCCGAAACTCTACCCGAAGCCAGCCACTGGTACCACAAGAACAAGATACCAGCGAAGCGAGTGGTGGCAATGGGGACAACTTTGTCGACGAAGAGCTGGGCAACCCGGGTGCTACCCCTGCTATTAGAAATACCTCGAGCTACATCCAGGGCAAAGACATGAACTTGAGCAGTCGACTATTCGTGGTGGATAACAGTAAGAATAGCAATACCCCTGCATCTTCCCAAACCTCCCAGACATCCTACACAGGAGACCTCGCTACTCCCACGACGGACAGCTACCACGGCAACGACAACAACCATCATAATACCAAGTCCGTCTCCTTTACTATCGACGAAAAGTGTCATGACCATGACGATGATAATGGCCATGACCATGATGATCCCAATCAGAAGAGTAAAAGAACGGTCAACTTGAAGCAGTGGACGGACAGATGGATGAATTCACATTGGCCCATACTGCTGGTCAGTTGCTTGATCTTTGTGGTTCTGGCGGGGGCCGGAATCTCGCTCTACCTCGTCGTTGCCACTGCCCGGGACGAGGAGTTACGAGACAGCATCCTCGATCTGGCCGTCGAAACGGGAGCTTGGTTTGCCAAGGAATTGGACTTTGCCATTCTACCCCTCTTTAGCATGGCGCAGTTCGCCACCGAGCTAGATATCTTTGCCGATCTACCCGATCAAATCAAGTCTCCTGGACAAGAAAATGCCCTACCCTTCATTCCACAAGCTCCGGACGTTGACAAGGCATACAGAAACATTACCGGAGTCTGTGATCAGCCAGAGCTGGTGGAACGCTTCACGGAGATTGCGTCAGCGGTCAAGCGCAATGCCAAAATGGATGGAGTACTGCATAACATTCAGTTGGCACCACAGGGTAAGTCGTCGAAGTCAGGCGTCGCAACTCTTGAGTTCAATTGGTCGTTCTATATGATTGATTGTACTCATCGTGTCTCCTATCTATCTCTATGTCTATCTATGTCCCAGGCGTGATATGCCTCTTACACCCAATGAACAACACTGAAGACTTTCATGATGGCAAATCATTCCTAGACAACACGGGGGCCTGGGGGATCGACCTTCTCCACGATCCATTTCATCGATACATTGCCAGGAAATCGTTAAAGGGCGGAGAAGTGGGAATTGTGGGACCGCGTCGCCTATTTCAATGTCCGACTTGTGGCATGTACTTTATCGTACGCTTACCCGTATCCAGTCGCAAACACAACATTTCAATGTCCGGAGAAGAATACCCAAAGTGGGGATTCACCACGGCGCTCATCAATTGGGACGACCTCGTCATGAGAAGTGACATTCACGAACGATTCCGATCCAGTGGATACGAATTCCAACTCACACGGACCGACCATAACTTTGATGACGAGACAAACTCCTATGTAGATGACATTGTCGTGCTGGCAGCGTCGGAAGCATTTGGTGGTGGGTCCGAGAAACATCAGGTATCCACTGCGCTGCAAACCACCAACAATGAATGGGTCATGACCATTCAATACTATCCAAACGGGGACGTCGAATACATTGTCGTCGTGTTGGTCGCCGTTCTCGTGGCATTCTTCATATCGGCACTGGTGTACACCGTGTTGCTGCAGAAGCAAACACACACGGCCATGCTGGGTGCGACAATGGCCGAGAAGGGCAAGGTAGAACTGGAACGAAAACTGACTGGTACGTTGGAAAAAGACGACAAGAATGAGCTTGCGCGGGTATCCTATCAATCTGGCCTACTTGAATTACATGTACTCATGGTTCGATCGTTCTTTCACATCATCTCGCAGGGGCTCTGGCACACGAACTTCGAAATCCACTCTCGGCGATCGATTCCGCCTTGGCCACCATGCCAGACAATATCCCTGACGAAGCCAAAGAGCTTGTGGCCAGCATGCAGCTTTGCAGTAGCTTCATGTCCAGTATCATGAACAATCTACTCGACAGCAGAAAGTTAGAAGAGGGCAAAATGGAGTTGCTCTCCAACCCAATGTCTTTAAAGGTACTCGTGCAAGCTGTTCACAAAATGATGCTGCCCGCAGTCAATTCCAATGTCAAGTTGGTCGCGGATGTGGAGTCGTTGCCAAAGGAGAAGGAATGGGTCTATGGCGACTTTTCGAGGCTTCAGCAAGTCCTGACAAATCTCGTCAGTAATGCCTGCAAGTTCACTCGTAAAGGCTCCATTACTATTTCTGCTAGCTGGAAGAAAGTCGCGGTAGCACCAACCAAAAAATCTGCTGCAGGCGAGGACGACAAGGAATGGGTGCAATTATTGTGCCGAGATACTGGGCCAGGGATCCCCAAGGAAGACCAGGCGAACATGTTCAATCGCTTCACCACACGAGGAGGAGCACCTGGTTCGGGCCTTGGCCTGGCCATTGCGAGGCAAATTGTAGACCTGTACGGGGGCAGTATTCACTTTGAAAGCGACCCAACCGTCAAGCCTGGCACAGACTGCGTTGTCATGTTGCCGCTAGAAGTCTGCCGTGAGGTGCCACAGCAGGAAGCACCAGAAACACAGAAGGCTGAGGTGGAGAACACGGCTCCTCTGGAAGAACCGTTGAAAGTCCTCATCACTGATGACATCAAAATGAATCGTATGATGCTTAAGCGACGGTTCCAAAAGTGTCTGGCGCCAAACTGTGTCATCAGCGAAGCTGCGACTGGGGAAGAAGCCGTTGCCGCATGCGAAAAACAGCAATTCGACTGTATCATCATGGACCAGTACATGCAGGAGGCGAGCGGTGTCATGCTCGGCACCGACACAATCATTGCGCTGCGCAGAGCCAAAGTAGACGCTGTGATTATTGGTTGCTCTGGGAATGACATCGAGGACAAGTTCGCCGCCGCTGGGGCAGACGTAGTGTGGAAGAAACCTGTTCCCTCGAATGTGGAGATCATTGCCTGTTTGCGCCAACTGCTATCAGCTCGAGGAAAGATATAGTGTGCTGAATGGCGACGCAAACAGTGTCAGCGGAGATGTTTTCTCGCTGTTCTGTCGAGCTCTACCGTATGACTGGTCAGAAGGAAGCGCAAACGCAACAGCAGAGCCAGAACCGGAATGACAGGGGCCTAGTAGAGCAGCTCTCGCTGAGTTGTGGCCAGTGCAGAGCATCTTGAGTCACGACTTCACGGAAAGCTGCGCAGGGATCTCCAGGCGAACATATCGCATCATGAGCATGTGACCATCAGCCACTCAAGCAAGCGAGCGAGCGAGTTGGATGCAAAACTCGCCTTTAAAATTGAACGCTTCCATTTTTGTCTGTACATTGTTTTCCAATATTATGTAGCTAGTAGATAGCGCTTTTCAGAAAGTTATCTGCGATGCGGTGAGAGTTTGCCTCACCCCTGTTGCATCTTTGCTGCAAGAGAAGATATCGCTGATACCTGGAAGAATTCAGATGAAGAGAACCGGTATATATTGCCTCTGCGGACGGCTTCCCATAGCCCATACTCGTTGTCCGAAGATTCGTAACATTCTTGACTTCCCTTTCTATCAGTTTCGCCGTGGGAACTCTATGGCCTTGTTTTATCCATTCATGTAAAGATATCTTGCTACCTACATTTTAATTGTACCGGTTGTCCCTGCAAAGAAGAGGCCTACCGGTACCGTACTGTACGTACCGCTAGCAAGGGACGTCAAAAGTCAGCCCTTGGCACTTGGCTGATATTGTTTGAAGATCCATGCATGTTACCGTAGCTCCGTTCTAACAAGTTCTAAGGAGAATTCACCTCGGCAACCACGCGAATAGGTGCGTCCGTGATCAACTCCTGTGCTGCTGCCTCTGTGGGGGGAGGATCTGTTGTCGTTGCCATTTGTTGCGCCTCCATCGCTGGGGATCCGGGTGTGCTCATGGCAGTGTTTCCAGTACCGTCGGTGCGAGTCGATGAGGTACAATCGCAGTCGCAATCCTTACATCGCACGTGGATGCAATCGACCGAAAGGTCTTTCAAGATGCCTGTGTTCACAAGGTTGCATACTTCTAATGGAACTGTGCCTGATAGTTTCGTGTTGTGGAGTGCTAGTTTGGTCAGTTTCGTCAAGCTACCCAGGGACGACGGTATCTGCCCCTCCAGTGCCGTCTCTTGCAGAAAAACCTCTTCCAGATCCGACATCACCCCTATCTCGGACGGCAGTGTTCCGTTCAAGTTTGGAATGGCATTCATCTGCAGCCTCTTCAGCTTCTTCATCAATCCCAATTCAGTGGGGAGTTGTCCACTCAGGTTTGGATTCCTATAGAGATGCAATCCGACCAACTCGGTGAATCTTCCAAACTCGGTGGGGATCACGGGGCCGGAAAGCATGTTGTTGCTAATGGATAACACTGCCAAGTCGGTCGATAGCCGACTCAACTCTGCTGGGATCGTTCCTGAAAGTTGATTAAATGCCAAGTTCAGGTGCCATACTCTGTTGAGTTCCGCGAGTTCGGTTGGCACTGTTCCAGTCAAGGAATTGTTGAAAAGTTGCAAGAAGGTGACGTGCTTCCAGAGTCCAACTTCGGTTGGGATGGTAGAAGAGATGCGATTGTCGTGCAGGTTGACAACATCTAGCATGGAAAGCAAGCCAAGTTCCGGTGGCAACGTGCCAACAAGATTGTTATTGAACAAGGATAGACGCTGTAGGTAGCGTCGTTCTTGTCCTTGTAGTAGCGTGCGCTGTCGTAGGTACCGATGTCGGTTCCACGCAGTGGTACAAACAGACCCATAGAATGGTGTATACCAACCACAGGGATCAGTTCCCTCTTGCAGCCAACCCTCTCGTTGTGTCCACTGTGGTCCTCCCAAAGCGTAATAGAAGGTTGCCAGGACAAATCGTTGCAGTGCAAAGTAGGCTACCGTGTTCGTAGTGTCCTTGCTGTAGTAGGCTTCTAGGTCTTTTTGTACCCAATCAAAGGCTCTCGCTTGTGGAGAGTTTGGATCATTCTGGATGGCTTCTTGTGTGTCCAGAGGCAGCATATCTTGGACAAATCCTGTGGGTGCCATGGTGGGGCTTTCGGAGGCTTCGACAACCTCATTGTCCGCTGCATCTTGAGGAGGAGTTGCGGCAGCTAGAGGAGGAGTCGCTCCAGTTTGAGGAGGAGAAGGAGGAAGCGTCGCTGCAGGTACAGGAGGATTGGTTGCAGGAGGAATCACAGTGTCAAGAGGAGGACTGGTCATAATGGTGGCTGGATCAACAAATTCGACATATTGGGCTGCTTCAACAGTTGGTCCTTGTTGTGATTGAGGTTGTACTTTTTGCTCATGTGTTGGCGTCTCCTGTTTGCTGCCTAGTAGGGTAACTCCCAGGACTACTCCCAATACAATCAAGAAGGTGACAAAACAACAAACGAGTCCCAGCACTATCGATCGCAACCGGTCTCGTTCTTTGTATGCAGCGGCATCTAGCTTTTCCATTTGCCTTGGGTCCATGGGATGACCCATGACCAGCTCTGGTTCGGGTACTACTACATTGGGCGGCGTTTGTTGTTGTGTGTCGGATGGACGTCTAGTAGTAGTAGTATCGTTGTTGGAAGATGATGTAGGTACTTCATTGTCCTCGGCGACCAACGTCGCTTCAATGAGAATGTCTTGTGCACTCTTTTGGGAGACGACACTTCGTCGCGAGACTTCTCGATCGTCCCGTTCTCCTTCGGCGAGTCCCTGCGCAGGAGTGGCTCCCATGGTAGGTCTCATGCGAAAGGCACCTGGCATGATTTCTTCTTGAATGTTAGTGTTGGGTGTGAGCGTAGTTGGAAGAGGAATGGGCGATTGAAGTGACGCTGCGTCGTCGTCGTCGTCGTTTGGTGCATCGCCGGATACCAGCACGTCGTTGTTACTGTTATTGCTATTGGAGGAAGGAGAATAGGGAGAAGGGGACGATTTGGCTCTGACAGGTGCTTTCTTGGTTGGTTTGGCCTTTCTATTGCTTCCCGAGGCAGAAGAGTAGGTTCTCCGTATCTTGTTGTGGGAGTTGGTACTAGAGGCTCGCTTTCTGGGTGGACGGTTAGAGGTGGAGTCGTTGTGGTCCTTCATGATTTCTTCTTGTTTGGCCACGAGAAGCTCCCATCGCTGTTCGTCGTAGGAAGGCGAAGAAGCAGCAGCGGGATTCTCGGAAGAAGCCTTCTTTGCCGCCTTGGCTTGACGAGTCGCAGCTGCCACTTTTTCGTCGACCATGGCCGCTTGTTCTTCTTTCATCAAGAGGCTGCTATTCCTTCCGCTACCGCTAGCGCTGGTGCTGCGTCTGGTGCTATTGGATGGAAACCTCACTTGCTTTTTCACACTGCTATTCTTCCTGGAAACTCGTCTTGGCAGGACTGCTTGTTCCCCGCCTCGAACGTCTTCTTGTTCCTCTCCCTTCATGGTTGATGTTTGTCTGTCAACGATTGTTGATTGTAGAGTCTAGTGGCTGTTTGGCCTTGCACTGTTTTGTTGCCTTCGACAAAGAAATGAGGCGCTGTAGATACTAGCTAGCTGGCACTCTGGAGTACTGGACTGCTTATACTGTATGGTAGTGGACGAAGGAAGCTTTTGGATGACAGTGGTAATAGAGGGACATCAATGGTTGTTTGGGTTGATGATGATGGTGGTGGCTGGTGGCGTGATACATGTGTGTCCTATGGGAAAAAATGGCTGGGATACAGCTCTGAAAACAGACAAGATTCGGCTATGGTAGCATATTTAAAGGATTGTTCTCCTTATCGACATAGTGACTCTTTGTGTTATCTAACACTGGTTGAGTCCAATGTCTTCCACATGTAATTTTTCGAGCCTGCCAATATTTCAGTTCTGCTGGGTTAAATGAAGGATAGAGCTAATATACACGTTAGTCCACTCAGAGAGAATTGGTTTTCATTTCCTAATAATGCTTTCCCTTGAGGCAACCAATTTCTGTCATCGGTGATGTTGCAAAGAGAACAGACAGCCGTAGGCTAGTGCCCTCAACTAGCATTTATCTAAAGGCAAAGGTTTCATTTTTTGTCTGTTGCTTAAAGGCAAGGCTAATCAGTCGCTTTGATAGCTTTAATCTTACTAGGGGAAACCGCACCATATGTACGTGTTCGCTTTGATAGCCTTAATCTTACTAGGGAAACCGCACCCTATGTACGTGTTCGCTTTGATAGCCTTAATCTTACTAGGGAAACCGCACCATATGTACGCGACACACACACACACACACACACACACACACACACACACACACACACACACACACACAAGATAAAGTTCAAAAGGCCCTCAGCTTGCTAGCTGGTAGTTGAGGGCAATCCGATGATGCATGAGTGAGCAGAATTCGTCGTCTCACTACATGTATCGCTTTTGGAAGGAGGATGCTGTATCCGTAGACTAGTACAGCTGTAGACTAGACTATCCAAACAAGTGCCAGTAGATCAGTCTGTTTCCATTGATACACTCTTAGGATTTGACTGACTGAGAACTCTGACAAGCGGTGTGACACTCCGGCTATTGACACCAAAGCAAGGAAGTGGAGTATCCTCATCTCCTCTCCAGCTTTTTCGGTGAATAAAGATACAAGCTAAGATCTCATCATTGATTGAATTCATTCTGCATAAAATCGATTGATTGACTTTGAACCATGTCGTCGCTCCTTTTAGAACTACCAGACGACTCGCTGCGGAGTGTGGCGTCCTTTTTGTGTGCTCCAGACTTGTTGGCCTTTTTGTCATCTCATCCTCATTTCTACCAACTCTCCAAATCCGAGTCCTTTTGGCGGTCGCTCAATAGCACTAACTCTCATGGTTGTGACAACAACAATACTAGTACTGACAATAACGAAGAATCATGTCGTCATGCCAAGCGTGTCTATTTGACCAAAGCCTATGCGGCAGCCATGCCCGTGATTCAATGGAAACCCTGTCGATCTTCGCGACTGAGTCCAACGGGACGTGAAGGACACTTGGCATGTACCATGGGGAAACGCATCATCATCACGGGAGGATTCACCGACGACGAACGAATCTACATTCTCGATACTAGTACTGGCACAGACACAGACAATCCCAACGATTGGATCCAAGTCATGCCGACACAAGCCAAGTGTTTTCGACACCCTGATCTTCCTGTTCCTCCTCCGCAACGAGCCCATATTCGACAGTTTGGAGCCATGGCGCCTCCCGAAGGAGAAGCACCCTTGGCATCCGTCTATGGCGCATCACTCACACCTCTGGACGAACATCGGGCCATTCAATTTGGAGGATTCAGAGGAGGAGGATACACTGGAGAGTGTAACCAAATTGGATTATTGACCTTGTCAGCCCAAAACAATAATAGTGAACAGCAGCAACAAGTGACGGCTACGTGGCAAATCATTCACCCAAAAAACTACGGCATTGCACGAGCCTATCATTCTGCCACTCTCATTGCAGGACGCTATCTGCTCGTTATTGGAGGAATGACCGACGCGGGATGCATTCGCAGTGAATCCATTCTCGATACGCACACATGGACTTGGTTCAATCACGTCTCGCAAGAAATGGTACTCCCTAAACCAACCGGAAGACATGGACACTCGGCTGTTCTCGATGAAAAACGGGATCGAATTGTATTGTTTGGAGGGGGCAGTGGCAACGACTTGCTGCGCAGTGGAAGAGACAATGCCGAAGTGTGGCAGCTACGAATGGGACCGCAGTGGAGAAACGCCGCCAACAGTCTGCAAGAGTTGCAAGATTCGTTGCCGTGGGAATGGGCGCCCATCAAAATGAACACTCCTGACGAAGAAGAAGACGACGAAAGCAATGATGAGGATGGACGACATTATCAAGGAATGGTCGACAGTTTGGAGGAAGATGATACAGACTTTCATTCGGCAAACGAAAGTGACGACGATCTTCCTCCCTTGGAAGAGGCATATGAATTTGGGAACACGGGAGGTGGACACCAAAACAACGACAACATCAACAATACTAATAGTGTCCCAAGACGTGCCAACCGAGCTCCACGATGCAATCCTCTGTCCGATGTCGAGAAACTGTCTCTTGGACGCTGCCACCTTGGCTTCAAAGTTGGACCAGACACTGTCATTCTGGCATTTGGATCAGGGAGGTACGTGCAGTCCTGGCCTCCAATTCTGGATCGTTCCTTCTCTTGGTATATTGAGAACTAAATCCTCTTCTTCTTTGGTTCGTTGTGCTGCAACACAACAGGCCATCCACCAATGGAGTTCTTGGATTTTGTCTCGCAACCAACTCATTCATTCGTCCGCAACTAGCAAATCACAGAAGGCTGATGCCCTGTCCGCGGTTCACTTGTGCTGGCGCTATGTTTGGAGAGAATAACTCGTACATGTTGGTGCATGGAGGGTATAGCACACAGGAAGGAATGGCTATCGGAAACATGTGCGTCCTCGATTTGGTAAGGAAAAGCTCGGATTGTTTTATTGTGGCGCGAACTGTATCGAGCAATGCAGTGTTCCCGTATTCCTCACACCATATTAACGGAACACAGGCTCCAGCGCTCCAACGTCGGTTCACTGCTCTTCCAGATAATCCAGACTTTGCCACCTATCCTCCAGTGACACAGGATGATATAAACCGACATTCCATGTTTGGCGGGCATCATTTTGGAATGGGTGGTCATGGTATGGGGTGAGTGCTCAATCCGTCAACATTACGAATGAAAACCAAGAGTGTCGGTTTGTGCTGGATCTGATCCATTACCGTCGTTGTGATGTGTCTGTCTTCTGCATGCAGTATTGGTGGCATGGAGGACTTGCTCCAGAATCTATTTGTCGAATTTGCGGCTGGCGCAGGAGGTCGAGGTCGGCCAGCTCCAGATGGACCCGTGCGGCTTGGAGGTGGTCGCAACCTCGGGGAGTTGTTGGGGATCCTGGCTGGAAGAGGTAGGCCTGCGGACGTTGATAACGATGATCAAGAAGAGGATGACGAAGACGACGAGGACGCTCCCGACCAAGCGATGCTGTTCAACTTTGTCATGCAAGAAGCAGCGTTCGCAGCTGAAGAGGAAGAGGACGACGATGACTCGGGTTACGATTCCGCCAACATTTCAGAAGTGTCGTGAGCGTAGGTTATTATAAAATACATAATCTGTACAAGGAAAAGAATTGGCCGAACCTACGTAATCACAACATCAGAACAGAGCTCAAGTTTTCGCTGCAACTAGCTAGTGGTATTCGCCGCACTGGTACCGGTAGCTACGAACTTGGTGGCATCGCTACTGCAGCAGCTGGTTCTGTTGCCAGAACAAGTACTGGTGCTGGTACAATAAAACAAAGGCACAATCGTAAATAATTCTGATCTTTTGGCACAATCGTAATTACTTCTGATCTTTTGGTGCTGTGTAGCCCCCTCCACTAGCACTGACATCCTGTCGTTTGGTATCGCTGAATTGACGCAAGAAGAATCTCCTGGCCTTCAGATCCCAAGGTTTTCGCACTGGAGGATCGCTGCCACTGACAAATCCAATCAAGTACAGCCGATTGAATACCCAGATGCTTCCCTGGCGCCCGGATGAACCACTGTCATCCCAAATCTTTTGCATGAAGCCAGTCTCTTTGCACCAATCACGAGGTACACATCGAATAGACTTGACATCAGGAGGACTGTCGCTCTTGGTTCCCACAAATCCAAGTGCTATAAATTCGTCAGCCGGAGGAACCGGCTCCCAGGCATAGAAAGGGTTGCTTCCGTGCGTAATGCTCCAAGCCTGGCGGAACCGAGCAGGATGAGGCATGTACCGATTCAGGACATGAGGCAGCCAGCTACTGCCACCCACCCAGCTGCCCGTCGTATCCGTCACTTCCAGACACAGACGCTCAGCATTGTCACGATTCGGATTGTCGTAGTTCTTGCCATGGAAGTGGCCCATCGAAATTGAAACTTTATTTTGTCGAAGGATGGTGCTTGACACCACGGGTTCCCAAATGCTGATCTTTTGGCGACTCATGCTGCCTTGGCTTGTCCAGATCTGATTGAATTTGGTGACCTTTTTGACCTTCACCTTGATGGCTGCAAGCACTGGCTCAGGGATCTTGACAATGGCCTTTGTTTGATCATCTGAGGGCATCGGTGGCAGAGGCATTCCGCCATTGAAAGCTGCCATATTCTGTGCCATCGTACCATCATCTTCAAAGCCAACAGCTCCTTTGAATTCGTCCAGGTTGATAAAGCCATCCTGGTCTTTGTCCAGTTCTTTCACAAAGCCCAGCAACACAACGTGATCGATCTTCAAACCAAGCCAGTCAAGACCGCGCTTCAGATCCTCCAAACCCAGAAGACCGTCACGGTCTCGATCAATTGCTGCGAAGCAGTCGCGGGGGTACATTCCTCGAGACTTGAGCAGCGCCGTAATTCTACCGGCTGCAATCTTGTAGTTGAGAAGATGATGCTCGTCAGCGGTGATAAAGATCTTGGAAAGTGCTGTCGTTGCGGGATCCTTCTGCTTGCGTCGTCGATTACTGCGGACTTCAACAAAGTAGTTGTAACGTCGCTCACAGTCGTTGTTCTGGAGTGCTCGGAGCAATAAGCTGAGCTCACGAGGTTGGTATGCAATCTGGCTGTCAATGAAACGGAAGCATGAGTAAGCGGTTCCATCCTGGAAGCTCTGGGCTGGCTCATAGCCATAGGTGGTGTCGAGCGTCGTTTTTTCGGTTCGCAAAGCAACCGTAGTATCGGCCCCAGGGATAAGGGAAAGGCCGGCCTGTTGGTGCATTACGGCACGCATACACTCAGCTTCAAATAGCGAAAGGGCAACGTAGTGTCGACCTGCCTGCACTCGATAGAACATTCTTTGGGTCAGGTAGTGTTTCAATTCATCGAATGTAATGGCTCGACCTTGCAAGTCTGGCATCTGTGAGAAGAACTTGTCTCCGTCTTCTCCGTCCACGTCCACATCGACAGCTCGCAACACTTCCTTCAACTCAGTCACTGAGATCGAGCCCCTGCTTTCGTTGTTTGTGCCAAGGAATGCCCGCTTCAAGCTGGCCTCTTGTTCGTCCGAGAAAGGCTTTCCGACAGCAGCGACCTCTTTCACGGCGGCCTTGGAGGGCACAAAGTCCATGGTTACAATGACATTCTTCAATCGACGATGAGTCTTCGTGCTCCAAAGTTGCTGGTAGTAATTCGTGGAAATGTACATATATTCAGGGAACTCAAGAGCAACCCCCTTGGAGAACAAGTAATTCTTGACGGAGAACTTGCTAGCAGGATAAAAGTACTTCTCCCAACTCTTGACATCTGCCATGAGAGTTGCAAGGACACCCTGTTTTTTCTTCTCGCCTTGATTGTATGCGAGGGATTCCACTTTCCAAGGGGTTGGGTTCTCTCCGTCTCGCGAATACTTCTTTTTCTTGGGAGCTTCGTTCACCACTTCTTCCTCCTCTTCTTCTTCCTCTTCCTCCTCTTCTTCTTCCTCCTCTTCCTCCTGAAGTTTTCAAGTTGCAGTGGAAAGAAACAACCAATGAGATACATGGACATGCACATGCATTCAACCCACCTGCTGTTACCTACCTGTTCTTTGAGAACTTCTTCCTCCGCAACCTGCTCCTTCTGGAGATTTGCGTCTTGCTCTTCTTCTGCAGCTTCGGCCACTGAGGCTTCTCCGAACTTTTTCTTGGCGAGTCCCTCGCTGTTGACCAGCACCATCAAAATCTTGTCCACCACTGCCTTGTCGTAATCTGTTGTGATGAAGTCTTTTCGTCGCAGGATACTATTGCGAAGAGTATCAGATAGAGGAACCGGCAACGGAATGCTATTCTGGACAGTGAAGTCCAATCGCTCTGTAAGAATGTCGACACTCTGTTGGATCTTATCAATACCGACAACACCAAGCCGATTGGCACCACCGCCGGTTCCTGCCCACACTACCGACCGAATCGCTTCAGCATCATCCGTAAAGAGCATACTGTTTGCTGTCTTCTTTGGCTCCACGTCGCTCGCAATGTCACTGGCTTTGGGAGCCTTTGCAGGACTTCCGCCGCTGCCGGGCAAGTACTCCTTCACACGGGATGCAAAGGCAAGCTGTGTGAGTTCTCGATAGCAAGCAGCCATTAGATGATATGCTTTCTTTCTCGAGACGTTGTCGATGCTCTGATGACACAGCATTCGGAATTGCATGTTTTCGCTCTTCATGCCGTTGATGGTCAACCATGCAGCAACATTGATCAACAGCTGTCTTCCCTGGTTGGCTGCTGCTCCTGTCACTGGCGTGTATGGCGTGGACACAGACAACGGGTCTGACAAAGACAAAAGATCCGAGCCGTACGAATTTGGATTTGGCGCCGGAGCTGGTGGTCTCGCTTGTTGTTGCTGTGCATTGGCCTTTGCCCGTCCGGCCTGCACTTTCTGAAACTGATCATTGACCAAACGCATCACCTCAGGAATAACAAAGAGCTCAATGGTTTGCCCCTTTCCAATACCCCTCATCCTGAAAGCACCCTGTGCATAATCACGGAAGGTCATGTCTTTACCCAGGGTGAGCACTGATAGTTGAGAAACATCAAAACGCAAACATTGTAAAAGGTGAGCAGCAATTCGAAACAAATTCAGATCGATCGCACCGCCTCCCGCTCGGTGCACATACCAGCCCTTGCATTGATAGTTTGGTGAATATCCATGCCCGTGGTGTGGATTTGATCGTAGAATGAGAATCGACGGTGAGGCGGAATACCAGCTTGATTCAGTCGAACAACGTTCAAGCCATGTCTCATCAAGATCATTTTGCGATCCTTGTGATCCAAGAACACCACTCCATCGAATTCATTGGGCAGGCCATTTGTGAGCAAGTATCGTGCCACGTCAAGATTGCTCATACCGGTCACCAAAGCACCACAGTCGAGAAGAGCATGGAACGGCGGGTTGGCGGTGGCAATCTCGTTGAGCAGGCTCTTGGCAGACCAATCAGACCGAAGCAACCTGCTCGAAACGATTGCTTCAGACATCAAAAAGTCCAAAATCTGTCCGTCGACACAGTCATCGTACTGACACTGACCAAGTTCTTCGGGAAGGAGGTCGCTGGGGGTTCCGCTGAAACCAACACGTCTTCCAAACAACATGTCCCCCCCAAGGTCCTGTCCGGAAGCGCTCACCTTCTCGTGGTGATGTTCCATGGTAAGTGGGAAGACAAAAGTTTCCAGGTAGAATTGCATCACGTGAGGGAGGTTCTTCAACAGGTTGAATGTAACTCCCATGTGATGTTCATCCTTCAAATCCAAAAGGTGCAGAGGCCAAATGTCGTCTGCGCCTCTGCCACCGACACGGCCCATCGGAGCTCGTTTGAAGGCATCGGCAGTTCCCTTGTCACCGCCTTCGTTTTCGCCCTCTCTTGGTCCGCGAACCTTTCCGCCAGCTTCTTCCACCCATTCCTTGTATCGCAGCGCCGATGGGCGCTTGTGGAGTGGTCCAAACTCAGAGTCAAGCTGCTCTCGTAATTCCATCATGACGTTCTCAAAATCAGTAAATCGAAGCCCTTCGTACCTGTAGGCAAGGATAGTGAGGCCAATGACAATATCTGGCTGCGAGAACTGACTCGCCCGACTTGGAATGTCTTTGCCAACAAACGGGACGGCCGCGAGCCTTCGAGTCAAGGAGATGTTTGGTTCTTGCTCGAGCGACAGTTTTAGGTCCGCTTTGGACAGCAAGCCAAAGCTCACTCGATTGATCTTTGACATGACATGAGGCAGGTAGTTCCTGAGAATATCATGACTGAGATTCAGCATCTTCATGTACTCATCGTCGAGGGCGACCTGGACAGCAGATGCTGCCTGCCGGTCCTTCATTGGCCCATTGATCATGTAGGAAAGAAGATGCTTATCATCCACCGTCGGGAGCCTCTTGTTTCTCAAGTAAAGAAGTTGCCAGCGTGCAATCAAGGGCTTCAATTCCTTGTGATAGTATGCCTTATTCAGCAGGACCAAGTGAGGCGTTTGCTGCATGTGCTTCGCCGCAATACCCTGTTGGATCATGTTGGATATTTGTTCCAAAATGGTTATGGCTTCCCGACTATCCTTGAAAGCCACTGACATCTTCTTCTTGGAGTAGTAGAAGATAGCATCCAAGGCGTGCCACTGAATATTCCAACGAAGACCCATACCAAGTTTAGAACGACTAAAGTCAATGGGGTCCTTTTGTCCGATGGGCCAGTTGAGCTCACTCTTGAGCGGATGCAGAATCAAATCGACTTCGTCGAGTAGCAGGACACCCGTATTGAAGAGCTTCAGGATCTCGGCGCAGTAGTACACATCCTGAGGCTCGACATTCAGGTCCACCAGGACGGACTGGTCCTTGAAACGCCTGGCAATGGCCGAGAGGGAGAAATTAGAGAAGAATCCGTTGTTTCCGGGGTTGTACGTTTTCCTTCCGAATTTCTTCTCTTCCAAGATCTTCATCATCTCCACAAATTTCAGCATGAAAGACTTTACACTTGTCGGTGTCGCACAAATGACAGCCTTGCTATCTCGGGCTTTGCAGAGCTTCAAGTAGAGATCCCGAGAGATTGTCGTGCTGCGATCAAACTTGAATGTGAAGACAGGTTTCCTCACAACAGCTGCAAACTTCTCTCTCATCACACCTCGCGAAAAGTCCAGCAGGGCATGCGGGACAACCTGAGTGACAAGAGATTTGCCATCTGCCAGCATCAATGCAAGCAACGGAGTCACGACTGTCGTCTTTCCTGCTCCCATGATCATTTGATGACACATTGACTTGCCATTTCGCAGGCTGTTCATGAGCTTGTTCACAAGGATGACTTGACTCTTGCGCAGCATCAGTGAGTACGTGAATTCAAAGACAAGATACCGAGGGTCAAACTCAATGAAATTTGGGTTCTGTGCGTTCATCTTCATGTAGTGCCTCTCGTTGGCAACATCCAGAGCCACCTTGGATGCCTGGAGCTTGATCTCTATAACAATCTTGTGGCGCTCCTCAGGCTTGTTGGCGACATTCACCTTCCTCAGCTGCAGAATCAGCTTGGACAGACTTGTGAGCGCGCGATGGGTTTGACTGATCCTGATCGACGTGAGCATCGCCACCACTGTCAAACTCGTCACGGTCTTATACGCCACTCCCGACATGTACGGGTTCAAGGATCGAATATCGTGCTCAGACGTGGTGGATAGGATCGATGCTACCAACAACTCAAACCAGGCAGCAGGTTCTCGTTCGCTGACCTGTCCCAATCGGAATTTCATGAACTTGATTTCGCCATCTGAGCCGCCTGCACTTGGCGTATCGCTTCTCTCGTCACTGGTTGCAATAGCAAGGGATCGATTCATCAGGTTCCAGAGCGACTTCCGATCAAACTCCATTGCATGATTCAGAGATTTGGTCAGTTTGTTCAGCTGCGCCGTGGCTTTGCTAAGGGCAGCGGGGTTTGTATGGAAGGACTGGATCTCTGCAGGAGTGAAGCCAACCAGTGTGGGCGCGAGCTCCGAGTTTGTCTTTTCGGCGTATTTGTACACATCAGACTTGACACGGTTCATGGTTGCCACAGAGCAATGAGTCTGCGAGGAACGAACCGTACTGACATCGAATGGCAGTGCCGCTGATACTGGCGGCAATCCCAATTGAGCCCGCGATAGGTTACTGACAAACGAATCGAGCTTGATGGGAGCCAATGGTTTCGAGGCAAAGGATTGCAACTGCTTCAAAGGAATGTTGACCGCCGCGCAATTTTGTACGTCGAGATAGAACGTGGACTGGGAGTAGTCGGTGATACGCGGTACAACCCACAGCCGGTGAGAAGCATACGACTCGGGGCGACTGAGAATCATGGCCAATCGCGGCACTGACTCCTGGAACACTCTCGGATTTGCAATCATGTTCTTGACACTCTCCTGACCAAGGAAATTGTGCAGTTGATCAATCAGCCGACTCACGGCATCTTTTCCTTGAAACATCCCCTTGATCTTTGTCATACCGCTGTCAATGTGGAACTTGGGGATACTCGGATGCTGAGCAATGGCGGAGCATTCCGCTAGGATTTTGAGCACCGACACCTCCGCAGACTCTGTCTTGTAATCCGTCGAAGGCAACAGACGGAAGAACATTCGACCCCAGTTGTAAGGGCTGTCGTTGGGGTGCACTTTGAAGCCCACTGTCCCAGTCATCAAATCGTAAATCAGGGGGAATCCAAAACGCGACGACGCCATTTCAATACCGGAGGACACGGCAGCGTTGACAAACTCCAAGGCTCGTGCGCCACCGAACGCAGTCCTGGTGCCCTGTCCCAGGTCTTCCTCTGGTCGGCTGTACGCTGCTCCAAACAACTTGCTGGACACCATGAGCTTCTTGTGGTTGTTGAAAATGGTCATGTCCAAGCCAGTGTCCATGTTTTCGACAACCGGAGGCTTTTCGACGCCCAACTTGACTGTCAAAGTTTTGTCCTTTGGGAGACTGGAAAGACTCGTCACGGCAGTGACAAACGCCTTGCGATTCAACAGTGTGAGCGAAAGTCGTCCTCGAGAGTCTGGACTGCAAAGTTGCAGCAGGAGCATCTCCTCTTCGGTTGTCAAACGGCACGCCGACGATACATGGATATGCTTTTTCACATACTCCTCCATCTCCGCGTTGATACTCCATGGGCACTTCATCTTTGAATCGGCTCCTAGACCCACCGTGACCACCGAGAGCTTCAATCGACAGGCATGCGCATCCGGGTGAAAGTCATTACCAAGGAACTCCAGCTGATTGAAGATTTGCTGTTCTTCGGCGCTCAGATCTTCGCTCACGCAAGACTCGACCATCTTGAAGACGTCTTGATACGACCCGGTGATGAAGTACATGACCATCAAGTAAAGCGACGATGCTAAGGATGGAGTGACCAGAAAAGATCGTGAATTGTGGATTGGGTAGAGATACGTTCGGACTTCTCCAATGTTGTCGATCCATTCTTGGTTTCGTCGATCCAGAATGACTTGTACAGACAAGTGAGCACCATCCATATGGAGCCTTCGCGGCAGAGCACAGCCGGGAATGAGGACAAACAGATCGTTGTCTGCATTCTGCAATACAATGAAATGAGCAATTGACCCCAAAAGTCTTTCCGCAATTTCTCTGGCCTCCGTCGAAATGGCAATGTAGAGGCCGTCGTAGTCATTGCTATACATGCGATTGACAACATTTCCATCGATTGTCTTCTCACTCCTTGCGGTGAAGCGAAGGTTGACGCGAGGCAACTCGATAACGTCGATCGAAGCCGGAGAGTGAGCTGATTGGACTTGCGACTTGCTCCAAACCAAGACATGAGCCAAGTTATCCAACCGCGACAAAAGCATACCAACTCGCTTGAGGAGCGAAGAGGGGGGTGCGCAGAGTACGCTCAAAAGCGTCAGAACGGGTTGATTGGAGTCTCTCTTTTCGATTTCATTGTCGTCGCTCAAGACGGGAACTTGCTGTATCATTGCTTCAGCCGCAGAATTGCAGAAACCAGTCTTGTCGAAATCAGTCGACTTGGACAGAGTGATCTTGAGCCTCGATGAGGGAACGTCAGCGTCGGGTACCTTTTTCTTGTCCTCCGGGCCCAAGTCCTCTTCCATTTGGGTGGTTTTCTCGTAGCCAATGATGTCGTCGTTTTCACTCTGCCAAAACACGTACTTCTCAATGAGACTTGACGGGATTATGCCAGCAAGGAATCTCGGCGGCACGTATGTTTGTGTTCCAAGGGTCGAGTTCAGAGCCCTCGTGACGACAAGTGAAGGAGCTGGGAGCTGCTTCGTCATTGGGACACCAGCAGAAAGGGCCAGGATACCTGCAACTCGATCTGGGTACGGCTCGCCAGTGTTCACCTCGTGCAGGCAAAGGGACAGGTTTGACGTATACTGGAGCACACGCATGTGGCGTCTGCCATGTTCGACAACATTGAAAATGGCAATGGCTGGCGGGTTTTGCCAAACAACTACTTCCTTCAAAGTGTGGGTTGCAAGGGACGCTGTGCTGTCAGGGTTTTTGATCCATCCCGCCAACAGAGCAAACGGCTCCTCCGAGAGATCGTTCGGGGTCATATACAGGGTTGTTTGTGGGAGAATCAGAGCAAGCTTATCCCCCAGTGTCTCCGAGATCCATCGCTCTCCCGGACGCAAACTGTTTGGAAATTTCCTGGTGAACTTCGAATCCATCGACCACTTGATATCATAGTAGTTCCTCGAATCGGGGCTCCATGATTCAATGTCATAACGGCGACCCACTAAACGCCACCAGTACCTGTTCGTCGTGTGCATGACTTCGGCACACGCCACATCACTGGCATCTTTCAGCGCCGAGTGTCGCGTCTCCGCGAAGTCGGGATCCTCCATAATGTGCGGGTCCAGAAGCGTCATCTTGTGATTCTGCAGTGTAAAGTCACTGAGCTGTAGATTGACCTCGATCCCAACCGCCTTGGTTGTGACGTAGAGCATCCATTCTTCGTAAGTTTGGCCTGGTTTCGGTATTCGATAGGTTCCGTCGCGAAGATTGACATCTTCTGTGTCTGGCACGAATCGACCATAGCAAGTCGGGTGTCCAATGCTCTGCCAATGCCTCTTCTTCAAATCGGAGTCCTCGCGGCTTCCAGTTCCAGTGGCAACCCTAACAACGGCTTCCATGGCGTGGTCTCCATCTTCTTTTCTTTCTCTGCAGAAGCGGAGAATGTTGTAGCGGTGCGCTTGAATCACATCGAAAACCTCGGACTGAGCAATCTGAATGGACGGTGGCGGAGCTGTAGGGTTGTGGGTGTCCTGTAGGTCATCGTACACCTTCGTGCTGAACCTGTGATTGATGGTCAAGTAGACTTGGGAAGACAAAATGACTGACACTGCACGGTAATCCAAATCTTCGTAGTCGTAGTTTTTGAACAGATACAGCAAATGTGCGTGAACAAGATTCATCACGTCAACGTCTTTGCAACGGTTAGGGTGGATCCAGTACTCCAGGGTGGGAATGGCCTGTGAATCCAACAGTGCACGGATCTTCTTTAAGGAAGCCTCCACTTTGATGTTGCTCAGTGACTCGAGCCCGCGAGGCCTTGGTTGGCCGGGGATGCATTTCTTCAACGCATATTTCATGTATCCCTCAATGCGCACAGCAAGTCGAATAAGGTAGAGAATTAGAGGCCCAGAGGAGGCCTTCTTGGTATATTTCCCGACATCCATATCGAGTGCTCGTTCAAGCATTTTGACGACGCAAGTCGTAATCACGTCAGGAGACTTAGCAATTTCGTTGAACATTGTTCCATGCGCCGTTGCCAGTAATTCCTCGAGTTTGTCATAGTTAACCACCGGAATCTCAGTGATCGTGTCCGTGTAGTCAGCAGGCTTCCATCGGCCTGGTTCAAAGAGCGCGGCGTCAACAATCATTTGCAGGGACTTGGTCTTCAAGCCGGAGAGACGGGTGGGGTCTCCATTTGCGAAGAAATCCATGATCAGGGGGATTCGAATGTACGGTGCTGTAAGGAACTGCACAAATCTCTCCGAGTCCGAGGGACTAAGGACATGTCCGAAAGTAGGAAGCTCTTTGTTTTCAAGGTGTAGAATGTCATCCTCCGTGTGAACAGAAATGGGTTTGGCGTTCCTAATAAGAGGAGATGGCAGAAAGATGAGAAGTTCGCAAAAGATAATTCGCCAAAGCAAAAGGAGACGGCGGGCACAAACAACGTGGGTGCTCACCGTTTGTTCAGAAACTTTTCTCCACAAGAGTTGATTACCGTGTTGGGATCAGCAGAGGAAAGTCGAGCCCGGACTTCTTTTTCTTTGCTGGAAAACAGTGACAGGAAACCTTTCTGCTTGGTCTTGACAGTAGCTTGCTGCGCGACGACTTCGACAAACCCTTGAGGGTGCCCATGGAATGCCTTGACCGAGTACTCGAGCAAGGGATTGTCCTTTTGGATGCGCTTCACTTCCCAGTGAAGAGTGGCATCAGAGGGCAACCAGGTGTGAGTGTCGGGGACATCTTGTGCGGTTTGGGCCTTTCCAGAGACCGCGTGACGGAATGCAAAGACTATGTCACGGAAATACTCGAAATCAGGAAGCACCTCCAACATGGATCCGTTCCTTCCCGAGATGAGCATCGTGGCATGGTTGGCGACCGCTTCAGGCGTGGGTGGGTGAGGACGCTGAAATGCCAACTGAATCGAGAGCTGATTGATCAGAACCAGATCTCCATCCATGGCAGTGAGACTCTTGTCAAAATTGAAAATCGTATTGCGTTTGCTGCCGTCGTCCTTCAATGTGAGACCCCGCAAATAATCGAGACACTGAAAACGGAGTGCACACAGCACAGGATCATATATCGGTAAATTGGACCCGAGTGAGTCATAACTGCCAGCCTCTATGCCGAACGGCTCCGTGGGACCTTCACATAGCCCCGAGTAATGGAGACAGAAGGCACTAGGGTCATCCACTGCTTTGACTCGACAGATAGCGTCCGCGACACAAGCACCTGCTGCTAGTGCCGTTGATCTGATGGCCACCAAACCACGTGACTGTTGAACACAGGCTGTCGCCGCGGCGTAGATTCGGACAATACGACGGATCAAAAACAACAAATTGACTTGCGTTTCGCGTCGCATCTGACCCTTCCTCCAGAAACAAAACTTGGGATCCGCGTTGGGCATGGGCAGGATGTGGGTCAAGCAATACTGCGCCGCAGAAGCTGCAAATGCTGGAGAGTTCTTCACGAGTCGTCGTTGCTGGAGAAGAAGACTGCAGGCATCCGCGATTCGTTGCAAGGAAGACGATGCCGTGGCATAGTCAATAGCCACTGGGGGCAATCCTTCATCGGTGAGGACAGCGGGGATCAAAATGGGATCTTGCCTGGGATCGCCCATCAGCCTCTTGACGACATTTTCATAGTCATCTCGTCGCATCCGTCCAAACAGAGGATGCGCCGCGCTGCCAGCCGATGTTTTGAGTGACGTGATGATTCCTCTCGAGAATTCGTCTTTCATTGCTGACTTTGACAGGCCATGACTGTACTGATCCATAGGTCTGGACGCCGTGTAGTTGATTTTCTTCAGGAATCGATCCAAAAAATCCCACGTTGCCGAAAGACCAGCGAGCAAGGTGTCGTCTCCGACCTTTGACGGATCCATAGTGGCGGCAAAACTGGACAAGTTTCTTCCCGCCAGCTTGAGAATACGAGTGTCTTCCGGGTCCAACGAGTGAGCCGGTGCATTCTCAATTTCTTTGTAGGCTAGACTGAGCGCCGCGTTCATCACCAAGAGGGTCGAGTAAACAGAGCTACGTTGCCCTATGGCAGGACTGGTGGTCAGAGCCAACCTTGCCAAGGGATGCATCGTGGAGGCAGTAATCGCGTCCGGGACTTCGAGGTATTCAGCGGGGCCTTGATCCAAATTGGAAAGAAGCGGCCTCGAGTTCAATGCCGGAAGCAATTTCGTGTAGAGGAACTCGGCTGTGTTCTTTCGCGAAGGGTAGACTTGCATGCGAAATAGCAGAATCCAGAACGTCGAATCTAGGAGCCTGGCAGACGGAATTTCCCAAATTGTCATGGCAAGCTGCTTCAACTGACGCCCAGTTTCTGGGTCAAAGGACGAAGGGTGGTATTCGAGACCGTCCTTGCTGGTGTTGCAGATCGTGAAACTCCATTTGTTGTCGCCGCAGTTTCGAACAACGTAAAGGCAAATATTGCAATAGTCTGGTTGTTGCCATCCACCAGGCAAGACAAGCTGCTGGTTTGGCTGCACCTTGTCAATCAGAGGCACAAAGACATTGATAAAATTCAAAAATAGCGCATCCAAATTCTTTCCCGATGCACCTGCTGAATGGGGCAAAATGGAAATCAGCTTGATACATGCCTCGCAAGCCATGTGATTGTGTCTCAAGTATCTCAACGACGGAGACTCGGCACAGACATGCGAGACAAAGCTGAGCGCCTTGGCCAATCGTTCATACATGGCTGCGCGATCATTCAATTTTTCAGGTGGAATGGGCTGTCTTCGAATGTACGTCTGCAAATTCAAAAGAGCCCAAAAGGGTGGAACTCGGTAGATGGGATAGAACTTTCGCGTAGGTTTGCCACCTGTAGTACCGGACAAATAATCAAACGCATTGAATGTGACGTATTTGCTGGCTTCGCTTTCTTCTTGCAATCGTGTTGACAATCCAACTTCGATTTCACCCGAGGCTGTTGTAGACAATGCAATTCCACTGGTTCCAATTCCTCCAGCATTGGTTTCGGGTTCGTGATGTCCTCGCATTTCTGCCTTTTCCCGTCGCAGCTGTGCCTTTTGGTCGGCTTCTTCTCGTTCCCGTTCCTTGAGGGCTCTCAGTTCTTCTGGCGAAAGTTGTGTGGGACCCTTTGTCCCTGCAGAAGGAGCCACACGTGCTTCTGCCGTCTCGGCCATGTCTTTGAGCGACCCTGGCTTGGAGGGTGACTGTGAATGGCTTCGCGGGGGAGCACCCTTAGCCTTGTTCGGACTTGGGCTCTCTTTGGAGCTCACCGACGAAAACGATTTGCTCGGTCTGGGTGGTGTTCGTTGTTGTGGGGCAGCGGATGCTTCTTGCGCCTTTTTAGCACTAGCTGGAGTTGGGACAGCCGACACTGTGCGAGATTTGGCGGGAGGAACTGGACTGGTGGATCGAGCTCTGGACGCGCTGGCATTTTGTTGGGGTGTATGAGGACGGGATCGCTGTGCTGCTTGTTGTTGTTGTTGTTGTTGCGATGGTGGTACAGGAGACGTGGAACGCCCAGGAGAAGGAATTCCCCCAGTACCAGAAGTTCCTCGCATGGTGGACGCTCCTTGAAGTCGCTGCACCATGTCTCCGCGTTCAATGCAATTGGAGACATCGACGCCTCGCTCTCGTGCCAAATTTCGCAACTGTGAAACGGACATGTTTGAAATTTGAGCTTGTGTAGGAGATGGTGCAGCGGGAGGAGCTGCAGAAGTAGTCCTGAGAGGAGACGGTGGCCCTTGGCTGCTGGCGGGCGATCCAAAGCCGGGCAAGGCTCCCATGCTTTGTGCCTGAGCCGCTGGCATTCCAGTAGGCATGGTAGAATCAGGGGAAGGCAACTGGGAAGTTGTGGCTCCAAACCCAGTAGCAGAAGGCCCCATATTGTCCAACCCAGCAAAGGGATCGGAAATTTGGGCAGGTTGATAGGCAGCCGCCTGTGGTCTAGCCGCTGCCATATTACTGAAGGGTTGTTGCTGCTGCTGTTGCAGATGAGGCGAACCAAATTGTTGTTGTTGCTGATGAAATCCTCCCTGTTGTTGCTGCTGCTGTTGCTGCTGCTGTGGATATCCCTGTTGCTGTGGATATGTTTGTCTTTGCTGCTGGTTGACCGACGAAGGGAAACTAGCTTGTTGCATTCTTTGTTGCATGGACACATTTGGTTGTTGCTGTTGTTGCTGCTGTGGCTGACCAAAGGACTGTGTAGGAGCTGCTTGCGGAGCAGCCGTCACGTACGTTGGTGGAAACCATCCTTCCTTGCCATTGCAGGCACCCCACCACCAGGCTCCCGACTGTCCCAATTTGGCTGTGATCATGGTCCCCTGTGGAAACGACAGTTGAGACTGGCGGACATCCCCCTGAAAGGGATGCTTCGCCACGTATCGCTGCATGACGATGCCGGCTAAAGCAAAAGTTGAGGATTCAATTCAATTCAATTCAATTCAATTCGAGTCTTTCAAGAGCAGAAAAGGACCAAAGGGAGTCGAGTGACGAGTCGCCTCGATGACGGCGCCAACGGGCTTTCGCTGGGTGGATATAGCCGACCTCAGAGCGAGATCCTCGCGGATAGTCACAACCTCGAGTCAACGCCAAACTGTCCTAACCTTATAGCCTTCAACAGCACTCCTGTTTTCTCCAATCCTCTTCTTTCAATGATTGTAGTGAGATAACAAGGCAACACGTTGTTTCTTGGTTGTTGTGGACGCAAGGGTTATCCACCGTGCTGTACGTTTTTGATACGAAAGCAAAGGATCCAACAAATCGGATCTGGCATTTTTAACCGTTGACGATCGAGGGCCAGGTGGGAGGTGCGCCAACGACTTATTCCACCACGGTGCCCTAACCCTAAAACAAAGTGTCATCGAAACGTGTCGGCAGACTGCACGGGACAGAGAAAAGTGATGAAAAACCATTACGAATCCAAGCCACCACCAGCACAATCCAAGAACACATACCGGTGTGTTAGAAGAAGCAAACGAAGCAAGGACTAAAGGAAGAAAGCACCATGGAACAGCGCGATTGTGCCGAATGCAACAAACCTCTACCCAGGAGCCAATATTCCAAGAATCAATGGCGAAAAGGCCCCGGGGGAAGATGTTCCAACTGCGTCAACAGTGGGAGCAACAATCAAAAAGTAAACAATGATGGAAATCATCTCAAGCAAATACAGCAACAGCGAAAGCAGTATTCCGGCCCACCCACTCCGCTGTCCCTGGATCCTCGACCACAGATGGATGTTCCCGGTTTTGAAGGAGCACTTACAGTGTGTACCGATTGGCCACAGACACGCAAGGGGGAGCCACCCGCTGCTCAATCGGCAGTATTCATGCCTCTGCTAGCCTGTGTCATTGGACCCGTGGAAGGCCATTGTAACGCAGAGCAGCTAGAAGTTGCCCAACAATGGTGGGCGTTGGCGTTACCGGCATGGCCAAGATGGGTAGAATCACTTCGACAGGCAGGGGTGGCAGCACAACGAGAGCAACTGATCAAGGCAGCCAAGGGACACCCAAATCCGCTCATCCACAATGCCAAAGGACATGGGACAATCCCGCATTTCAAAGGAAAAATGCAAGTGGATGCTCTGGAGAAAGATCCAATGGTTGCTCTGGAGGTCTACGCTTGTGTTACATGTCTTTACTCTCAAGCGGCCCTCGCAGCTACTCCTTCAGAAAATGACCAATAGAGGACCTGCACACGACGGCTAGCTAGCGTAGACGCTGTGCCCCAATGAAATGACATGAAATGAAACTAAGTAAAACGGATTCTACTCTTTCCCCGCATCATAGTTGGTGGCCCAGGGTTGCAGCTGCTCAGGTGCTAAAATGGGCGTTGCAGAGGAAGCCCAAATTCAGGTCTACGGTAGCGAGGAGAGCCAGCCCTGAATTCCCGGCCTTGCATACTCTACTGGTATCGACTTTCTGCGATGTGTCAAACAGAGACCATAGTCCTTGAAAACGACGAACGATAACATGACCAGGTACAAAGCTGCAGGTTCCAGGTAATTGTATTAAGTGGACTAGTCTGTTGACCAGGTTGCGTGCTTCCTACTCTTAGGTTCTCCTCTGCAATCTCGTGCTCCCATAACCTGATGACCCGATCATTCGATGACAATGACATGCCATGACATGACAGGAAACGGCGTCTGTCTAAGCAAAATCGGCGCCATTTCGCAACAATCATCCACCATCTCACTATCAATCAGAATACAACATCGTGCATGCATGTGTGTGCTGGCACAAAAATAGAAAGGAAAAAGTTTCTTGAGTCAGAAGATAGAGATGGCATATCATCGAAAGCGAACAATGGGCTCACCTCCAGACTTTGAATTCCCCAATTGTAGCCAAGTGATGATGACTGCTTTGGTTGGATTTGTTGAACAGGAGCAACAGAGGAGTTTGCCGCTGTTCCATTAGAAGACAGCCACCGGTTCTGTGCTCGCATCTCGCGACGAAGGGAAGAAGCGATGGAATTTGTCCATGTCATGGTTGGAGTTGCGTAAAGAGGTCGGTTTCTAGAGGGTGCACGGTTGAATATTTTGTGGGTGTGTTTGTTTGCCCCTTTGACCCGGCATCATGCAAATTCCCAACTTCAAGTGTTTGTGGTGAAGCATAACGGGAACATCGTTCATGCTGGTCGGTCGTGTGGTCACGGACTTTGATTTGGGAGGATGCGAACCAGCATGTGCTTTTTCGTCTGGGAACAGGAAAGATCTTTCGCAGCAAAAAAAAGGAAAAGATGCTACAGTACCTATTCCAATGCCGTTTCACGATACCGGTAGCTAGTTTAGATATTACCAACGTGGAAAGGTATCCACGAGACGCAAACCATCGTGGGGTATGTGCTGAACTACTAGTAGTGTCACACCGGTGTCCTCACAGAGAGAACCCTTTCCACAGTGTACCTCACTGTGAGCAAGCTAGCCTCGCACTTTACTAGTTGCCGACAACGCCCTCATCAATAATCCGCCGGTACATGGTAATGTACCTCTCTAGAAGGGTCTCCTCCTAGGACGAAACTTCAAAACTTGGACCTGGAAACGAAAAAGTCGACGTCAACATCAACGTTGTTGGTAACACCTTTGCGACTGACTCCAGGAATACCAAGGTACATGTAGGGAGCAATCAACCCACAAAGTTCTTGTTGATCTTCTTGGTGGGAATGAGATATTCGGAGTACTCGCGACGCAACGGGGAAGCCATGCCGAGCAGGCTAGTGTTTTAAAAACCAGAGTGTGACGGCCCTTCGAGTTACCGGTATGGTTGGAAGCAGCGAGAATGTGCCTGATCGCCACATCGCGGACGTCTACGAGTGCCATGGCGTAGGCGACACAGCCATCTTTCATGCTGCCTCTACCCAAATGCTGCATAAAGACGTATACAGCGTAGGACTCGGAAGTCGGCTGGTACTTGATTCCAGGACCATCGACCTCACTGTGTCTGCGATCCAGAAATCTCCCAGGCGGTCAACTTGGGCCTGACCTGGGAGAAGTAGTATGTCTGGTAGTCCTATCTTGCAGTGGTGAGTCCTCACCTCCAAAGCGGACCACTTTCAACCTCAGATTGAAAACAGGACAGTGCCATCATCCAGAAATTGGTCTTGCTTTTGCATGTTCTGTATTGGGCATCCATAGAAAGACCCATAGAAAGACGCACACGTCGAAGACGTGTGAGATTCTTTGGCTCCTTCAGAAGCCAAAGGGAGAATATCATTTTTTGGTTTGTGTTTTACACGAAGGCTAGTTGAACACCAAGACGAAATAGCGGCTACTGCGAAGGGAGTTTTCCGATTGTGAAGTCCAACAGCAAGCAACCTTCGGAACAACGGTGTCAGCGATTGAGCACCGCCCTCGACAACAAACACTCCTCCCAACACTATGATAGCTACCATTACGTGACAACGTCGATAAAGAACGCAGAAGCGGCACCTGCTGAATTTACCCCTACAGCCTCTCTGTAGTAGCATGCACATCAAAGAAATGGAACCAACGGAGAGGCTCTATTGCATATAGATTAGCTACTAGTAGCGTCTGAAAACATGTATTTGTATTTATGATAGAAGGCGGTCGTCGTTTGTTGTAATGTATGAAAAACCCTCCCCTGCTGAACTCAATCACAACTCTTCCTTAGCGTCTTTCCATGCTGTAGATTCAAGGTCGGTACAGCGCTGAGGGCTGAAGGTGGTACTGATATCACTGGGAGGTGGATGGAGCGTGCATAGAGAACTACTTGGGTCTGTGTATCGTTGACTTGAATGAATCTTTGGGCGTTTTGTTGTCGTGTACCGGTATCGTTGGACTGTTAGCCACAATCAGTTTCTGTGCAGGATGACTAAATCAGGTCCAGCAGAAAATAAATGTTCCGAAAAATGGCGAGACAGACAGCACCACGGAATTAGACGCAGGGACGTTAATCACCAATGAGCAACAGCACACAAACACTGTCCTATCCATACCATAGCATAGTTCACTCTGTCTGACTGGTCGATGCTGGAGGGCTAGCTTTTGGCGGCGGTTTCGAATCGAGTTTGGGCAAAATGTTGACAATATCTTTCTTCGTCGCGTTCGTGCTTGCTAACTCAGCAGTGCCTCCTGCGGACAAACGACGGCGGCGTCTGCCGCTTTCCTGTCGGTGCTTCATCAAAATTGCGGTTCCCCAAGTCATGGTGGATCAATAGCTGTCACTTTGTATCAACAGTAAACGTCTCTCTTCTTGTCTCTTGTGTGATCTTCGGCGAAAAGAACAAAAGAACGAAGCTGCGGAGTTGCAACGTTGCCAAATGCCTGTTAAAACCGGTTTACCGGTACGGTACATGATCCACCCATTCAATCGAATCATTCGACTCGACCCATTAACCCTTTGCAGGCACCCAAAACCGGTACCGGTATCATAAATCCTCTGAAAAATGTGGATTTAAAGTACCGGAAACATTTGGCACGATTGAGGATGGCACGAGAAACGAGAATTTGACGGCAGCCACCGTCTCTGTTGGAAGCCATGTTGCATAATACCGATTATCGATATCTTTTACCACATTTAAACATGTTTATGTGAAACCGATTGGCCACTCTCTATTTGGCGCTACCGGTATCTATCTGAAGACTCTGCGGAAGAATGCTTATCTTTCTGTGTGGAGTTGTTCGTCTTTTCCTGCATGGACAGGAGACTGCAAAGGTCCCTTTTGAATTGGAGTTTCCTCGAATCGAATCGAATCGAATGATCATCACAGCGGTGCAAATAATGTCAATATCAAACGTGATTCCACGGCGCATACGGTATCCATTCCTATACCTCCACCAAGGTACACGGTTGTGCACTTCTGCGATAGGAGTGGGATCACTCGTGAGCAGGGTTTCAGTTATTAGCTGGGTGTTAACTCCATTGCGAGAGCAGACGCGGAAGAGGTGCCAAGTGGGAAACTCTTAGCTACTACCGGCACTAGTAGCTGTAGGGGGGCGAAGCAACGCAGCCACTGTTTACATTGAAGAATGCTGGATAGCTTAGTGGCCGGTAGCCATGCTTTGCACTTTGCACAGTCTTTCTCGTGCTACCAGGTACGGCCGGGTACATCATACTGGCTATCGTGGGGTGGAATTCTAACTTTCGAAGACGAGGAAAGATTCATATGCCCCCTGGGTCGTCTCCGTTTCCATAAATCTTTTATTACCAACACCTGAAACAGTATTCGCGCGCTCCGCGCGCTCATCCCTTTCTTGCTTCGCCCCGAAACAGCTCCCTCGCTCATTCATGCGAAACTTGTGTGAAAAGCGAGGCGACTTTCATGTGCATGTACATGCGTTGACTGTATCCCGTCAATACAATACTAGTCAAATACGTAGACTTCTACAGAGGCCTCTAAGTATTGCACGCCGGGTATAATTCAAACCTCTGCCCCCAACAGTACCCTTACCCCTAAAGCAAGTCGTCTCCGGGAGACGAGATTCGATAGAAGATTCGCGCCATTATTCTCAGCAATGCCCGCGTTCTTGTCTCATCTTTGGCGCAAATTAGATTGCCGTTGCTTGGCTTAAATCCGCCGCCACAGCGCACGATCAAAGCAGCTATCGAAGCAGCGTTCGCATCAATTGATGCAATAAAATCATACATGTACGTAGAGCACCGCACTCTATCCTATTCCATTGCACACAACGCCAGATACAATCAGGACAAACAATGAGATCAGCAGAGATTCTCTTTACGATCGCTTCTGTAGCCTCTTGGCTTGCAGCTCCAGTGTTTGGATGGGACATTGCTGCTGCCCAGAATGAATTGAACACTCAAAAAGCAAAATGGGAGAGTATGGCCATCGACAATTATCGCTACCAGCACAATGCAGCCCATGATACTTCAGGCGCTGTCTATCCATTCACAACCCATGTCTGGCAAGGAAGTGTGGTTTCCTATGTGGATGGCCAAGGCAGACAAATCAATTGGCTCAGTCCCAACACTTTTGGCAATTGGTTTGGTCTCATTCAGACCTACATTGATCAGCCGGCTAGGGATCTTCGCGTCACCTACGACGCCACGAGAGGCTTTCCAGCAACCATCTATATTGTCGCAAACACTGGTCAAGTACAAAACTTTGAAATCTTTTCCTTTCATTATTACCAGGTCAACTACAATCCTCAAGGCGTCCAAGCTACCCTTGACAGAGAATTAGCAAAATGGACTAGCATGAACATTCAGAATTATGACTATCAGCACATCGCCTATCACGACACCACCAATGTGGTGTATCCATTCAAAACCGAAGTACGAAATGGAGCAGGAACTTCCCTGAAGGATGGCAACGGCCAGCCTATTACATGGACCAGCCCTTCCACCATGGGTAACTGGTTTGGTCTGATCCAAAACTATCTGAATTCCGGTGCTCAGTACATTGAGGCCACTTACGATGCAACAAGAGGATTTCCAACCCTTATCTATGTGATTCAGAACAATGCACTGGCGTACCATGTCGAAATCAATAGTTTTATCTACTTTTGAGGACCACACATACCGGTACATGATTATCAATGCGACAAGATACCTAATCACAGATGAAAAAATTCCATGTGCATTCTCGCAATTCCCAGTGTAATGGTTGAACCTCTGCGCAGGATTTGGGATTTGGTTCGGTGACGGTGACACGATAAAAGTTTTGATTTGTCGGCAAGGGCCCTTCTCTGTGTACGGTAGAAACGTAAAGGCTATCAAATATTTTATTGGAGGCTTGTGTAGAAATGCAGCTGCAAAGGCTGAGCTTCCAAACAGCCAGCCAGTGGCTTCTCGTAGCGGTTTTCTGGAGAAGCCCGTGGTGCCAGCCTGATAGTTCACGCCTTTGGAGTATCGAGCCGGAACGATGTATGCATATATAGCTAGCCTGCTCTTGCTCATCAGTTTTGATCGTCAGCTATTCTTCGTCCTGTACAGATCCATGGCGCCCGGGAACCATGAAGCGGGTCCTTTGTCAGTGCTAATGTGCCTCAGGCTGGTCATGATGAGGGCACGATCGAGGGTACCGGTACTAGGAGCCAGTACCTGGTAGCGGTAATCGGGAAAGTGTAGAAACGAAGTGTAGTTTTGGATCACGAATCCGACGTCACTGAGTTGGCATCTGTTTTTCTCTTCAATTGGAATTTGCTCTTTGCTCGACGACGATGATGGCGGGTGTCATTCCTCCGAAGGGGCTTCTCCTGCAACAGCCAGTTCAAAAGGAAGCCGAAGATACGGTCGGTTCTGTGAATCCTCAAAAAAGTAAGAAGGGTTTGTGGTTTCCCTTATCCTCAAGCTTGGGTAACTGTAGCCAACACCAATGCCGACCATGAAGCAAAACTTCATGTTGGTTGGCGGCCTTTGCTATGGGCTGCCAACTTTGGGATTCGTGATGCCTACCAGCAGGTGTTCAACCGCCGGCTCAAGGTCCGCTTTCAGTAGAATGGATGCTCGTGGGTCCTTTCTGATGGAAACAGACGACGATACTACGGCCCCTGCCAACAATGGTGCTAGTTATATTCGCTGGAAGACCCGATCGTCCGCCAATGCTCCTTCTGCCGATGTTTGGGAACTGCAGACAGCCGTCACGACGTTCCAAAGGACAAACCCTGAAACCAAGACCACGGAACGAATTGAGTTGCATGCTCAAGTTCATTTTGGTGCGCAGGAGTACTTTGACTACTTCAACAGTGCCGAGTTTCGAGACAAACATGACCAAGTTCTGTACGAACTGTTGGTAGACGAATCCTTGTTGGGTTTGAGTCCGGATAAAAGAGGGCGATCATTGACAGAGGGCCTACAGGCATCGCAGAGCGATCAGTCTTTGGCTCAAGGATACGGATGGATGTGCCAAGTCGATGTCATGGATTACACACAACCGAAATGGAAACATGCCGACTTTACACGACAAGAGCTATTGCAGCAGCAACAACAACAGCAACAACGCCAAGGCAGTGCACTGGACAGCAATAGTCGTCCTCTCTGGCAACAAGGCACGACATTAAATTTTTGGCAACCAGCAGTCTCTGCTCTCTTTGTAGGGCCACCATCGTTGTTTGTTGCGGCCGACACGGACGATCCTGCAGCCGCCACAAAACGGCAGCTCTTTACAAACTTGTTTCTACCTGGCAATCAACTGGCTGGTTGGCTCAGAGCCATGCTGTGGGTCACTGTACCAGCACCAGAAATATCTGTTCTACTACTCGATTGGAGTTCTTTGTTTCTATCCACGAGATCGTCTGCCAAGTTTAGCCCAGTGACACTGCCCATTCTGCAGTCTTTAATGACACTCCAGATTGCCCAGCTCAGGCAATTGATTTTTGGCCAAGTCTTGGTATCGGGAAATTCGGGTCAACAACAACAGCAAAAGCAAAATCAGGATTGGAACTTGCTAGTCACGCAGAGAAATGACCATGCGCTGCGAGTTCTTCGCTCCTCCTTGGTGGCACCCTCAACTGGCCGAAAACAACCGCAACAACTTGCTCTACTCTATGGTTGCAGTCATTGCCCGGACCTGCACACAAAATTGGTCAGGGACTTTGGATTTGCACCAACCAAGACCACGTGGAGGACAGCGTGGTCTGTTTCCGTGCCAAACACATTTGCAAGAGGAGACAACAACGGCCCCAATGTTGCACCTGCTGCTACCAAACAGGAAAATGTTGATGATTCATCCATGCAGTTGTTGTCCGACTTGACGAACTCATTGCCGCCCACTGCATGGGCAGCCCTGTTCGTTTTGTTCCCCTTGTATCTGGGTGTGGGCGCTGTGGATTGGGTCGATACGATTCATTCATCTTCTGTATCTTTATTGGAGAAACACAATCCAGTCTCCTTCACTGGCGATTGGTTCTTGTATCTCATCAGGCATGTTCTGTGCTACATAGGCGTATCCAAGTTTTCATTGGAATGGCAGGACCCAAACAACAGAAACAACAACAAGGGCACGTGACTCTTGCCCTTCGATGTGCGTGCTCCCCATTCACACAAAAGTACATGTACATGCATCTCGTGGACCACTTCATTCACGCACACAACACTGCCGTTCAGGGACCAGGACAGCTGCGTTCTTCGAAGAAATGCCAAGCGATCGTACCGCTCTCGAGAGGCCAAGCAACATCAAAATTTCCCACCAACAAAACATAAATTAGAACCAAAAGCACGCTACTGCACACAGCACTACGGTGGCTACAATTTTCGTCATGAGCATCATAAAACAGTTGCTATTGCAGCCTACCAAGTTACTGGCGCTTACATATATCATACCCAAGAGCTTCCTGTTCATGGCCATCCAACATCCAACAGACATACTGGTTAGGGTACCAGGTACGGTTGATGTATTCAGATCTCCGTACCGTACCATATGCATACTCAGTGAGCGACGAGCGAGCGTCGAGGGTCTGATTACTAATACTATTTTAATTAATAGTAGATTCGTAGATTCTCCAGAATCAGTCATTTTGCACGACTAAGAGTGACAGATTATTTATGAGATTGCATGACTGAAAGTGACTGAGAATTAACGACCGTGGAAGTTACACGCGACTAAAAGTGACTGACGTTAAATCGTGTTGACACAAGAAATGACTAGGCTGGCGTTTTGCCATTTTTCTGTCCTCATCCTCACAATTTGCGCTGTTCAGAGTTCATCACACAATCTATCCTGAGACCACTCGAATTGCTGCCTTTCTGTTTCCGCACGCTGTTCATCCTCTAGGTTCATTCTGCATTGATTATCACGTCGACAATGGCACAGCATTACGAGTATTACAATGACGAGACCGTGGCGACCGAAGCGTCCGATGATTCTTGGAGTGAGGTTGAGATTCGCGTGTACGAAGTGCAGCTCTTTCACAGCCAAATATTGATTTGAACACAAAAAGAAGCCATATAGAAGCCAAACTACTGTAAATATACCAACAGCAGGAAAGAGCGCGAAGAGCCTCGCGAGATGATTATTTCCTTCTCCAAGGATCCTCTTCTCATCGACAGGCAGCAATCATCCCCAAAACAAGCCGTAAGCTTCCACGAGTACAACGGCGCTGTGACAGCAGCAGGAGAAAACAGAATAGTCGATGATTTGTATTCCTACGCCGCCGCCGACGACGACGACTACTGCAGCTTGTTCCGACAGGTGTTTGAAGACAGCGATACCAGCGACTTGGAGTCAGAATACGATGACTACGAAAACAGCCACGAAAGCCGGAAGATTTTTGCTGCTGCCCAAGAGATGTTTGACCACGACGAGCAGGATGAATGTCAAGTCTTGAACCTCCCTGCTGGCCTTTACGAACTTGAGGACAAGAACCACATTACCGTCCCCAAACAGATGTTGCGTGAAGACGGGAATGATGAGTGCCATGTCTTCTCTCTATCTGATGATTTCCTTGCACATCTCAGAGACCTCGCCCAGAACCAGTCGGACGATTCTGACAATGAAAGTGAATCAAGCAGTGCCGAGGTCGCAGATGAAGCAGAAATATCTGACGTCAATTATAGTAGTTTGTACGACAAGGAACTGCAGCGCTGGTGCTTTGATCCGATCGAGAGCAGAGTGCTTAGCATGATCGAAGTTTCTGGCAGCCGCCAGCCAAAAGTTTGGAATACGAGCGGGGGACTATGGGTGGTCCACAGCATGCCTGAGGCAGATCTTGCGTCTTGGACTGGCAGTGAAGAATTTTATTTCGCTCTAGACCTAGAAATGGAAAAGGAAATGGAACAACACGAATCTATTTACGAGGGAGTCTGGCATCCAATAGTTGAATATATGGCCAGATCACGCTTGGAAAGAGCAGTGGATTTGCGCCATTGCCGGTCAGTTGATATTCATGACGGCATACTAGAGTCTGCATACACACCATATTTGTAAAGTAGTAAGAAATATATAGTTCAAGCTAATTCAAAAAACAAAAGTATGTACCACCAGCAGTAGCAAGAAGTATCTACTAGTAGTTTCTACCGTATAGCCCGTGCCAACGTGATGTGAGTTCTTGGTTCTCTGCTTTTTCGTACTGGTACCGGTACCATCTAGAACGAAGCAGCGATGGCAGATCCAAGCCCCCTCCCCTCGTAAGGTTCCTCTTCAATGTACACCACGCATCTTACACTAGCAATGAGGAATCTGATCAAGCGATTCGATTCTTCAACCCGCCGATGGACACGTTTGCTGGTTTGCGCCAACGTGATGAAACCTTCACGATGCCTGCTACATGTAGTCGGTTGCTCTTCCTTTCCTCGATAGTGCAAGCATTGCGTCGGTTCACTGGTGAAGTGTATGTGCGGAAGATCTTGGTTCCAGAGAATGGTTCAATGCGCATACTCGTGCTGTCGCCATCCTCATTTGCCCACGGTACCCGTACGGTTTTGTCGCACACCAATGTTTTGGATCTCCGACGAGTCTTCGAGAACTGTCATCCAAGAACGTGCATCGGCGCCACTCGACAGTCTGCGAACAAAAACCACGCAATGAACGTCACCACGGCGTTTTGGGTCCATACACAGTGCAGGTTACTACGATTGTCATTTAAGACTGGCCGGATCAAATCCCAGATACCGTCTGTCCGTCGTCGGTCAAAATGTGAGGACCCTCGATTATAGTTTTAAATGCTAGCTGGCTTGCCCACACTTAGAGCTTTCTAACGGTGTGCCAACCATTGGCTAGTTCCGCGTAGTTACTATATCGAAGCTAACCGACACTTCTAAGTGGTCGTGCGCGATTCTGTCGGAGGCTGACTCCCACGGCTATCGGAATGAAAAAAGGCCCATTTTCCGAGTAAACGAAACTTCCGTCCAGTTCGATATCCAACCAAAGATGAGCCAAAAGTCGTCTATTGCAACACCATGACGGAGCCCAATACGCCTGAGAACACCACCAACAGCCCTGCCAAGCTGTCTCCCTGCCCAGTGAAGAAGATCCACTCGCCTAGCCTTCGTGGTCGCATCTTGAATGGCGAAAAAGCCAAGGAACCTGTGAACGTGGAAGAACTGAAACTGGAAATAGGAGAATGGATTGAAGGGTATCGCAAGCTAGACCACTGCATCTCCATCCGCAACAGCCAGCCTACGACATGCACCTGTTGCCAAGACATTCCTAGCAAAGGAACCACTTATTTTGAGTTTATGGTTGGTTTTCTTTGGCAATTTGGTCTGATGTCCCGTGAACGACAGCTTGGCTTTGTTGTGGAGTGGATCAAATACGTCCGTATGCGCGATAGACTCAGTATTGGCATCATCAGCCGTACCGACAAGATTCGCTGCTTCATCCTACCAGGAACAGCCTACAACTCCTGTTGTCGAGACACTTTGATCAGGCTTATTGGTTATGGGTATGAGAAGTGGATGTCATGTGAGAAGATCGCGGATGGAAAGAAGGAAGCGACACATGGCAACAAGGGCAATCAAGCCAAAGTGGATCCGGCTGTGGAACGTAAATTGAACATGTTCTTCTATGAAGTGGGTCAACTCGCAGAGCCAAGAGCCACCCTGTTTGTTCGTGAGCTTGTGGATGGGACACTTCAGAAGAGTCTCAAGAACGATGATGAAGAAGTCATGGAGCTTCCCGGAGCAATCACTAAACGCTCCCTCTATGGAAGATACCTTCGCGACAATGGATGGAAAGCCAAAGTGTCCATCAAAGGAACAGCCAAGGCAGAACCTCTACCTGGCGTGGAACAGAAGCCAGTTTGCTCTTGGTCCAAGTTTCATGACTTTTGGTCAAAGGAATACCCTCGACTTGTAGTTGGACGCACCAGAGAAGACATTTGTGGTGACTGCTATGTTTATGCAAACCGGCACAAGTTTCTTGTGAACGTGGAGAAGAAGAACCAACAACAAGAAGGAGACTTTTCGGACAGCGATGACGATGACATTCCACTCTGCGAGATGACTTCCAAGGAAAGGAAGCGTCAGGAAGAGAGAACACAAGTCATGGAGGAGCAAGAGCAGATGCTATTGGATGCAGCAGATCATGTCAAGGATGCACGGAAGCAGAGAGAATTCTATCAGTTGAAGAAGCTCGAAGCGAAAGCCACAAAGGACAAAAGGCCATCTGAAAGGACTATCTGTCTTGTTGCCGACTATGCGCAGAACATGGCTGTACCTTCCTTCGCCTTTGAGCAACCCGGCGAAACATACTACTATTCGCCATTGAATGCTTATTGCTTTGGTGTTGTTGACTGTGCCATTGACAAGCTCTTCGCCTTCACCTACACTGAAGACATCGCCAAGAAAGGAGGCAACAATGTTTGCTCTCTCCTAATGAAGCACTTCTTAATGAGAGGCTACATGGAAACTGAGGAACCGTTCAAGGAAGTCAACCTCATCTTTGACAACTGTGCCGGTCAGAACAAGAATCGAATGGTATTGCGTCTTCTCTTCTTCCTTGTGAAGCTTGGCGTCACGAAGGTTGCTCGAGCTTCCTTTCTAGTCAAAGGCCATACCAAGAATGACTGTGACAGACTCTTCAATGTAATGAAGAAAGGATACAGAAAGGTAAGTCCTTGTCGCCATTGTTATGGTTTGTCTTCTCATGAAAACCTGAAGAACATGTCAGACATATTGGTTTTGAAGAGGCCAGTGCCACTTTCTTATTAGCGGCCATGGGATAATGTCTAACCTACTGCTTGCTTCTGTTGCTCTTTCACTATTATCCTTACAGTCAAACATCTACGTCCCCTCTGATCTTCTCGATTCGATGCAGCATGACTTGGTTGAAGCAATTTGGTGCTCAGCCGATCAGTTCTATGACTGGGATAGCTTCGAAAACAGTCATATGTACAAGCCGTCCAAGGTGAAACAGCACCACTGCTTTACTTATGATATCGATGTCAACAATGGAGAGACGTTGGTGAAGAAGAGCACGCATGAGAGCAAGAAGAAAGCATCGCAGAAGATCCTCCGCCCTGAGTTTCGTGGAAAGGACAAAGCTTTTTGGAAGAAGCAATGGATGGATTGTATTAAGGAGATGGAACCTGTTGGAATACAAGACATCAAGTGGAAGGAGCTGTACGATAAATGGGCCCCGTTAATTCCTGTGGAAGCGAAGCAACACCTCCTCTACTACCGAGAGGACCCTGGAGAGGAGCGACGTGCAAAGATCAAAGCTAACACCGACAAGGCCAAAGCGGCAAGGAGGGAGCGAACCACTACCAAAACAACTTAGATGTTGCTGTCTATCTTAATACCCCATTAAAGTGATTCTATTATTGAGTTTGTGCAGTGGTGAGTGCTCTGTTTGCCTTGTCATTGGTGCTGGAACGCTTGTGAGCTTCATTGTGGTGTCTCACTTTTTGTTTTTCGCGTTTTTCTCCAGTTGGCTTCCAACGGTTTCTCCGGACGATGACAGACGGTACCATACGGGTTATGATCCGGCCAGTCTTATTTATAAAGTAATGCAAGCAACTATTGCTAGACACGTTATACCGTAAGATTAGTTTTTTCATGTGGCGCACAGTTCAAGCTTGTGGCACCAAACTATCACTGCCACGATATCAAAGAAACAGGAGAGAAAAGGCGTCGGAACCATTTGAGCAGGCACCGCATCGATCAGTTCCTATCCAACTCTAACTATCCAATTGTGATTCGTCGCTCCAGGACCTCGCCCTCGCCAGGCTGCTTGTAGCGTAGAGCTGGCTGAAAAAGACGGATTGTCAAGACCTTCATCACATTGTACCAACGATTCTCTCGGCGACGGCGCTCTCCTAGGTCCACTTCTTCATTTAGTAGGCTAGTCGTCTCTTCCCGGGAAGGGCGGAGCTCCTGTACTTCGTGGCGATATTCTCGGTTCTGCTCCTCCAACGCTGCTTTCTCTCGCTGGGACTGGCGGATCTCCTGTCGTACATTGTGGCAATCATCCCATAGGGCGCCGACATCATTCTCCGATCGCACGTTCTCTCGCCGTAAATGGTCGCGCTCCTGTCTCACTTGGACGTGGTGCTTGGTCCGACTGCACACGATCGCGCAGCGCACGCAATTGGGCCTCTTGTTGCTGCACATGTCGCACACGATGGTATTCTTGGCGTACTCCTCCCTCAGCTCGGCGTTTTCTTCTGTCAGCTTGGCCTTTTCTTGCACGAGCTTGGCCTTTTCTTTGGTGAGCGTCTTCGCCTCCTTCTGTGCTTTTGATCGACGCTTCTCGAGGTCCTCGAGATCGTCGGTTTAAAAGCGGGCGTATTCACTGGAAGCCCCTGCTGCATTTGTGAGTCGTTGGATTTCTTCGTCCTGCTTCTCGTTCTCGTCAAGGAGGCGCTTGGCCTGATCTATGATCCTAGTGTAGTACGGACCTTCCAACTCCTCCTTCAAAGAGCGGTTTTCTTCGCCGAGGGGGGCTACAAGGCTGTTGAGTCGTTGGACTTCGTCGCTTTGTTCTTCAATCTTTTTCTTCTGCTGGGTGCACCATTTGAGTAGCTTTTCTCCTTCTTCCTCCAGCTCAACGATCTTCGATCGAAGCATTTCTGTCGTTGCGGCGTCGTTTTCCTTTCCTCGTGCAAACACGGATCTCTCCGTTCTCTTGTCTGGACGAACTTCGCGAGTGGTGACTTCGGCTGACTCTGCAGTGTGGTGACGATGCCCTTTTCGGTGCTTCTGTAGATTCGTTCGACCGTTGTCGATGGAGCTTGCTGATGTGGAGATTTTTGCGCTCGTCGAAGCAATTGGAGCCAAGTGCATCGTCGCGGCCGTTCCTCCTCCTCCTCCTCCTACACAAAGAACGAAACATGGACGCCTCCATTGTGAAAGGATGACGAAGCAGCATCAAGAGGTGGTCGACAACGAAACTTACCGACAACCTTGCCGTCAAAAGAGACATCTCCTTGATTCACCGGTACCGAAACTAGCCAACACCTGTAGTTTAGCCGGCACAGGTCCACCTTTCTTCGCCAACCTCGGATTGCTACTGTCGTTCGATACACGCCGAAACTGAGACATCGCTATCAATTGATGTGGGGACTATGTATTCAGAGACCGTAGAGCAGAACGAGACGACGGCTTTGTTCGTGCTGTTTTGTGACAACGTTCGAATCTCAGAGCCATGCATGCATGCTACCGGTACCGGTACGGTACCATACCGGTACCCCGAGACGGAGGCCTTTCCCAAAAGACTTTTTTGCTTTATTACTGTAGAGGGGTAATAAGGGTTCTCTGGGGCAAATGTGCAGCTCTGCTGCTTTATGATTGACCTCAGTCAGCCAAAGATCTTCTCATGATGTTCTTCGCGCCGAAGGATCCTCACAACACGCATCGACCAGATCGAACGATGACAATGAAGCACACACCCGCCAGACTCATCATCAGTATTCTATTGCTCTTATTACAGCAATTTCGAGAATGCTCTTGCCTCTCATTGCCCATTTCTGCTTCAATCTCCAAGACTGGTCGGCAAGTCGAGTCCTTCTCGGTTCCCCTCCTGAAAGAACGACCAAAGCCAGAAACTCTGCTTGGTAACCTGCGCCAACTCTGGAATGATCCTCGACCGGTTTCGAGTCTGATTGACACTAGCAATAATAAGGAAAACAGCTCCAACGAAGATGTTCCTTATTGTATTTTGAGTGATGAATTTCAGTTGCAGCAAATGCACAAGTTTCGCATTCTGCTTTATCCCAAAGGACGATATTATGGAGGGTCCTCTTCCAACGCGCTAGCTGGGCCAGCGGCTGCCTATTTGAGATATATACCTGATAACTATGGCGATGAAGTGGACATTTCGTGGAAGCTACGGCTTGTGGACTCCCGCACTGGCCATGCGTTGCCAGTCATGACATCCGGTGGCCTGCCAAGATCCAATACAACATGGTCTTCAGGCATGACCTTCTGCAGTGAACTAGAAGATATTGAAAGTGTGGGTCGGGCTGCCGATTGGGGTTCTTCAACCTGGTATGCACAGTCTGTGTGTGATGCCTTGGGTCATATCGAAGCAAACGTCGAAATCACACTCTACAATTTTCGTACCGACGAGTCAAGCTTTGCCATTCCTCCCAGAGGCGCTGTCAAAGCTGTACTGGATGCAGCCACTGGAGCATCTGCGGCCGTCAACGGGGAACAAGAAAGACTTTTTCGAGTTGGAGAAGTGATCGTTCCAATGGCGTCCAGCAACAGCAACAAACAAACTGAAGCAGAATTGAAATCATATTTTGTCTTGCCTGGCACTGATTACAGAATTATGACCATGACGGACAAGGATGGCAATTCCATCTTCGCCTCTGACTCTGTACCCAAAGAGGAACGGAAATATTGTCGGTTGGCGCTGAGACCCTGTGGATGGAAGACGCAACAACAACTGTGGAAGCAGCGAGGCATGAAGACTGAATGGCCCGTGGAAGTGCCCGCCAGACTGCTGTCGTCGACGGCATTGACTAGATTCAATCTGGCAACCGCATTCCCGAGAGTGTCGGCAACCTTTCAACGTGACAAAACTGCAGTACTCTTGGGGATTTTGTTGGCTCTTGCGCCTCTTCCTGGGGCTCTCATTGCAAGAAACTTTGTCTCATTCTATGCCATTCCCAGTGCCAGTATGGATCCAACTTTGATGAAGGGAGATCTACTGCTGGTTGAAAAGTTCCCAGGAGTCTCGGAGCGAACCCAAAAAGGCGATGTCTTGTTGTTTCGCCCTCCCGCCGCATTGAGAGAGATTGTTGGCAACAACGCCATCTCCAGCAATTCGCTTTTTGTCAAGAGAGTTGTAGGACTTCCAGGAGATAGAGACTTTCTTGTCGACTCGGAAACGGGCGATGTGTACGTGGAGGGAAAACGAGCCATTGGTCCAGACCGAAACCTGTGTGACGACGAGCCACTGCGTCTCATTGATCGGTTGCTGGAGAATGGCAAGGGCAAGAAAGTTGACCAACTTGGAGATGATGAGGTGTATGTATTGGGAGATTGCAAAGCAGTGTCAGTGGACTCGAGAGTATTTGGTGTATTACCAAAGACTGACATTGCGGGAAAACCAGTTGGCAGGGTTTGGCCCTTGTCTCGTGTGACATTTGGTCCCTTGTAAAAATGAATCCAATGCTTGTACAAAGCTATCATATGCGGCAACTTTTGCTAAGCTTCCCGACCGTAATTATTAGGTAAACAATTTTGATTTGGTAGCTAGAGAATGTTTGAAGAAGCAGTCCCATCTTACAATAGGTGATACCATACATACCGGTGCAACAGCTCATTCAGTTAGTTTTATGACTGTGTGCTTCCCCTACCGCACTAGTAATGTTCTATCTTTCAAAATGTATGATCTTTCAGAAGCATCGGTGAGATTGATTAAAGTCATCGCTTTCCAATCGGCAACGGTAAGAACCGGAGCAACTCAATGATCTTAAATAATAGACCCTTCTCACTGTTGTCGTCTTGTGCTGCCCCCCTTGTCACCGCCGCTGCTGGAGGTGTACTGCTGGATGTTTTGTTTCTCGTGCTAATATCTATATGCATGTCAAAGTGGAATGACCACTCCTTGCTTTCTCCCCCCTCTGGTTCGGAATTGACATTGACCCCTTCCGGTCTTTCATTTCGTTCTTGTGTTTGTAAACTACCTCGTCGTTGCGATGTCTTTGCCAATGATGACGCCCCCGATCGCTGCAACGTCTCGTGATGTCGTGTCTTTTCGTCGTCCAGATGCCTTTGCAGTTCCTCGGCTCGTTTCAATAGTTCTTTGACTCTTGATTTCATCGGCTGGTTGGCGGTATTCCCATTTCTTCTCTTTTGTGGTTGTGCTGCATTCCGTGTCTTTTCCATTTCGGTCAGCAAAAGGCCGACGGCGGTCCGATACAATGCCAGAGCAGTCCCATAATCCTTTGCCTGGTCTGCAGCAATGGCGTTGACCAAAACCACGCTGCAATCAGAGGCTGTTGTTCCCGCCATGGTGGTGCCAGTACCAGCAGAACCTGCCATGGTGGTTGTGTTGTTGTTCTGTTGTGTTTCGTTTTGTTTGAGCTATTGGTTTACCTGTATTCTAGTAAGAGGAATCTGGAAAATGACACTTCCAAATTTTCGAAAGATACAAACGCACGATTGGCGAAGATACTTAGAGGGGAGGGCGGCAACAGCGATCTTTTCAAGGAAGGAAGCATCATGAAGCTCATCATCTCGATCGTCACCTCGTCCTGCGCCTGTATGATAGCGTCGCGGCATCTCACGATCTAGCTAGGCATCGATCGAGGCATCGAGGCAACAACCTCAGCAGCTCCTTAGCACAACACCACACCGACCGTTCGGAAAGCAATACTATAGTATGTCAACGAAAACTACTACTCCCCCGCACAGCACGAGGAAACGAAGGAGACGTGATTCTTCTGAGCGACCAATCTACTTGGTTGTTGTGGAATCTCATCAACATGTGTTGGAACACATCCACACAGTGCTGCGAAAGGAACGGCTCTTGACAGAGGAATGGTCGATGCTACACTTTGATGCCCATCCCGATTTGGCTTGTCCCCATGATTCCATTCCTGCAAAGGCTTGTTTTCTGCCCCACCACGAGTTTTCTTCCAATACTAGTAATAATAAAGGCAGCAAAGAAGAAGAAGCAAAGAAGAAGAACCTCTACGAACTTCTCGATTCGACAGCTACGGGAATTGCCGAATGGATTTTGCCCCTTGTCCTGGCTGCCAATCTACGAAAGGTCCACTGGATTAAACCCAATTCTTCCCAAACGGCACAAAATACCAATAGTTGGCCGCGGCCTCCATCGCAGCTTCCACTGGGGAAACACAACTATCAAGTGGGTGCCTCTGTGTTGAACAAAGACAACAACAACAAGATTGACTCTTTTGTGGATTTACCAGAGTCGGCAATCGTAAAAGTCGACTGGCCACACCCCTACTACTTGGAAGATAATTGCACTGTCCATTTCGGCGAGAAAGAAGAATCATTTCTACTGGCCCAACCTTTGGAGCTGCAAATCTCCGAGTTGCTGTCCAACAATGGGACTGCCAACACGGCACCACCAACCAACGTGACGTCCAATCTGTGGGCACTTGATATTTGTCTCGATTACTTTGCCTGCCAAAACCCATTCCTGACCGATCTGGAAGCCAAGGATCCAGTCTACACTAGGGCATTGCTACAAGTTGTTCTTCAATCGCAGTTATATTCCCATTCCATCATGAATACACCACCATCCACAATACTTATCCAAAAGCCATGTGAGCTGGATCGTCTAAAGGATTATCAACGCAATCTACACGAGTTTTGGAGTTTCCTAGTGGATCTTTTAACGCAGGCTGACAAAGAAAACGCTGCGAACATCCAGCAAAACACGCGTAGTATCCTTGGGGCGTACTATGCAGATCCTTCTCATGGAGAAGCGTTGGTAAACGAATTCGTCAGAGCCTTTTTGGCCAGCGACCAACTTGAGTTAGTCACCATGACACAGCAGACTCTTCCAAATTTGATGATGCCACATCACACAGCTACATGTTGTGATGATGAGGCAAAGGTATCTGGTGACAGGGTCGGCAAGACTGGCACCATGGCAACGGGGCCTTTTACGATGGATAAGATCCGCCCTGCTCTGGAACAAGTCCAACACACTATTGATCGACACATGCATTCTTCAGCATCCAACCAAGACTGCATGGCCCAAGACGCTAATCTCCCGAGGTGTCCACCATTCATAATCACAATGGCAAGGAGTTCTGCTGATGGTTTTACTCCGGCTCAAGTCGTCGACAAATTGCAGGGTGAGATACTTCAATTTGTGCATACACTGTACTGTGGGTGTCCCAGGAAGATTGACAATCTAAACAACACTATCACACAACAACAGCAACAGCAACAAGATGGATCAATGGAAAAATGTCAGTTTCGATTTGTTTTAGACTATGGGATACACGAGGGTTCATGTTTCATGGATTGGCCTCCTCCTTCCAAAGGTCCCAAGAAAGCTGATGTTTAGACTTTTGACCGCGGCGAGGGGCTTGCATCAATCCACTTTCAGTTTGGGAAGAAGCCGTTGTTTCGTCCGAACAGGCCATAGAACGGACTGTTGTTACCACCTCCCCAGAGGCCGGCATGGGCACGACGCTGATTCTCAGCCTCGGCCCGGGCATCCATTGCGCGACGACGCTGGTTCTCGATCTCGGCCCGGGCAATTGCGATACGACGCCGTGCTTCGGCTTGCACCCGTGCTTCGGCTTGTCGTGCACGAAATTGGGCGAGATACGCTTCATAATTCGGAGCGGCATTGTTTTGGGGCTGAAGGGGCGGCCCGAAACGACCAGCAGTCCCCTTGCCAGTAGTGGCAGCTGGTTTCTTTTCTGGGGACAGTAGCGAGAGATCAGCGGCAGCAGCACCAAGAGCCTCTTGCTCCTTTCTGCCAGCATCACGTCGAGCCCGACGATCGTCCGCAACCGAGTCCGTGAAGAGGACACATTTGCCACACGAAGTGTGATTGCATAGCGGCGTCAGGCAAAAATGACTGTAATCAACAATAACCTGTCGACACACATAGCAAAACTTCGTTCCACAGCTGCATTTCATTTTGTTACAGCCTGCGCTTTTAATAATGTTTGTTCCACAGTTGGGACAAGAGCGCATCACGGCCGCCGACATGGCGTCCGCAATGCGGGCATGGGCGTTGGAACGCTCGTTTTCTGCCTTGAACTCCTGGCAGGTTTTGCCATCGTGGGGGTCTTCTTTGCATAGAGGACAGCTCTTGTGATAGCAACCCGGGCCCGGGCACTGCACGTAAGACGCCTTTTTCGCGTCAACATCTAGAACCGCCAAACATCCACACTTTTGACACGTCCTGTTTCGTAAGAATGGCACCGTACGTAGCAGAGTCAGAGGAAACAAACGGTTGAGACAGAAGCATTCAATGCCAGCAGCAGGGCCAGCAGCAGGGCCAGCAGCAAGAAACTCACCAAATGTCATCTTCCATCTCGGACTTGCCAACTTCTGTGCGATACGAATGCTCCGCCATGTTCTTCATTGTTTTGGGCGACAGTGCCTTTTCGAGCATTTCGGCTTGGTACGTTCCCTGGCACCCGTCGGATGACATGCATGTCAATCCACTTCGATCGTTGCCATACAATTCTTCCTTGGCATAGCCACTGACGCATTGCTTGCAGAAAAAGTGTGTCGCTTCCGAGCAAGCTACCATCTCATCAAAAGAGTAATCACAGAAGCAGCACTGACAAGTCCAATCATCGGCATCTAGATTCTGCCATTGTTGCTCGCTTGAGGCGGTGTTGACGGTGCCGTCTTGTTTGGGCTGAAGAGTGTCATCGTTTCTGTCCGACTCCTTCTTGGCGAATGAGGCAGCTGTTTTGTGGCTTGCGGAGACAGTGGGAGGGTGTTTCGTTGCCACAGGTCCTACTGCAACCGTTTCTATTTTCGTCGTCTGGAACCCCTCAATACCTGCGTCAAACAGAGGACCATCAAAACTGTTAGACAGAATCACCATCTCAAGGGAGCTCAGAGATTCAGCAGAACTTACTGTTCCGGCGTAGTTCAGTCAGCAACTTTTCACTGGACGGATAAGGGTGCCCGCACGCACTGATGCGTTTTCCTTTCAGCTCGATCCGGTGGACACCACGTAAGAAGGACAACTGGTTAACGATACTTTGATGCCGGCCATCTCTTCGACTGGCTTTTCTATCATTGAGGATAATGTCTTGAACTCCACGAAGTGCAGTATACGCTGGTTCAAACTCATGTTCATTCTGTAGAAAAACCGCTCCAATCGCTGCGACAGAAATCAAAGGAAACAAGTGCTTGAGGACTTCAATTGCCTCACTCTTGTAGGCTTTGGATTCATGGTAGGAAGACATGATCTATCAATGATGGATACAACTGCAGTGTTTTCAATTCTATTCTATTCCTATTGATAAGGGCTCGAATGCAATGATTGTTAGAGGCTTCGAGACGGAAAAATTTTGGTTTTGATGCAAAAAGTGGAACGGCTCGAACAAAAACGTGCGGGACTTGAAACCTTGACTCCGTTTAAGCCATTAGAGCGGGTAAAGCAGTAGTTTCGATTCTCTCTCGGTCTCACCTCCCCAAGACGAAACTCCATCTCTCCGGCGACTGACGTACAGTACCGGTACGGATACGTACTGTGTACAGCTATGTCTATCAGCAAGATCACACTTTGAATCTACCGGTAACTAGCTAGTACCTGGTAGAAGCAATAGCTAATCAACCCTTTCCTGTGCATACGTACAGCCGTACCGGTATCCGCTTCCGGTAAGGTAGCTAGATAGTCCGGTAGACCCTGCCATGGTTCTACTAGCCACCAGCCAGGTGAGCATTATTGTTCTGCGTGCGAGCCGCGGTACTGGCCCCCTGTCATTCTGAGTGAAGTAAAAGCAAGCCCTCGGCGCAGTAGCAAATAATAAATACTAATCATTGTGATCAATCAATCAAACTGGCTACTGGACTTGGCCTGCATGATATCAGCAAATTTCTTCACACCGATTGACTTGATGACTCACGCATTGCTGAAGGCCCGATTTTCTGTGCTCGTGGCGTTCAGCCGCCAAAGAAGAAAAGCTCGTGGCGGCTCGTGGCGGTGAGCGCTGCTTGATAGCCGGGATCGGATTTGTTCAACCAACCATTGGTTATCCGTTTACAAGATTGATTGACGTCAGTTTGACTGACTCCAATGGCGTGCTCGAGGGCCTCATGTGGCCACAAAGTGAACGCGTTCACTGGTACACGCCATTCCCACAACCGGCCAGAGCCGTTTGCCGGTCCCATGCCCTCCACAGGTTTCGCACAGATCAGAATTGGAGCTCACAACATCGTCCCGAACCACACAAACGCTTGCAAAACCCGAACTTGGAGGGAAGAGCAAAACAACCACCCGAAGCCATAAAACTAGAGCAACCAAACTTGAAACAGCATAACCCAAACAGCAATAGAGCAAAGAAGACAAAGCAACATGGCAGGAGGCATTTCAACCGTAGGAAGACATTGCCGCGGGAGTGGTCGCAGAGGTAGACGCACCATCCGATCAAGACAAGCTGCAGTCAAGCGAATCCGCGATGAACATCGGGAGCATCGATCTACAACGTCCAGTGTTGAATCAATTGACACTGACAGCCACTACAGCAAGGGAAGCCACGGTGATTCATCCTCGGCAAGCCCAGCACTGACGAAGACTTTGAGATCCATATTTTCGTCGCATTGACGCGGGAGGAACGAAGTGGATGTTGAGTGTCTATGCTTGTGATCCTTGCTCTTGATGAAACGGCAGCAAACGATCATACAATGTTGTGAAGGAGAAGAGAACAGAGGCCCTGTGCCAAATGGCGCAAAGAAAACAGCCGACATGTGAGAGCCATTCAAGAGGAGGTGGCGGTCAAGACTCGCTTCACATGCGACAGTGGAGGACGCCAAGAACGATCATCAAGAGTTGGACTGTGAAGGAGTTGTTCTTTATATCGACAGATTGGTGTTTACGAAGCGAGTGCAACTGACAACGCGAAACAGCTTGGGTCAGGTGGATACGTACATCATTACATCGCGCGATTCTTTGCTCAAGTCGAAAATCAAAAAGGAAAGACTAATAACGAACTTAGAATTACTGTTACCCAGATTTCGGTTTCAAACATGTACCCGTAGTACAGTTGGTGTGTCATGAACTTGTACTGAAACACAATGACCGATGTGGGAGCAGCTCTCCCTTTCTGCTAGTCGTATCAGTCCCAGATGACATCCTGGGCTAGCTACATGATAGCGAAACCGGGTACCAGTACCGGTAGCTCATTGCTCATCATTGCAGCGGAAGGCGAAACTGGCAGAACAAGGGGATTAGAATGCTCACCGTCCGAGCCAACCTTCATCATGGCTACCGTACCGGTACATTATACGGTACATGGCTGGTGCTTCTATCTCACCAAAAGGGGAGCGATTTAATCCAAGAGGCGAGGAAGCTACTTCAGTGAGGTTGGACGACCTGAACTTGCGAAAATGTGCTGCTCCCTTGATTTGGGGAGGGCCAAATTTGAGAGCATCAAGTAGTGCCTATACCGGTACTGTACAACGCTACGGTACGCTAAATATTGGGAAATTCAAGTCCATCTATTTCAAGTTGTACCGTTTTACAGTACTTTCTAAAAAATGTAATGGACCACCTGAAAAACCTGCTGTTGTGATCCAAATCCTTTCATCCAACCAACCAATCAATATGATTATTATTTATTGCACATCGTCCGCATTGGATTTTCTTCGCGAAAAGAAATAGACAAAAATGCCCAATAGGAGCGTAAACAGAATAAAGCATTCTCGAGGGTGTTTCCGCGTTAGCCGGAACATTCCACCTGGAGTATACCACGGGGATTGGTTGGCATTGGAGAATTGTGCCAAAGCAGCCAGTTCGTCGTCACGGAGGAGATTGCTGGAAGTCAGAACTTGAAATTCTTCTTCATCGGGTCTGTTTTGTGTTTGCTGCTGCTGTGGTGTCGTTTCTCGACCGCGTGACAATGGTCCCCTCTTCAAGAAGGAAGTGGCTTTGGCGGCGAGACCATTGGGATTGGCGTTGGCATGGCGCTGCAGAGGACTGGCAATCCAGCTTTTCCAGTTCGAAACACCACCCTGAGCGTTGCCTTCAATTTCCAAGCTTTGAGGAGAGAGCTGTCCATAGTCCGTCACTGGAGGAGGTATGGTGGGCATTGTCTCAAGATGATTCAATTCTTCCAGGAACCGTTGTGGATTCTTTTTCTTCTTCGTTTTCTTTTCTTTTTTGCGAGAATGTTTCTTCCTACTTTTTTTCTTCTTGTCTTTTCTTCGCCTATCCTTGCGTGATTTTTTGTCTTTTTTGGTTTGTCGTATCTGAGATAAGATGGGATCCTCTTCATCGTCACTGCTGTCATAATCATCACTGCTGCTGCTGGAACTGCTGCTACTGCTACTAGAAGAGCCACTACTGCTTCCTTCTTCATTGTCAGTGTCGTATCCACTAAAACTGGCGTGCTTACGCATACCGCGAGCAGATCCAGAGACGGAACTTCCATCTTGTAAGGCATCGGCCACTACAGAGAGCAATGGCATGCCAGTACTGTTGGGTGGAGATCTCTGCTGATTGTTTGGCATCGTTGTTGTTGTTGTTGCTGCTGCTGTTGTTCTGGCTTGATTTCTATGCTTGCTGAACCCTCCTCTTGTTGGTTTTTGATGCTTGATCGAGTTGGTTGTTGTTGTGGTTGTTGGTGAAAATACACTGGGAACTGCAGCTGGTGGTGGAGGTGGCGGCCTTTGGCGGGCTGGACTGATGCTGCTGGCTGGAGATGCCGACGTAATGGTGGACGAACCGCGTGACAAGTTGGGTACTCTATTGCTTGTTTCGTGGACAACGTTCTGCGTGGCCATTGTTGGTCGATCTAGTAGCGACCAAGTGGGCTCTGCGCTCGCGTGACTTTGGTTGGTGTCGTCATTGTTGTCGATGTTGTCATTGCCGGTTCTGGGTGAAGGCTGTTCAGTGCTACGACTCTTCACATTCAATCCCTCGGAATGAATGTAGTCATCATTGTCTGCCATCTCATCAAACCCTTTAAAGTTCTTGGCAGCCGACGCGGCCTTTTCCAAAAAATTCATGGTGACCAGTAAAATATAAACTCTCCAATAACACAGACACTCTTAGTTAGAATCCAATCCAATAAAGGACCTTTCCCATCAACAACACATTAATAAGGTGAAAATAGAATAAGGCTCGAAACAAGATAAAGGAATCAAGTAGGAAGCATGAAGCAAAGACTACTACAACATGTAGTACCGGTATCGTCTGTCTCGCTATGATGCTCGAAGCGAAGGGAATCGAATCTTTGTGCGGGCCGTTTGTGTTCGCTTGCCTCTTGGTTCCGCTCTTTGGAGAGGGAGTGTGCGACCAATTTGGCGAGGAAGGCAAGTGAGTTTCACGACTGGACGCTCACATTTTGAATTTGAAATCTTGTTCCACTCCTCGACCAACATGGAGAGCTTCGACACTTGCTTTGGGCCATGATGTATTGGAAGAGTGACGGAAAGAAGCGCACCCTTGATACTTTGGAAATGGTCGCGCCTGCTTGCCGATGCTCTGTCGCAACTTGAAGGCGAGGTGGTAAGCCAACAATTGGCAATGAATGACAACAATCAGTCCAATGGCTCGACTCACCCCTTATGTTTGCTCTCCAACAACAGATTGTTTGGGAGAACCGAAAGAAGAATGATCGAGGAGCTGACTGTCTGACATCGGCGGATTGTGTGGATTGCAGAGTTCCCAATTACGGACCTGACTTCTCAAGTCACAAGTTTGCCAAGAAAGGTGGCCTCCGATATGAAGTAGCACTCTGCATTCAGACGGGACATGTGGTGTGGATCAATGGCCCATTCCCTTGTGGCAAGTATAATGATATCAAAATCTTCAGGCGGGCCTTGATCAGTCATCTTGAAGATGGTGAGCGGGTTGAAGCTGATGATGCGTATGTTGGAGAGCATCCTGAATTCATCAAGTGTCCCAAGGGCTTTGCAAATCCTGAGGAGACCGAAGCCATGTAGCAGAGAGTGCGCAATAGGCAAGAAACAATCAACAAGAGGCTCAAGTCGTGGGGTGTGCTGGTGCACATATTCAGAGATGACATCATGATGCATGCAGATATCTTTCGGTCTATCCTTGTGCTTGAGCAACTAGCAATTGAGGCTGGTGAGCCATTATTCCAAACTGGTTACCGGAATTTGACTGAAGACGAGCTTATGGAGGGGCTGGAATCAGACTACTAGGTGAGTGAAGGAGATGGTGGCTTTTTGTTTGCTTCGATATATCAGTCGAGCACTAGATCAATAAACTTGTCATTATAATGGATATCAACCAATTAGCCCACCTTCACTCCTCGACCAACATAGCAATGAACAACTTCAGTGCATTACATGTAGTCAATCCTCGTACCGGTACCGCAGTTGCCCTTCACTTCGAACCGAGAACAACGCGACAAACCGTCCATTTCTCTGACCAAGGAGAGTGTTGCATCCATGCAAAATGATGATTCAATCATTCATCAAAGCACTGTCCCCGGTTCCAACAAGAACTGGTACATGACTGATCGCTCGAGGGAAAAGCACCAATTTCCAGCCCTTTTCAACTCTTGGCTCCTTGCGAACAAACAAAGACTAACATAGGTTTTGATTATTGGTAGTTGACGGCAAACTTATTGGAAGCTTCATCATCAAGATGGAGCAAGGCTGGAGGGGGCTTGGCATGGGCATGGGCATGGGCTAGGTTCGAGAGTGGTTTGGCAACATGACACCACAGAGGTTTCAAAGGAGCAACTGTGCGTCTCCAATGCAATCCTAGGATCTGGATCAGTTCCAAAGCTTTCTTCGGACATTAGCAGCCCTAATTCATTGCTTCTCGATCGTTGTGACTTGGCGTCGCCCTTTAAGTGCAGAAATTTAACGTTGTTGATTGCCAGTTTACTGCTTCGTTGCTTCCTTCCCCAGTAAAATCTGCAATATGTCGTGAAAAAGAAGAATACTGTATCCTTTTTCAAGATTGGTCCAATCGTGTGAAAATGACCCCTACATGTAAGTACGGTACAGTACTTTTAGCTACCTGGTACCTGGTAGGAGGGGTACCAGTAGGTGATTGCCGAGCAATACAGGTTTAACACGCGAATACTGTGTCTACAATGCCAACACAATTGGTTTTAAATGTCCAGGAGTCTCAGTACCGGCAACTATTCACCCACCACCCAGTGGCATTCACATCCTTATTGCTGCTCGGTTGATAAGACGCTACGACAACCAGCACAGGGCTACTAGCTAGTACATACACATTACACATACATAGCTTCATGTAACGGTACGCGTGTCCTGCTTTCTAACCAAACACTTCATGAAGTATTGTGAAGCGTGCTGGGAGTTGCTGGGGCTGCTCCGGGGCCATACTCGGTAGTTGCTCGCGCTGAAAAGGGCCTTGCCGGATGGTTCCAGTGTTTTGCTGGATGTTTCGAATGGATTCCAGTGGCTTCATGACCTACCTCTGACACGATGTGTGAACCTGGACAGAATGTGTTAAACACCAAATCGTGGTTTCTTTGCACGTGTTACTACTACTTAAAGACACTTCACTTCTTTAGACATACAATGACTTCTGGGACAAAAAGAACACTCAAAGCAAAGAGTCAGGTTCCAGCCACTGCACTCCTCAGTTCATTCAGTTTACTGGCTCTTTGTCTCCATTTACAGTTGATTTGATTGTTTTGTCCCTGAATATATTGTTTCACTTGTTCTGGTACTTTGCAATTCAATTTTACAATTTACAAAAGTATTTTTCACACTCACACTTAAGATACATACTTGGGTTTTATTGGTTCCATCCTGGTACCCGTACCGACTAAGTACCTCTAGCTGCCTGTAGAGCCACTCGGAGTAGCCAGTAGACACTCAGATTTCCCAAACCAGTAACATTTTTAAAATACTATGTAGGAGTGATGGAAGCTACTATTAATAGTATGTCATAGTACCCACTATCTTCCACATCACCATCTACTACATCCAATTCCTCGATATCCCCACCTTGTGAGGCCTCCTTTACCACAACATCTTTGGTTTCATCAATTTTTTTTTGCACCTTTGCCTCCATGGTTAGTAGGATAGTAGGGTACCGTACTAGTATGTGACAATAGCTGCTACAGTAGTGGCTACAAGATATGAAAGATACTGAGATTGGGCCACTTGTAAGGTAATGACTCAGTGTGGCTGTAGCCGAAGCCTTCCTGAACAGGACTCAGAATTGAGTTATCTCATGGTTGAGGCTGGAGTGTATCACCCCGCAAAAAATACAATGTTTATGATCAAAGATTATTTTGCGGATTTCATATTTCTACTATTTTAATAATGGTTTTGTTATCATTATTTACACGGTAACTGAGTGGTCAACAGTCATCCTGCTTAGGACTCCCACAGCTGTACATCAATGGTAGCTTCAGTAGTAAACTTCCTAGTACTGCCTTGCCACCTTACTTTCTCCAAGAGAACAGCGTTCTCAAATCAGACCACAATGGTGTGTACTTTTTGTACTTGGCCCACTGAGCAGTTGTCACTCGGACACGTAAAGCTGACCCCTTTCTATCACGTCTTGTTTGGGTTTCTGCTATTGCCTGCCTTGCGAACTCTCAGTGTCGCTGTGTCGCTGACTGGAAACTGGAAACCAAGCGAAAGGACACAAAAACAACTTGGCACAAACTAGTTTCGGTCACTCAAAAGTCAACCAGAACCCACCCCTTTCTATTACTGGTCGAACCAGCAGACAACATAGCAACCCACTGCCCAATACAACAAGATCACCATGACCGACACTGAAGAATTCCCCGTCGCTGCCGTAGAGGAAGAAGAAAAGGATGCGAAGAAGAGTAGCAACGATAGCGACGACGATGAGGACGATGACTTCCGTGCCAAGATCTTCCCTCAGCGTCTGATGGAATTGCTGTCTGACGAGAGGAACAACGACTGCATCTCGTGGCTGCCGCATGGTCGTGCCTTCATCATCCGCAACCGCAAGCTCTTTGCCGAGAAGGTCATGCCCAAGTTCTTCCCTCGCAAGTCCAAGTACAGCAGCTTCACGCGAAAGCTGAATCGTTGGTAAGTGACTCTCTGCTTCCGCCATTGTGATGGTTGTGGCCACCCTTGAAGTTCACCTTTGAAGGCTCATCGTTTGTTGTTTTGCTTTTCTTCACAGGAACTTTGTACGCATCTCGAGTGGTCCTGAACTGGGCGCCTACTACCATGAGTTCTTCCTTCGGGACAAGCCTCATCTGGCGGCGCAGATGTTCTGCAAGAATGCTCGTACCAAGTTGGCCATGGCCACTCACGGAGAGAATCCAGCATCACAGTACGCGTCTGCGGCTGGCACCCCCGCCGCTGCTCGACGTCCTCCGGTGGATATTCCTACCGCTGGAATCGCTTCCTTGTCCATGAACCCACCCGCCGCAGCCAGTTTGCCGGCCCCCACTCCCAACTTCAACGTGTCGAGTCAATACGCGGCGGCCGCGGCAGCTCTCAAGCAGAATCTCATGCCACCTGCCGCTGACGAGCGAATGATGCTGCAGTTGCGAGAACAGCAAAAGCTATTGGAAACGCAAATGAGCATCGTGCGACAAGCAGACCCAGCGACAAGACTCATCTTGCAACAAGCCATCCTCAAGGAACAATCTGTTCAGATGAACCAGTTGGGAGTCGCGCTTCCTCAGCAGCAGACTCCTGCCGCAAGTCAGACGCTCTTGGCATCGACCTTGGCGCTTCAGCAGTCGCAGGCTCGTCTCATGCAAATGAGAGAAATCCTCAAGATGAGATTCCGACAGCAAAACAGCAACCAGAGTCGATCTCCGCACAACAATCGTGCTTCGGCCGCTTAATTAAGCGCGGAAGGGCAATGTGCACTGGTTGGAAAAATAATGAAAAAGGAAAAGGGTTGCTGTTCTTGCTGGCTTGGGTTTGCCTTGGAGTCAGTCCAGGCAACACAACGCAACGCAAGACATTATTGTTGTATTTATGATCATATAGAGAAAACGAGACGGATTGAAAACAAAAAATCACGATGGCCGCGGCGGCTACTATCTGTCGAAGGGATGATGATGGTTTTGGCGCTTATGGTCGCACGAGGGAGGGCTCCGGAGGTTAAAAGAAAAGGGAGCATTCTGTGCGGTGGCCAGTCGAGATCGTCCAATAAAATTATTAGGAGTAGTATCAACTGCAAAAACATACCATAGTATCAGTGCTATCAATTTTTAAGGCATTCTGACCTCCTTTTGCGTGGCTTCCATTTTCCATTCCAAGAAGCCTTGTTAGCTACCGGTTGCACTGGGCAAAAGGAAACCCAACAATCCAGGTAATCGACTCGACCGTCACTCGTTCCGAAGGTACCGCCGGTACCCTCAACATCCAGGTTCTTGACTTCGTTTTTGTCAACGCCGTGGAATTTGGGACTTGCCTATTGGAATCGCAATAGCAGAGAAGCTAGATGTAACGTATGGTATTCATTGATGAGGAGTGACAGCAATAATTGATCGAAAAAGGCATGTGGTGGATACCGAGGTGCTGCACCCCACTGGCTGTGGTTTCCTTGCTTCCGACAGAATTACAGTCTCATTCATTGCTTGAACTAGCTCCTTTCCAATCCCCAATTTGATCCCAGAGCGCCCATACACCACAGCACTGCTAGCAAGCTCTAGCTAGCCGTAACGTGTAGACGTGTAGAACCGAACCAAAATAATAATGTGAAAATGTGCATTTATGACGAATTGTGTCGTTTAAAGCTGCATCGAGGTTTTACTGGGCAAAACTCTTCAGCAGCAGGATAGTATTCAACAGCTGCTCCCAGCGTCTCGCCTCAACATCGGAACGTGCAAGAAATCTCCTTCATCATCTCCTTCCTGTTTACAAGTTTTCTTCCACCAATATACCGGTCGCCATCTAGTGAGAGCCCTTCACTGATTCGAGACAACCAGCAGCCTCGCTAGCCAGCAGATCGTGGTTTTGTAGCCCGAATTCGTGTGCCATCTTGAGTGTCTCGACGCCATTATTCTCCTCAATCATAGGCAGGGTGGCGTTCGAGGAGGAAAGCAAACTGGACAATCCCCGGGCCGCAGCGTATGCGTTGCTAGCAGAATCGACAGCATCCTTGAGGATGGCCAAAAGTGAAGGAACCAAGGAGCTCTCAAACCACGACTGCTCCGTTACAGCACTCGCGAGGCATCCATCCTTAGCGCACATATCCAATGCATTCGCTAAGGCCATCACTGCAAAATGTTTCTGCTGGCCAAAAACAACCAGAAGATCCTCCTCCTCTTCGTCTGGCACCATGTTCAGAATAGCGGTAATATCGTCGCGGGTGGTGTGAGTCTCGTGTCCCAAGAGCACCCATTTGGACACTTGAATAGAAGTCTTGGGGGATGACTTCAATGGGTCGGTCAAATTGCAGAGACTCTCAAGCCCCAATACAACCGAATCATGTTTGCCCGATTTGCACAAGCTCGCAGCAGAATCAAACGCCATGGCGGCTTCTTCTTCGGGGGTGGGTCCAGGAACGCTGACAGACTGGAGGCACTTCATCGCACCCAAACTCTTCATTGGGGGAGGGAATTTGCCGGGTTTGCCAATGGCTTTCGGAGCTCCAGATTGGGGAGCAGCAGCGGCAGCCTGCGCGCCCTCGGCAGCATCAAGCACAGCACGACAGCTACGCATGAAACTGGAAGTGGAACCAGAACGTCTCTGTACCTCCACAACCACAGGCTGCCCATTTTCACCTCCAGCATAGAGACGAATGCGGAACTTGACACATTCCATTGTCTTGCACTTGGCCTTGGCATTTTCGTTGTCGTACTTGGCATCAATCGAAAGATGCTTCAAGGAATCCGAGATTCTTTTGGCAACTTCAGACGCATCGCATCGAATTTCACGGTGAGTGCGTTCCAAAGGAAAGTCCACAGGGACGAGTTCTAGATCCTCGCTCTTGACATCCCACGCAGCGGCTGAAGTCCATTCCTGGGTGACCGTGAAAGAAGTTCTGGACTGGCTCAACCCAATCTTTGGCTTGGGTAGACCGATAGCAGGAGCCTTGCCGAACTTGGGAGTTGCTGATAGGGGAGTCAGCTTGGGTGCCCCGCCCATTACGGCGACACTCCTTCAAGCACCGACAGGCATGGCCATCACGCAGGTTAGAAGTTTCACGACCGAGTAGTAGAGAGACCAACCAAAAGTGGACGTTCGATGAGCAGCGAAGAATTCCGTGGAAAAAGAAACGGCAACAAATTTCAGTGGAACAAGTGGGAAACACATCGAACACAACAGGAGAACCAAAGAATTAACCGAAAAATAAAGAGTCACCAACGAAAGGCCGCTGATACCGGATTGAGCAGCGCTGCGCTCTGGTTGCTAGCTACGCCGTGCTCTTGTCGACGGGCCATGGCCATGGTCCATGCCCAACAACAACCACAGCAATCAATACAATCGACTTCTCCATCTCCTGCAGCGGACTACTGGTACTCACCTCAGGAATGGGCTTTCTTCCTCGACATCTCTGCTATTTCCTTTCGGTACACTGAACATGGCGCTTGTCCTTCTTCTGTTTACGACGTTCGAAACTACTTTGGGTTGTAGCGCTTTGGTAAGATAATGGTGGCGACCTCTTGAAGCTCAGGAGTTGAGCGTTCTGTACTTGTAATGGGTTGTTGGCTCTTGCTGCTCGAGTGAATTGTTGTTTGTTGTGGAGCAAAGAGCAAAGCAAGCTGTGGAATGTTTGTTTGCTGCAGCTGTCTTATTTTGGATTTGGCCTTGCCTCTTCGACCGAGACGGGCTGAATGCATTTACCGTACGCTCGGTTTTGCAGTGCGTGCGCGCGTTCCTGGAAAGGCTTGAATGGTTCCTAAGAATTCATTTTCTTTTCTGTTAATTAAATCCCCTTGGCAACCGGTTCTCCTTTCAACCAGTTTCACGTCACGCACAGACAACCTATACCGTATGTAGAGGGGTAGGGATAAGTGATGTTATGACAGCAGGACGGTTGACGCACTGGATAGCCGGAGTCACTCGAAAGGTTTCGCTGACTGCTGGATGCACACACTCCAGGTTCCAAGTTAGTGCTGGCCCAGCAAGTCTAGATAGACCGTGTGAACTGCTGTCACGGAAAACAGTCAGAAAAAGGTTTAGCTTCGCCAAGCGTTTTCCACATCCCTGACCAAGTGTTTCGCCCTCAAGTCAATTATTCCAGCCTCACAGTGCGCCGTTGCTTGGATGTCAAATGTCACTCCCTCCACATGTAGGCTACCTACTACATCGTAGTATGGCGTGGCTAGAGAATGGACTACACACCTGTCTGGATAGTAAAAAGATTTTGGACTCACCGAAGCAACACCGGACCAAACACAACTGATTACGGCAAAAGAAAGAAGTCTAAGTAACACGCACGTAGCTTCTATTTTTACAATGCAATGATAGTTCGTCATGGTCAGGAACGAGGTCAATTCACTCTCAGCTCTTTCCGTCACCAAACATTGGGGTCTGGGCTCTTTTCTCGCAACGAAACTTCCGTTTTCTTCACAATGATCCGATTTGAAAACGCAAGGGTTGGTTGAATCGGTTCTGTTAATCCATCAGCCTGGTTTTGGATGCGTTCGCGCTAATCTTTGGGGAGGGGTGTTCGATGGCGGGAGTGGATAGAAACAGCATGTGTCAAACGAGCCCAGACACAAACGCGTATCGACACTCCCATTCGGCTAAACCACCACGGCGTCCGGTACCCTTATTTCTGCTTCGTGTTCATGAATCGGGGTTTGGACTGATGATTTTTCCACAGACTCTGCATCTCTTGATATGCCAAGTGCTGGCAAGATGTAATAGGCTCCACCGCCAAATACAAAAGTTGTAAATAGGATGGATGCTGAGGTCATGCCCTTCATAAGCTGCTTGAATTCGCAGCCTTCCCCCGTTTGTTGATTATAGATTGGAACGTTCTCCACCAGTGCAAGAGATACTGCCCCTCTCAGGCCCGCCAGGACAAGCACAGCCTGAGTGCGGGGATCAGATATGGCTACTGCAGTTTTGCTCGAATTCGAAACTGAAGCACCAGCCATTCCGCGACAACGATAAATGTGCAGGATGACCCAGGAAACAACGACGACCATGAATGCTCGACTGGCCACGCAAGAGAAGATTGATATTGTCACCAGTGTAGGATCCCAATCGTAGTTGTTACTGAAAAGAAATAGACCGAGATAGGCAAAGATGGCGTTCTCGGCCAGCTGGGCGGTCAAATGGGCGACAAACCGAACATGCCTGTCAGCGACAGAGGACAAGTGAAGTCGCTCTGTACTTGGCAGCGGCCCGACGGATCGACCTGTAGACTCGAACGATGACATTGATTGAGCAGGATGGTCTTGCATGTGCATGTAGTGGCCGTCCTCCGAATTGAATTCTACTTTCGGTCGCTTCGGTGGCCCGCCCTTGGGATCTTTGGGCCCAGCAATATAGATATCAATGAAGAATGCAACCGCCACGATACTCACAATACCTGACATGCCAAGGCCGTCTGCAATGTACCAGGGAATAAGGGCCCAAAGAAAGAAACTCCCGACTTCCATCACAGGAGGCAAGTCTCTTCCCAGAAGAAAGAAATAGACCCAGGCACCACAGCCACAGGTCAGGCCCACAAAAATGGACCCAAACATTGCAATGAGAAAACTTGCAAGTGCATCAAAGATTTCATCTAGACTCGTGGTGCCGTCATTTGTTTTCCCATCGAACCGATCCACTAGAGTTTGAAACACAGTGATGGCAATACCGTCGTTCAAAAGACTGCATGGGTTTCAAGACAGGTAACAAAGGAGTTGAGTAATCCCCCAAGATATCATTTGTCATTAAATCGGGGCATGTGTGCACTGGGACCTACCTTTCGCCAAAGACGAGGATAAAGATGGTATCCTTTTGGTCCATATTCAGACTTGACAGCACACTGAGAATCGCCACAGGGTCAATGGATGATATCAGCGCTCCAAAGACTAGAGAATCAAGCATTGGAAAAGTGGTGGCTTTGCTGAGTTTTGAAATGAAATGGACCATAAGACCGGCCGTGAAAGTACTAATCACTGTTCCGAACACACTGAACATAAAGATGGCACCTCGGCGTCTCTTGAACTCATACTTGGACACAGAAAGAGCTGCCTCGAAAATGATTGGCGGTAGGAGGACTGTCAGGAAGAGCTCATCATCAAAACTGATATCATCAATGTTTGTAAACGGCAGAATGTGTGCCGTCAAACCACATATGGTTCCCACCAAGATACAAACGGCGGCTTCTGGGAGGAAATGAATGTTGGCTCTTGCCACCAGTGCCTTGGCACATTCACAGAGCAGCAGGATGGATGCTGCCGCAAACAAGTGAAAGTTTGACAGAAGTCTGTCTTCCTCGCAGTACTCCCTATGATGGGCCATTAGAGCTTGACAACATTCATGTTCGGCGAATTCGTTGAAGTAGTCGTCATAGTCATGTAAATCATTGTACATACTGTCGCTTTCGGAGCAATCTGAACCACCAAGCATACAACACCAACACAACAACAAAAATGACAAACAGGAGGGAAGGATGAGCTTCCACGATGGAGCCAACTTTTACTGCACTCTCTAGTGATATTCGTTCTTACCTGCTGCAGTGTAGGCATTCATCATTCCTTCGCATGTATCGTGTGCATCCGTGGTTCCTTCCAGGAAGGATACAAGAAAGGCAGAGCACCGCTCATCGGCAGCACTGACTAGATCGTCAGTGTAGTAGTCATCGTAGCCACCACCACCACCACCACCACCATCATCATCATTGTTTCTCTTGGCGTCGTCATTGTTTTTGTTGCCATCGTCGTTGTATTTGTCGTCTGCAAAGTAGGCATCATCGTACTGGTTCTCAAGCAATCTTGCCTTGGATGGACGAAAAGGCTCAGCCTTCATCCACCTTCCCCTGGGTTTCCTCCGTCTCTTTTTGTTTCCATATTGACGTCCAAAAACATATCGGAAGCGTCTAGTTAGAGTCTCACTTGGTGTTTCCACTCTTCCGTGGCTGTTGACAAATAGCCGATCAGTGTTGACTTGCCACGGCAGGTAGATTGATTGTCTTTGCATCAATGCTTCTGGTGATGCTGCTCTCTTCAGCCGGCTTGACTTGTTTGTATGTCGATCGTTGAGTTTGTGTAGCGTAGCGAAATGTTCATAGCTGATGTCTGATCTGGTCACAGCAGCCTCGGCAACCCATGTGCTTGTGGCGTGTATACTGGCGAAATAACGAGAAAAAGGTGTGATGCAGAGACTCCATGAAAGCAAGCATTTCACGAGAAGACGGCACATAGTTGTAGACAGCAACCGGGCTTCGAAATGGATGCTGGCTAGTACCAGTAGACACTGAATGAACAATGGGTTTTGGGTGGCGGTGCAAGGGGTTGGCGACACTGCTGCGCCATTGACCAAAGCTTCAAAACTTCCACTTTGATGTTTTCTTGTTGTTTCGAAGGTGCAAAGCTGGCACGCATGCCCATCGGCACTGCACTTAGACAATGCAAGGGGAATGCTCGGTCTTCAACGGATCACAAATCGGCAAGACTAGAGTTAGATATTAAACCCTAGCCCTTTTTTCCGTCCTTTCTCCCCCCACTCATACATGTCATGTTCAAACCCCCCTAAAAGTTACGGTACTACCGGTACCGTGTAGCTAAAGCAACGAGCAGGAGGGTAGGGCCCACGAGTCCTGCATGATGAGGAGGAGGCTATCGGCTATACCGGTATGGTCATACGGAGGACGGCGGTGGAAGGTATCGACCTCTCAGCGGCGGAGCATAGGGTGGTGGAGTCAAAAGATGTACATGTAGTACGAGTAGGCTAAAGATTGATCAGATCTGAAGTACTGCAATAGCTAGCTACTTGAGCTGTGCATTGATCTATTGCCATCATTTGTTGCATGTACCGGTATGTTTGCCCGCGGGATGTCCGAGCAGGGACGCCACCAACATCGGGTCACCGTTCCGACAAGACCAGCCAAAGAATGCACCATGCACTCTTAGATAGAACTGGAGGGACCCGCAAAACGGCGTCTGGGTTCCATGCCAGTGATTTCTCGTCTCAATGATTTGTGCACGTGCACGTTGAAACGTCGCAGCAACTACTAATCTAGACACAGGGTTGTCAGTCACACACAAAGCAGATAGGGCATGACTCGACTGCTAGAAGAACTTAAAGAAATGTAGCGAGCATCAATTCAAATGTCATATCTATCTTCGATCGCAGTCACCCCCGCTTCCAATCCATTTCCATTCCGTTCCATTCTTTTTCCATTCTGGGTCCGTTTCATACTTCTTCCATTCTTTCCATTCATCCATTTCCTATGCGTTCCAACTATCAGGCGCATACTATGTTGACGCGTTTTACCAGATGTTGAGATTCCCAGCCGCGCCTTGAGGCTGTGCCTGATGCGGCATGTTTCGCCCAACGGCACCAACACCAACAGGCTGTTGATGCTGTCCCCTACCGGCATTCCAGCCGTTCTGGGGGGCTCCATTTCCACGGGTAATGTGGACTTGTGGGAGCAAACTTTGTAGCAAAGCAATATCATTCTTGTTGCTGTTGCCAATCGTTCCAGCTTGATTCACCACCGGACCACCCATGCCAATCGGGTTACCTCCGATTGGGACACCGCCAATCAGTCCGCTGCTGCCGCTGTTGGAACGACCAATGATGCCCTGCGACGGCATGGCCGGCATTGGCGTACCTTGTAGCGAAGAGACAGGGGCTGGTTGTTGAGGCGGTTGAATGGCGCCTTGGGGCCACAAATTTGGCGACTCACGCAACGATCCACTGCCAGTGGGCAAATTGATCCCTAGGATTGACGCAAGGGCATTGCTCCCGGAGTTGTGCGGACCAGGAGCTCCAAACGCGCCCTCATTGGATAATCCATGACTCGGCATGTGTGAACCAATGACACCGCCGCCAATGCTGTGGTTTCCCACTGGAGATCCAGAGATTCCTTGCAAGTTGGAGTTGCTGCCGCGACCACCCCACAAACCGCCAGGAGGGCCGATGGGCTGGCCAACTGCACCACTGCCAGAGAAATGATTGGATCCCCATTTGTCTTTGCCGCTTCCAATTGCCGACTTTGGGCCTGGGGAGCTCAAAGGTCCTGTGAAAACCTCCCCTCCCAGACCGGACAATCCCATAGGTCGACCACCTATGATGTCGTTCCTTCCATCAAGTCTATTAAAAGCGCCCGGCCCAACTGAAGCGCTGCTGGTTCGGGGGCCGCCACTAAATGGGCTTCCGATGGCTCCTACCGAGGCAGAAGCCTTGGACCTCTCGGGAGCCGCAATCACTTCTCCTCCCAGAGAAGAAAGACTCGAAGGTTGGTGCTGTTGATCCTCCGTGTCTTTGAGCGGAGTCAGGCTGGCTGAAGTGGGCATGTTCCGAACAGCCGGCAATGCTGGGGAGGGCGGTGCGACAGGGGCAGGCGCGGGAGCAGTAGAGGCAGGGGCGGCTGTGGCAGTTGCCGTGGTGGTAGCGGTAGCTCCGACCATGGTACCAACAATGGTACTGGTGCCGCGGCTAGTGTCATTTTGATTCTTTGAGGATCCAATACGCTGTGCAACCGCCTTTTGTGGCTTGGGATAACTGTTGGAAATTGTTGGCATGCTCAAAGTGTTTGTATCGGCGGTAGAAGCTGCGGGCTTGGCAGCTGTAGTTTTATTGTTGGTGCGTTTCAAAGGCGTAAGCGGGGTTAGCGTTGTACGAGGAGTGGGCGCACTGCCAATTCCTCCGGAAGCCGAATGAACCCCAGCAACCACCGAAGCAGCCGTTGCCGGGGCTTGCGAGAGGGGGGGATCAGTGCTTCCGCTGGAAAGGATTCCCTTTCTAGCCGCAGGTTGAACCGCTCCGCTCACAGCAGCCTTGGTTGTACCCGTAGACGCTGAACGGGTGATTGGCTTTGCCACTGTCTGTTGCGCCGCTGCGGTAACAGTTGGAAATCCGGTTCCAGTGCTCGCAGCCCGAGACATACCAGTTGGCGCGGGTACCAACGGAGCTGGTTTTGTAGGCTCATCAAATTCTGGCGCCGGGAAGATTGGGTTGGATGCTCCTTTGCCAGTCCCCGATGGTCCACCGCCCCCCACTTTTCGACGGGGAGCCGTTCCAGCCATTCCTTGCGACGTTGCATTGAGAGCTTGCTGGACGATCTGCTGCTGTCGCGCCAAGACATCCCGTCCACTGGTCACATATCCTGCTTGTATTTCCTGTTTTGTGAATGTGTCTTCTACAGCCCCCATCTCGTGCAGGTAGGTACACTCTGGGTTGTTACACCGCACATTCTTTATGAAAGCAGAGCAGTATTTCGAAGTACCGTAAGATGCTCGAATATTGCGATTTTCCAGATAGAATCCGTCCAAGGCTAAAATGCAGACTAGCGTATCCTCCTACACAAGCAAGCAGATCGTGCAAAGACAGCGAACCTTCGTGAGCTTGGTTCTGTTTCCTGGAAGTGTCCGAGTCATGTGGATTGATCGCTTACCTTATGCACAAATGTCACGTAGGCAGAACAACTCGCGCGTCGTGGGTCGCCGTTGCTAGCTTGGCTGCGGTTGAGTACAATCTTTGCGATCCTTCCGTACTGTCCAAAGTATTCGGGTCTCCGCAAGAAGTCTTCATTGGCTATCGATGGTGGTAATCCTACAGCGTAGACAAGATTCCGGCGAATGACTCTCATGTTAGCGAGTTGGGTTCTATCCTTGGGCACTTCCATGATTCCAGTCAGCGGAGTGCCATCTTCTGCAATGGCATACGATCCATTGAAATTGTGGCCTGCGCCTGAACCTAAACCACCTGACCCATCGGAACTGTGTGTTTGTTGTCGTTGTCGCTCGCGTTCTCTCTTGGCCGCCGCCTCCTTTTCTCGGTTGGCCTTGAGAACTTCTTGGACATCCACGGCACTAAACTCATGGGGATCATCACCATAGGGTGTTCGACAAGCTGGACACAGCCCAGATTCTGATTCGCGAATGCGATGCCAACACCACATGCATACTTGATAGCCACATTTGCACGGAAAAAATTGTTGATCGGAAATGTCAAGTTCTTCGCAACAGAGAGGGCACACGTGTTCGTTCTGTAATTGATTTTGTTTATTTGAGTGTTTCGTATTGTGTTTGTTGGCACAGTTGCGAAAAGATTCAATTCGATGTGTAAAAAGTCGAAGCAGAGAAAGAACGGAAAACACGTGAAGGAGTGAGATACAGTCAACGCGACCTGTTTCACAAGCACTTCATCAAGCAGTCAACACAGATTTCCACTCCGCTGGAAAAAACAGGAGGCACATGCACAGCAACTAGCGTTCCATTAGCAAAAACCAACGTCATTTCTCACTCAAACAATTGCGGGATTCCCGTTGTTGCTTCTACAGGTACTGATGTGACCACCGTTGACGGACTCCTGCTGCTGTCCACAGCGAGTTCCATCATGGTCATAGACCAATAGCAGCTCCAACAGCCAAACATCGACCCGACCGTCTACTAGCTGGTCTCGCCGTGGATGATCGGCGGCTGTCACAGCGACTGTCCGTCGTAGCATCAGTACTAAGGATAGGGGAGTCACCCGACATCATCTTCAACAAAAATACAGCGACTTCGAAGCCTCCAGCGCCGTCAAAGCGACAACTACTTCGACATTGCTACACTTACATCGTCCATCATGGTAATAGGTTGTTGTTGTGCGTTTGTTAGGCCTTCCAATACGTCCAAAGAGAAATGCTGCACTGTTGTTGCTGGCAGAGCAATCGTTCGAGTGTCTTTCAACCACGCAGATTGAAATTTCGAAGGCCAGACGGTGAAAGCGCGCCCGCGATGAGTGAGAAAAAAGAATTAAGAGTTCAAGCTACAGGATCGTGGTCCCAAGTTCTACGTGTAGCTACTAGCTAGCTAGTCTACTAGTACCGGTACACTACAAGACGGAGGCTACCTCCTGGTACACAATGGTACCGCTGCGCTCTTCCTCCTTGTCGTGCATGCCTTGCTTATCCTACTAGATGATTGATTCAATCCTTCGGGAAACTGTAGTTGGAGGGGCGACGAGGCTGCATCAAAAATTCTGGATCCTGAGCCGGGGGTGGGGGTGGGATCGTTTCTACTGCTGCCTGAACAGGGTAAGAATGAGAGGATCTGAAGCACGCTGGACGGTGTGCTGCCTCGCAAATCTAGTACGAAACAGTCCTGTTATGTCGTGAATCTACATTGGTCTGTTCGCAGTGACATCATGGCAACAAGCAACAGAGGCCCAAACATATCAAGCAAACAATATCGAAGAAATCTCTTGACTAGCTAGCTCCTGCCTGGATGAACAGTGAGATCTCAATTTAGCAGCTGAAAAAGCAGAAGAAGTCAAAGTCCAAATCCAGTACTACGAGCCCCCACTCTACCAGAAGGATCAAAGGATGAGATAGTGTTGAATGAAACACAGGTGGCAATGGCTACGGTACGCGTGTGTTCCCTGTATTCCATTTTTGTGCTGTCTCACTGTGATGACACTGCCGGGCGGTACATGTAAGAACATGTAACGGCGCCTACTAAAAAGCTGTCCGCCTGGCGAGGACTCCTATACTATTTATAACCTTTTACCGGTAGCTAGAGGTACTAGTGCCGCTCTGCTTCTGCTGACAGCAGCATTGGGTTGATTCGATTCGATTCGGTTGGAGTCGCCATGGCTCGGTTTGTGGTGGCTTCCCGACGGAGTGGTGGGAGTCGTTTTTACCCTCATCCCAACTGCAGAAGTGGACCAATGAGTCACAACACCTAATATCAATCATCACACACGCCACTACGACAAACATCATCTTGCCACTCCTCGGGGGTTTCTCTTCTACAGGTGTTGCGATAGACAATGAAGATGATCCCTCGCTATGCGCTGCGTTCTGCTGCTTCAGCCCGCACTAGGTTGGGAGTATGCCGATATCTTTCCTCGTCATCGACAACGCTGATACCCCAAAGGGGTCTATGGGACACGATTTACTCAGGAACCAAAGGCATTATTTCCTTGATATCTTCGGAGAAGAGCAGGCGCTCGTTCATGGCATCCATAGAATCGGCCAATATCAACGCAGAAGTTTTGAAACAGGCTAGGTTTGGCAACATGTTGACAATTGCGTTGTTTCATGATTTGCAAGACCCCGTCTGGGAAAAGTATAATTTCGATGTGAGCGACTTTCTAATGGGAGTCAAGCCCGCTTTGAGAAATTTCCATGAGACCATGGGTCAACTGCAAAATGAGTTTCCCAGCGTTACGTCCCAAGAAGAAAGAACCGAAAAATTGTTGCAAAGGATGCATCAGATTGTAACTAGCTCCATGCATCGAAAGGGATCCGACGGAAACACGGACTTTTCCCTACCTGACAATCTTTGGAAAGAGCAAGCAGAAAAGGACCCAGAGTCGCACGCTGGACAATTAGGTCTCATGGTATCACCCAAGTTGTTCGATTCTCTGTTTCTTACAACAGAAACTGCCGCAATGTTGGCCAGCTACAAAGAGGGAACCACCAATGTGTCTTATGTGGCCGTATTGAGTGCGCGTGCCATGATCATGGACAACGAAGAGGTCGCAAACGACAATAGCGAATCGGTCACGAACGATGGTGAAGAGGGAAAGCAGAGTAGCAAGGATGACAAACTGAAATCTGATACAGATACTATTGAAGCTAAAGAGGAAGGAGAAGAAGATGCAGCATCCGGCGAGCCCGAGGAAGTTGACACGACACCCGTTGCAGCTCAGATTGAAGTCCTGTACGAGATGGAACAGAAGATTGAGGTCAAGCCAGAAATTTTTAATGACCCCGTCAACCCTGCCACCGATGCATTAAAGTCATTGAAAGAGGAGGTTCAACGGAGCGATTCCATCTCCGGGGACAACGCCAATAAATCGTCGTCATCGGCGACCCCGCCAATTATCAAAGATGAGAGGCAAATCTGGGTTGGGACTTTTGAAGCATGGTTGAATGGAGGAAATGATGGAGGACTGCGATGGCGAATCACAAACATGAGACCACCCAACGCAGAGTTCCCAGGGCTGTACGGAGGCTACTAGTTAGCTAGATAGCCGCCACACAAGTAGACACAGTTTTGCAGATATCAACTCTTCTAGCTAGCTATTGATGCTGTACTCCTAGCGATATTGATTCGTACGTCAATTTTGTCTTTACCTTGCCCACTACCCCCCGCTTTGTGAGTTTGTATTTGCACCCTTGGTCAACCTTTACTTGTATCAAGCAAGGCGTCTCCGACTGGGTTGTTTTTGCAGCTCCTCTGTCTCCTCTACTCCGGCCGACTCCTGAGACGCTGCTTCAAAGGAAGCTTCCAGCTCTAGCTGCCTTTGTGGGCTAAGCGAATTGTCAAAAGAAAAGCTATCCCTCGGAGCAGGAAAGAATCCTTCTTTGGGCTCGTCCTTGAGAAAAACTCGACTAGAGTTTGGCAGAGAGAAGAAAAGTGAGCTTGGGAAAAAGGACCAATCAACATCAATGGAGAAACCAAGTCAGGTATGCACTTGCCTGGGTACTACGGTTCTGTAACGGCGTCGATCCAAGTGCTTGCTTCCGTGATGAGACGACGAGGAAGACGATGACTTGTTTTGCGGGCTGACAGCAGCATAGGGTTGCCCGCTGGCCTTTTGTCGTTTATCAGATGGTGGCTTGCCAGTCCTGGTTTGTCGCCTCATCACGGATGCCGCTGGTGGTTTCCCCATGATCGATGAGGAAGAGGACGATGTATTCTGTTGAGCTACCCCCGAGGAGGATTCATTATGAATTGTTGAAATATCGGATGTGTCCTGAGAATGCGCGATTGTAATCGGAGCAGAGTCTGTTTTCCCAGAAAGGAAGAAGCCTGGTGGAGAACTGACACTTGGGTTGTCTCTGGACGAAATGGAGGAAGATCCAGGTCCTGCAGTGACATCACGGAAAAAGTCCATTAGATTCTCTGTCGGTGGTGGTTCCTGCTCACTTCCCCTGTTTGGTTGCTCCTGTGCCAATGCCAAGAGACCTGCTTTTCTCGCCGCCGCAGAGAATACGGCTTCTGCTTCGTCCCAAGGAGCTTCGTCTGATATTACAGATTGTTGTGCCGTCGTTGGACAAGAGTGTTGCTTTTGCAGCAACGGCGGTCTTTTGATTTCGGGTGGTGACAGGGATCGGTGCATGCGAGGCATTGGAAAGGATCTCCACACAGCACTGTCAGTCACAGTCCTAACCGTGGAAGGGTTTTTGGTCAGGTTGCTGGTCGATCGACGACTAGCAGGAGGAGGCGGTGGCGGCGGTGGAGGAACATCTAGCATGTGCCCATGGAATGAGTCGTCGTCCCAGGACGGAAAGAGCAGCTGATTGTGGTGTGATGGACTAATGCTGCTTTGTTGCTGGGCATAGGAAGTTTCGGGGGTTCCTCCAGTGGCAGTGATGCGTGACAAATCTGCAGCTCCGACACCAAAGGAAGCAAAGCTAGTATCCATCGGAGGAGGCGACACTCCTCCTGCGGATCCCATCGTCAAGGCCTGAAACATTTGCGCCATTGTCATGGAGTGATCTGCTGTGATCGACGAGCCCTCCAGAATGGAAGGAGTTGCAGGCGAGTAGGAGGTATTCCGCAATGTGACCGACTGGTGTTGTGGTCCCAACATGGATTGATTTCGTTCGGGTGTATGAAGTTCTTGTACTCGTTCACTTTGAAAGTAGGAAGCTGTCGATTTGCTGCTACGACTTTGATTGTCATCTTGAGCATGAGGATCCCAGATGTACGATGACTGCTGCTGACTGCGACGGGGTTGCCGCCGAGCAAAATCTGGTGTATTCATGCCGGCAAGTTCCATTTTGGGCGATACTTCTATAGCAACTGTTCCTTCCTCATCTCCCGACGAGACGGAGACAATGGTGTCAATGCGGTCCAAATCAGGTGGTGATTGAAAGGAGGAAGATCTCAGGGTAGCCCCAGCTGGAGGTGATGGAGGAGGATTGTTGTTTCTATCGATATCAGCTTTCTCGTCTGTACCCTCGAGTATATCGTCCCAAACAGCATCTAAAGGATTGCGTGGTGGTGTGATTGATTCTTGAGACTTTGGCGGGTGCTGATGAGTTGGACTACCTGTATACGCGTTGCTGCTGTTACTGTTGTCTAAACCATGTTTGGCAATGTGTCTTAGATGATCATTGAGAACAGCGCGAGCTCCGATGGACATGTTGAGGGAAGACGCATTGGAATTGGCAGTAGAAGAGGCATTGGATTGGTTCAATGCATTTGGGCTTCTACGTGTATTCTCGTTAGAATTGTTGTTGTTGTTGTTGTTGTTGTTGTTGTGTGACGACAAGTTAGTGTTTCTCGACGACGACGAGGACGTAGCAGGAGAACCTGTGCGCATCATCACGGCTTGATCAAAGGAAGGAAAGTGATCTCGTTTCGTATTCGTGTGGGGCAGGGATTGATGTCGAAACGGATTCTCAATCGTTAGAGGCATATCGGTACCGGTACCGGTAGGAGGAAGCACATTCTCAGCAACTTCTTCAGGAGATTCTACAGATGGGATGACACCTTCAAAATCATCATCATCACTTTCAGCTAGTGGGATTTCCACACCTCCGTCCTCCTCCATGATGGCCAAACCCACTGATGCGATTATGTATTGTTTATTCACTCTCCTGAATACTACTAGCTAGAAGCTGTCAGTGTAACAATAGATAGAATAGTCAGTCATCCAGTCAATCAACAACATCAACACATACATCAAAAACATGATCTTTCGCGGTGCTTTGATGAAATGTGAGAGGGCGCCAAAAGCCGGCCTCTTCACTCTCCAGGCTTGCATGTCTAAGTGACTTCGAATATTTTAGTAAGAGTGACGTCAGCGTGAGTTAACTCTTTCCTTAAAATATGAAATTTTTGCATGGGCTTGTCCGCTGCGGCTCCCAAGCTCGCAACCCCAACCCCCCCGACTTTCAGCTTTTGGGTGTGCTTCCAATTATTGATGCAAGGGCTGATGAAGTCAAGCCGTTCATGCCATGATGCAAGCTTTTCAACCCCTTTGCCGTAGATCTCGTTTCGCAGTATCCAAAGCATCGAAGGTGTCTAGCTTATCCGTACGGTTGGAAGCGAGATGGTGGTTGTCATCCATCATGAGCACCTGTTCAGCCGAGTCTAAGTCAGTGTCATCGCCATCCACAGTTTTTGCTTGTAATAGGACAACAACAACAATCTGCAACAACAAGCAATGGTTCCACAGTACACCGACTGTTTCCTTGGCCGAACGAAAACGACGCCGTCGCCGGGGTGGAGGTCCTACCGAAGAGAGCAGCAGCGATGAGAAGAAATATGAAGATCATTCACCCGTAACGGACCCATTGGAGTTTGAAAAAGCTGGATTGGCCATTTTGGAAAAGTTGCACACGGCCATCAAGCCCATGCAAGCCATTAACGACCCCTTTGATGTGGTACGAACGATCGACAGCTTGACCATTCAAGTGGATCCTTCCTATGGCAGATACGAAATTGAAGTCGATTACGACGAACATATTTTGATCCTAAGAAGTCCCATCAGTGGAGCCCACAGCTACTTTTTCTTCAACAAGACACAAGAATGGGTGGATACTGTGGACTATCATTCCTTGGAAGGAATATTTGTTCGTGACTTGATTCGACATTGCAAGGGTGTCCCCAAGCTATGAAACCTACCAGTACATGAAATCTTTTGGAAATTAATGATCTGATGACAAGATACCGGTAGAGAATTGTTAGAGGTGATCGGATGGATGATACCGGTAGCTGGTAGTCTAGCTAGTGCTACGGTAGACTAGCAGATAGAAGGCAGATTCATTTTGCAAGCGTACTACTGGGTTCACACGTCCTGGTTTGGGTCATAGTTAGCGTCACTAAGACATGCACAATACAATTCCATTTGATTTTCGGTTTCATCCTACCATATCCAAAAGCATAGTAAGCAAATGGCCGCAATGCTATGCCCCACTGCTGGTGGTTGTTGTTGTGTTCCCCAAAAGACTTTGAAAGTAGGCCCCAGCTTGTCGATAGCTAGATGTGACAGCCGAGGAAAGTTGTCGCGCTGCAGATGATGCCGACGAAGATGTGCTAGTAGGGACTATTTGATCATACCCTGGTTGTCGATGTCTGTGCCCTGCATCTGAAGACCGCAGAAGAATCAACTCTTCCGAAGAAGAACCATTCGAGACCCATCTAGTGCTGCCAACAAACACAATGATGGCATTGTCAGCAAGTTTCATGATGGAGGGACCATCACCAAGAATAGCAAGATTGAACATCCAAACACGTTCAGGATCCAAACCAATTGCGAGATCATTCGTACCTGTTTGCCTCTACCACAAAAGCATCCCCTGGGCTGATATCCGCGATATTGTCGCTGCCCTCGTTGGATGGTTCTTGGGTAGCCCACTTTCCCTTTCCTTGTAAAACATGGAAAAACTCGAGTCCATTAGCCTTTTGAATCTTTAGCTCGTGTTGAGGAGGAATGCAGATTGTAGATACCCAAAGAGTAGATGTCAAAGCATTGTTTGTCGAGATGATGGTCGTCACTGGCTTGACAGCAGTATTTCCATCAGGCATTTGGTGCTCTCCATTGGCTCCATTTCGCTTGTCATTTTGCAGAACAGGAAAAGTCTGACCTGACATTGGAGCTTTATCATTATTACGCCCATCAGTTGCCACAATGGGACGAAACAAGTCTTGAATGGCCAAGCGTATTCGATCATGGAGCCTGGATCTTTCTAGTTCGTGGTTGAGAAACCATGAAAATCCAATTCCCAATGCTGGTTTGTTTTATCCAACAAAACATTAACGCCACTAATCAGATTCTCGTAATCGAAGACGTGAAGGCAAAATACTGTACTAACCAGAAGTAGACGAAGATAAACTTACCAATTCCAGTGAACAGAGCCCGGTTTCCAGTCTCAAATATTGGCGAAATTGAATAACCAGAAGAAGACTGGGAGTTCGAAGTGGTCGACGAGGAATCACTCTTCGGAGGGAACACCGCAGACACGGCTGCTACCACCATTGATATCAGGAGAGGTAAAGTCATGCTGGAGTTGGGTATTGCTACAAATGCGTTATCTGGTGGGAATAGGAAGAAGATTGAGATGTTGTGACAGCAGCTATCAGCTATCCCATTGCCTCTTTTGTCCGTATCATTTGAAAGCGTTTCTTCTGCTTTCATGCAGATGTGGTTCCGAAAAGAGAAACCCTAATTCTATTGGGAATGGTTTCCAAATAAGGTTAACCGCGTTTGAACTATGGAAGTGTTTTGGAGGGTTTCCTCGCATCATGCCCTCATCCTTCCTTATTTGTGTGAATTGATTGTTGACTTTGCGCCACCTGGTATCGGTACCATGAACTCATAGATTAAGCTAGCTGCTCACTGGATGTTATTAAAAGCTTAATAATTGAAACAATCATTCTGTCCTCTAGAGAAGCAAGTCGTTGAAAGTAGCCTCCAACAAAGTTGTGTACCGGTGGATTGATATCATTCTAGCACTTTTGATTGAGCTTGTATATATACATGTATATGGGTTCATGAGTGGCCCAAACTGGTCGACAAAGAAAGCTCATAGGTACCCTGCTGCTTCTGCCAGAGCCACAAACATGAAATACAGTCCTTTTCGGGTATCGGCTTCCAACAAATCCGGATTCTTCTTGTACAAGGGCAGCTTGTCCTTGTGAATCAAGCCATCCTCTTCCATTACTCGTAACGCTCGTTCCTTGTCCTGAAACAAATATTCCAACATTTTGAGTTCTTCATAAGCTTGCTCCAGGCCCTTGATAATTTCTAGCGCAGCCAACCCCGCAGTGCCAGCAAACGCCTCTGGCTGGTCTGCTTTCATTTTTTGGAGCATCTGCTTGGTATCCTTGTCGTTTTTGGCCGAGTAAATCAGAGTAGCAATATCGACGGCATCCTGTTCTTGGAGAGACGGATCCGTCTTCGTCAAGGACGTTGCAATCTCCAGCACTTCCTTGGACAGTTGTACTTCGCCACCGGCATCTACAGAAGCCTCCGACTTTTTCGGGATTCCAAACTGGGCATTCGAACCCTGCCAAAGACAAGCCGCCAGGAGCAACAAAATGGATACGAAAGTGTTGGGTCTCATCTTTCTCAGCCGATGTTCGACTTTGATTTGCTTGGTTTGTGGTTTGGATTATGGTGAGCTCGCATCATTGCTCCCAACTTGGGTGTGACGTACTTGAGGGGGGTTATTTCGGAGCTAGTGGTACCGGTACCGGTACGCTGCCGTAAGGATGAATTTAGACTAGCCAAAGAAGGCACCTAAAACTACTTAGAAAAAAATTTAAAAAGGAGCCTGCGCACGCACAAAGACTTGGATCTGTGTCAAGCAGCAGCGCGCCTGGGGAACCCCCCCCCGTCTGAGTTTCCACGCCCCGCAGCGTGGAAACTTGAACACTGATGGGTTCTCGCATCCATGACTCTAATCATGGTTGCCGAGAGGACCATCTCACTATTTGCAAAATTAATTCCCACGCTCCTCACCTACAACTCAAGTACATCTCTACATCTCGCAGGTCATCACCTGCGTTCCGGAAATGGATACCCCACATGATGATGCACCGCATCAGCTCCTCAATGCCTCTCGAACAAGATTACCCTTAAGGCAACGACGCCCGTCCAAGACCACATTTGGCAAGATCAACAGCGGCAACCATGAATCACTAAAGCCAGCGACCTAGCCAAGATCAGCCATTGAACTGCCGATCGCAAGAAGGCTGTCTCTCTCTCAGCTCACAATTCTTCATTCAGCCGACGCTGAAAGCAAGAACCTAGAATAGATTAATCTCTTGCGCCGGCATCAGGTTTCGTACATGTATCTTTTCGACCCTCACCATGGCCAGCTCTAATTTTTCGGATCTCGTCTCTCGTGTGGCGGCATGGGAGGTACATGCTCCAAACTACGCTGATATCCTCACTGCTGTGGGTGGCGCCTCGAATGCAAATCGTGATGTTGCCTCTCGCGCCATTAGCCAATTTTGCCTTCGTTCACCTGGCACCTTTGGCTTCGTCCTCCAAAATGATGAAACGAATATCTACATTGGACACTCACTCTACGCTTACCCCGTGAATCCGAGCCAAGCCTCTCCTTATGACAATCTCTACGCTATCGAGGTGGGGAGCGATCTTCAAAGCGCTATCACGGTGGTCCTCCCCATGTCTGCCTTCGAGCGCACGGCTGACATAGCCTGCCACAACATGACAATTATTGACGGAGGAACCATGTTTGCTGCCGTTCCCGCTCCTGTGCTACACAGTGGCCCCCACGGCGGTGGTGTCCCAGACACTGATGTCTTCCGCGTCCGTCGCGTGATGCCTCTTCCATCCTATCTTTCTGAAGTCGTCCTTGCGGCCCGTCCCGAGGGACAGTACAGTCTTCCCCAGTTCGGTGCGGAAGTTCTCGATGAGTGGAAATCCACATGAACTCCCATTGTGGTGCGAAGCAGCTGTGCTGGTTTAGCCAGGTGGAAGAATCGCTGTGACATCTGTATACTCCAACAGTAGGGTCAGCAGTGCAGCCATCTGGCAATACAGAAATAGCTGAGGAACTCTATATACCCAAGGATGATGCAGTTCTTCAGCCAAGACCAATATAGAAAGTTAGCTTGCCAGCACCAGCCAAATGAGATGCAAGAGAGCCAAAGCTGCATGGCTGAGTGCTGTCGAGGATTTTGTGTTCAGTTGATTTTAGCATAGTTTAAGAGGAAGAAGTAATGAAAGGATAGTTGACCAGATACAGCCTCAGTAGCACTAGTTTCCCCACAGTTGAAGCCTTCCTGTGTGGATTGTGCCAAGGCAAAGAGTAAGTTGTTCAATCATTGCTGTGGAGATTGAATAACAGTGGCAGCTAGCTTTGTGCCTGGCCCATTCCCAAGTGCCAGAGGAGCCAGACCTCCAAGCGGAGCTCTCCACTCCCAGCTCCTTGTGCATCTACCCTGACTGAATCTCATCGGATTAACATTGTCGCAGATTGCACGCACAAGAGTGGCTCTACAGGAGTGTGGAAATCGTCGTGAAAGAAGAGCGAGTTGCCAATCGGACGATTGGAAGGCTACTGACAACTCGACGACCGAAAACTGGAATCGCGACCGATTCAAGTGGAAGTACCTTGCCTACCCACCAAGTCAAGGGTGATCTACAAGATACAACGACTATCTTCCTACCAATCGGCCTACCTTTCGAGATCGGCAAGTGGAAAGCATCGACTGACCCACCAACAAGAGAAATCGTGACACGAAAACGCCGATCAACTTAACTCAACGAGTAACAAGGCGGTAGCGGCCAAACCAAGACGGTCACCTACCAACCTGGACCTTCTCTACAAGATAGTCCAGCCAGTTTCTTGTTAATCGGCTTCATTCGAGCAGCCGAGAGCGGAAGGTACGGCTGATCATCATTGTCGACTTTCGATACGGAAGAACCCAGTCGTGCCTGCGGACGATACTGCTTGGGTCAAGGGAACTGGTACTCACACGGTACTCACAAAACCGGTACCGTACCTCGTCCCGAAAGCAAGCCGACACACCGCGCGATAGGCTCCTCACATTTTATTCGATTCCGTGAACTTGGATCGATCCGTGGCTCGCTCCGTACTAGCCAACGATTGACAACTCGAAGCACCACGAGACCACCTCCCACACTATTAACCAGGTTTTCGAGGTTATCAGTGTGTCAAGGAGCCTTCAATTGATCACCTACCATCAAGCGCAAGTCCTCAAGTCCTCATTTGGATTCTTTCGTGGTAGTTCTTCAACAGCACCTCTACACCACACTCAGCCAGCACAACAGCAGACATCATGGGTATCAGTAGAAGCAGGAGGAGGAAGAAGCAGCAGCAGCAGCGCCAACAGCAACAGCTGCAGCAGCAGCAACAGCAACAGATACCACCACAGGAGGTGGCCACACCGCCGGCAACAACTACACCACCGGTACCAACACCACCATCACCGGCAACACCACCAGGTAGCACTGAACCACCACCATCCACTCCTGTCAAGTCACCAGTGGACCCACCCTCAGTACACCGGCTACCTGTGGTTCCCCCACCATCCTATCAACCCAGTGAATCATCTACTGCATCATCTAACCTTGCCAACCATGATACCACCATGATCAGTCAACAGCTTGCACAACTGGTGGAAGCATTGCAACAACAGAAGGAGGAGACCAAGGAACACCAGGCTGCTTTCGAAGCCAGGCTATCCCAACAACAACAGGACATCAACCAGTCCAATGTCTCTATCCATGGCTTGGTCCACACATTGATGGACCAAACCAACAAGCAACTTGGACTCATGGGTATTGGAGGGATCAGTCCTATTCCTTCCAATGCATCCTCTTCATTGGATCACCATCCTAATGGTTTACTGTCCATGAGACAAGGTGTGGAAGGGACCACTGGTTCTATAGCACAGTCCCAAGGCAGTTCAGAACCAGTTGGTTTGGATCCAGGATTGATGAGTGATGTTGAGGACCATCTTGGTCCATCCCCTCAGCCCCAGGTGGATATAGATGTTGCCATTCCACCTTGTGGAGATGAAGTCATTGACCATTTGAGGGCCCTCAAGGAGGAGGATAAAACTACAAAGACTACTTCAACCCAACCAACACCAACACATGGCAGCAGTCTACCTTCAACATTCTCCCTGCCTTACACCCCTGTACCACCGGTGTCATCCAACCACGCACCAGCTCAACCTGTTCAACCCGTTAGCAGTACAGCCATCTTCCAATACCCCAAACGGTACCACAGATCTGGAGACAACAACTGGTTCTACAGACAGCCAGACCTCATTTTTCCGGAGGCATTGCCCCACAGGCAGGAAACACACTACTCAGGAAGGTGGATCATCAACCCTGACATGAGGAAGGTATGGGTTCGCTATGATAGGGCATTGAGTGCTGATGAACTATGAACTCCCCGCCAATGTGCCAACCAACCCCGCACATTGGGTCAACAGAAGGTATCCTGATGGTTTATTCTTCACTGACCAAGGGGAGTGGGTCATCTCTGATGTGAGGGATAGGTTCTTCAACCATGATCAGCCACCTACCCATACACCAGTCACCACAGGCCTCACTCCCACCACAGCCTACACTTCACCTGGATACCAGACTGTGCCCATGGAGGAGCCATCCAAGCAGGTAGACAGTGATTTTGTAAGGCCCAGGTCCAAACCATCCCTCTTCTCCAATCTAGAAGGGACATCTCCCATGGACAAGGTAACTCAAGGCCGGATTCCAGACAGATTTGGTGACCTTGGAGACCCTGGTGGCTCAGGGTACCATGGTGGTGATGGCAACCACAGAGGCTTTAGCAGAAAGGGCAGGTATGGTGGTCCCCCAGGAGGAGGACCCCCTGGAGACCCTTGGGATCCCGATGGTGGTGGTGACCCTCCAGCTGGCCCTGGAGGAGGTGGAGGAGGAGACGGTCCCAGACGCAAGTTGTTCCATGCTAAACCAGATGCCAATGCGTACACCACCCTCAAGTCCAACAAGGACTTCGACCAATGGTACAGCGCGTTTATAACAACGGCTAGGGCACAGGGATTCTATGCTCTCTTTGACTCCAATTATGTGCCATCGGACCAGGAATCCGCTTTTGAGCTCCGTAGGATGAACGAATGGTTCTATGCGGTCCTACAGAAAATCATCAAGACAACCAAGGGCAAGGTGATAGTCAAGGAACATTTTCAATCATTGTGACTGCTTTCATATTCTACATGCATTGATCCAGGATGCCCACACCTCTGTGGAAGGTACACTGGAGTCTGTGGAGACCCTCAACTGGCTCACCAGGGTCAAGTACTCCACAACCAAGGGTTCTGCAGTGGAGTTCATCATCCACTACGATGAGGTTCTCACACGATACAATGACTCCAAGACCAACGCGCAGGATAAACTCAGTGATAGTATCCAAAAACTGTTCCTACAGCAGGCGTTCATCGACATCAAGGTTCTCAATGACATCAGCGCCAGGGAACAGGAGAACATGTGCAGTAACGGTGCCCACATGTCCTACTCGTATGAGAAATACAAGGAGGTCCTGACCAACGCTGCTACCAGGTTTGATGTCAACCACAAGCTTCTACCCCCTGGTAGATCCCGCAGAGCCAACATGGCTATGATCGACGAGTCTGAGGGTGAAGTCGGGCAACCTGATGGCATGGATAGTCCAACGGATGACCACACTCATCTCCAAGCATTTGCGGCCATGAGGGACCCCTCTGTCCGGCTCCCAGACCAACATTGGACCCAACTTTCTAATACGGGCAAGAAGAATTGGCATCAATTCGATGATCATGACAAGAAGGTACTGATGGCATCCCAGCCGCCAGCACCCGCCGGTCGCCAAGCCAACGTTGCCAACAGCACAATGGACCCCCACAGTGAAGCTGACCTTGCAGTCGGGGACACATCAGGACCATCATTGGATGTAAACCAGGCAGATACGACACCTTCAGTTGGCAAACCTGCGGCTTCCCCATCACATTCGGCACCCCAGGCAAAGGCAAATGACAAACACCCTGGGGATGTCCGTCGAATGATGTCAAACAACACAGGCAAACGGCAGGGTTACACCGTCTCGTTCAGCCCTGATACTGGTTCTGCCCCACCATCTGCCTTTGCCAAGGCCACGGGTGATGACATTGACACCAAGTTACAGGCCTACTGGTCCTCTAGTCAGATGCCTGTACGTCGGCCTGAACCTGAGCCGGAGCCGGATTTTTGAAGGGGCGATCTGTTTATGTGCTGAACAGGTCCAGCCCCAGGAAACCAGGCACCACCCATGCTCGCGGGGTAGCATGCCACCTATCTTCGGAGGGGCTACCTTCCGCGGCAATTGGCAAGGAACGACCAGTTACTGTGCTGGACCGGTCGTCTCCAGGGCATTCCAGCACACCCGGTTCTGTGATCTACACTGTTTCCAAACATTCCTGGTCCACGCTCATGTGGCGAGCCCTCATGGACCGAGGAGCCAATGGCTGCATCCTTGGCAAGGATGTCAGGGTTATTCACCGCTACGGTCAATTCATTGATCTCAGTGGCATTGATGACCATACAGTTCAGAACCTCCAGCTTGCCACGGCAGCTGCTTACATCCTTACAGACCATGGCCCCATCATTGGTCTGATACACCAGGGTGCTGCCATGTCCCATGGGATAACCACTCTCTCCCCAGGTCAGTTGGAGCATTTCGGGTGCCGTGTCCATGACAAGGCCCTGACTGTCACCGGGCTCGACCCTGACTTTGTGACCCCCAATGGTTTCAGGGTGCCCATGGCCATCCAGTCCGGGCTACCCTATGTCCAACTTGTTGGAGGAAATATACCTGACACCTCTTTACTATTGACTCGTGTATTAATCATCTAGTCCGGTTCGCATGCAAATTCATCATGCAAGGAACCAAGGGAGTTTTAGGTCTAAAGTGTTACGGGGGTCCTTATATCCAATTCAATCACAAGAATTGCTATGCACCACCAGAAAATCCTCACTTTTGCTTTTCAGCTTAATCTAAAACCAAATTACTCCCCAATAAGCTGCAGTATTACTAGCAAACAACACTGAAAAGCAAAAGCTCCATCTCGAGTTCGAAGTCAACCGCCTCGAGAGAGTATTACCAAGTTGACATCAAGTCAATCAAGACTATCATTGAGTAACTATAGCAACAGAGGAGAGGTGCGCAAATACTGCACACAGCCACACTATAAAGGATACCAAACAGCTCTAACACGAAAGAGGTGCGTGCGCGGGAAGATTCCCATCTTCAATCCCAATTCGACGTCACAGATCGATCTACAGTTTCCGGCCGGAACTACGTTGATCTGAGGATACCACCATCTCAAGCGGAGAAAACTGAATAGGTAACGTGCTGGAAGCAAGGAAATCCGGCTGTTATTCAAGGAGTTGAAGCGGATTACGTCATCGTGCGAGATTACGAGATTTTCGTTCATCACATCACGGCGAGCAAAAGCCAACAGTTGTCGCGGGCGTTGCAAGCCACAAGACCAATACAGAGAAAGTTGCGCAACACGTCAAGGATACTCTGAGTATCAGTGCACGCTTCTAACTCCCAAAACTGAGTGAGATAGGTTGATCCGAGTGATCCACCGCTATTGTGACGTGAACCACAAAAATCCCGGTAAACCACACGGAGTCCTAAAACTCCACCGTTTGTCTGTTTCAAACTGTAATACTCACACAGTGTAACCATCCAAGCATACCAAGACCATCTGCAAGCTTTGCAGAGGCAACAAGAGGACCAACAGAGGCAGTTCGCTACTACCCAAGGATCCATACCACGTTCTACCGTGAGCTGTCAACGACAGAGGCTATCCAGCCACCAAGAGTGCACACACCAGTGTGACCAAAAGAAGGCTATCCAGCCAACAAGCTTTTACAGGCAACTACAAGAGTAGTGCCCGTCGTGAGATCCTTCCTGCAGGAGTATCCACACAAGAACACAAGCTAGTTCCAAGGAACAAGCACAGCACAACAGTGCAATACCACACCAACGGCAACCATGAGATTCCAAGGAAGAGGTGGTCGTGGTGGAGGAAGATACCCTTCTAGGGGGGGTAGGGGATTCAATTCCTCAGGAAGAAGCCATCAAGGAAGAGGCAACAGCTACAGGAACCAGAACAAGAGTCCCAAGCGTCAGTTCCTCTTCCATCCAAATGGACAGGCTGACACCAGGTATTATCCTTTTGAGGAGACCCTGACACACATTGTCCAGGACCTAAGGATCAAACCTGAGTGAAATGATGTGCCACTGGCTTCATTGGCCATTGAGACCATGACAAGTCAGGCACCAACCAAACCGACCAAGCCTACACTTCAGACATCACTTACTGATCCCAAAACCCAAGAATACGATGCTTTGGAACTCAGCGAGTACAAGGCAAAGTCATCCATCTATGACAAGTCGACTCGATCCTATGAGAACATTCTCAAGACAGGTGCAACCACCATCCAGGTGTCATACTGTACCGACGCCATGAAGTCCAAGCTTAGAGTTAGGAGACTACGAGGATGCAGTCAAGCTGGATCCCATTGAGTGCTCAAGAGGATCGATTGATAGTGATGCAAGGCTCAACCAAAGAGTTCCCATTGCTACAATCATCAAGACCATCAACGTGGTTTGTTCCCAAAGCAAGGGACATGACAGAGTTGACTTCTACTTGAGAAAGGTCGACAGCAACGTGGATCAAGTGTATGACCTGGTCGGAACAGGGTTCATTGATGCCAGGACTATCGGATTGGCTGAATCACAAGGCCGCACCGGATCAGACGCCCAAGAAAAGATATAGTGACGGAAAGGGCTAGGTTGAAAGCAACCGTGGCTCAACCATGGACTACAAGAGGAAGATACGGG